GATTCATTTCTATTGTGCATTAAGACAATATGATGGAAGCTTGATTTATGCAAGTTTTTATGTTTGTGTGACTAAAATGACAAAATAACAAGGATAATTAATGCAAATTCACATTATAAAATATTTAGAAGGAGCCTTTGTAGGCATGATGGTGGTTCCTTAGCAACCGACGTCAATGAATTCATGCTGACTTTACAACACTTTATACATTCTATGTTAACCATTCTGGAGTTGGGGAATTTGATTCGTAATGGCGTCGTTTCCTCGAACGCCGAAGCAACTAAAATCTTCGTCTAGTGCATCCAAGGTAAGTACTGGATAATTCTAGCACTGTTGTAATATTATTGACAAACTATGACATCTGTTTATGATATTAAAAATCCATTAAAGTTTAAATGATGGTCAATCAGAACTATTATTTAAACGGCCATCGTCTTGTTTTTTTAATAAGTACACTGAAATACTCATCTGATCGGTGATAAATTAATGTACTAGTGAGCTATACGGTACATGCATAGTTCCTATTCTTTCTACATTCTATTGTTTATGACATCAGTATGATAGTTTGTCAATTTGTTGTTTTCAACGTTAGTGATTTCTTGATACAAATTTCTCTTAACGTTATTAGCGACGTATTTTTAAAATTTTAAAAATACTTTATTAAAATTGATACTATCAATATTTTTAAACAAAAGTAGATACTCTGTTGCGTTGTTACAATATTAACTCTAGGGTTACTAATAGGAGCTATTCTTAATTCGTTCAATATTTATATGATATAAAATGTAATCATTTATGATTTGGCTAATGCAAGTGATGAATCAAGATATCCTGTACTACCGATATTGATAATACAATTTAAACAGATAAATATTCCTTTAAAAATTCCGTTTGATCTTAGCCTAGAAATCTGTACATGATAACAAATTTGATAGGAAAATAGTTTTATTTTACAGTCCTTCTTTCCTTTCAATCACATGACAAGATAGGTTATCATCATCTTCAAATAGTAGAAAGCGAATTACATTACTTTTTCAGTTACAAGTGTTCCCAAGTCTGGTACTCACTGTTAGACTATAATTAAAAAGCAAGAAAGAATTTATAAGCCTTGATTTACTCATACCAACGCATTCATTTATATTGTAGAAGGGTGAAGTTAGCGAATTACAGACTAGCCTAGATAAATTGCAAGCGCTGTCGCAAGATGATAAATCAGAAAATAACATGTTAAGATCCAGGATTGATCAGCAATCAGAATTGATTATGATGTTAAAGCAAAGGGCTGATGAATGTCAAAAGCAGCTAACATTGACAGAAGAGAGTAAAATGAGAGCAGATAATACATTAGAGCAAGCTAAGAAGTCAATACAATTAGAAAAGGAACGAAAGATGGTAATAGAAAAGCGCTACGGTCAGTTGCAGGAGGAGTACGATCAATTATCTAAAACACGAGATCATTTTGCGCAAGAAAATGAGCAGCTTAAGATTGATAATCAAAAATTGGTAGCTGAAAATCGTAACTTATTTTCAACGGCTATAAGCGAAAGAGATGAGAAGATAAACTACTTAAATCGTGAATTGAAAAATTTAACACTTGAATTTGATAAAACTAGCTCGGAATTAAGGTTAGTTTAAGTAAGATTGCATAATAATAGCAGTTATATCCCTCGACGTGTTTTCCTATATTTGATATTAAAGTATTATCTTGACATAATGCCATGATAAAGTCAGACTAATGAAAGTAATTAAAAATGAATTTGAATTTTATTTAATTAGGAATTTTAGGCTTGAAGCCGCTCGTAATGAAGAGGACCTAAGGAAAGAACTGAACGAATCGAAAAGTAGATTTGTTACAGTAAGTGAAGATATCGAAATATATAATAGTCAACTTCAGGCCGAGAAGGAAAGTAATCGGCACGAGATACAAATGGTACAAGAAAGATTAGAAAAGTATAAAAAAGACAAGGAAGAATTAACTGAACTTGCTATGAAGCGCGGCAAATTAATCCAGGTGATTATTTTGATTAGAAGTGTTTTAACAACGATGCAGTATTCAACTTTTAAGGTTATCCTTCATAATTCCATTTACGAAATGAATATTGTAATAAATGTTACAGTGATGAGAATATAAATCAAAAGTATCGATATATTGTAAAAAAGATAATCTTTGAACTGTCACTGCATCATATATAGGAAAAACAAGATGAAATATCAAATTTACAGAAACGTTTAGATCATTCTCATCTGGCGATTAAAGACCTGGAAATTAAATTCAAGTAGGTTGAAGAGCTTCAATGAATGAAATTATTGACTAACGATTAAAATTATCAGTAGCTAGTGATACGTAGACGTGATATTAGTAATAATGTGATGGCATAAATGGATGACTACATATACACAAAACAGACGACACGGATAAAATGTAGATAACAAATCTGTTTATTTTCTACTAGACGTGATGTTGAGGCCGTTTCCACAAATGCTCAAATTGTCAGGTTAAAGAATCAATTAGAAGATAAGGAGCGAAAATTAGTTAAATCTCGTCAAGTAAGTAATAGATAATGTAACTTTTTGTATCCTGAATTCATATTACGCGATTACTTTTTGTTTTCAATCCAAGACTATATTAAAACTGAATTTTTATTCTGTTTATTCAAGATTTGCTGATTAAGTAATTGAATTCAAGGCATAATGTGCATTAATTTTTATTTGTTGTGATAGGAATTTGATACTTACAAGAAGTACTGTGCTAATATGTTAAAGAAGGAACGAGATATTAACGCTAAATTACGAAGCCTTGTGGACTGTTGAACGGGCTAAGAAAGCTGTTTTCCTTATCAAAATGAAGAAAGTACTAGTAGTTGCCATCAACATTTGAAATGGCAAGGATTCTCATTTATTATCACTTTAATGTGTATATTGGATCTCAATTTATGCATATATGGAATACATAGTATTTTTGCATATAGTAAGAGGTGTGAATAGTACTCGTTTAAGGAACTGTTATAATATATACTACAATTATACAGTTGGAGTAATTCAACTGAATTTGGACTGTATAGAAATTTTTAAGATTAATTTGATGAAGGTATCCTTAAAAATATTTTATCCTCGGATTTTGAATTATAATATTAATTTCATGAGATATGTTATAATATTTTTTAAATACGTGATCGTTGGCAATATCTTGAATACATGTAATTATATTAATGGATCTGCACAAGGTTTATTGGACTATTTTACTCTATTCTGTAATGTAATATTTGGGTACTCTCTATTTTTTCGATAATTATGTGGATATTTTACTTCGGTCATTTCTATCAATAAATTAATTGCCCAATTTTTCAATATGCAAAGTTGATCAATTTATGCGAACAGATTGAGGCCTAGCAGTTCAGTTTCTACTCGCCATTGGGCCAGTGTACTAAAAGTACAGTACTGTACGTATAGTAAGTTAGTATTTTGAAGAGGTCTCTACAACTGTAGTAAGTGCAGGTTTAGACCGCGATAGTTCACAGTCAATTGATTTGTACAAACATGATTGTATAGAATTATAGATTGAATCACTACCTTAAAGCAACTTGCTAGAACATAACGATAAATATCTTTGTTGGAGTATACCTATAACCGATAGAGTACAGTGCAGTAGAGAGCCTTTTTTAGAGTACAGGATGTATGGTGTTGAATTAATTTACTCTACTGAGCCATCTACAATACAGCCACATTAGCTAGAGGCATGCAGTCAACCCACTCCATTCTAGGAAGAGTCGAGTTGCTTAATTTTGACCATCTTACTATTCGACGAAAGTAATGCTGAATAAAGAATACGCATCGAGAATTTCATCACTAGTCTATTAGGATATTTAGGCAAAAGCAGTAACTACTTGGACATGCACTACAGCTACTACAGTATGCCAAGTATCACGAGTGAGATTTTCGATCGCTGTGCGCTGATGTGAAAAAGTATGCAAACACTTTGTTCCTATTGCTTTCATTCTCTATAGTCAAAACTGTTCAATTTCAACACACGACCACAGACTACTAAAATATCATATACCATGCATGATTTTAGTAGTCCATGATACGACATTGACTTTAGGTTGCACCATTCATTGACGATTGGATAGTTATGAAATTTCTTGAGCAGATGTCCATTAATTAATTCATTAATTTCATATCAGCGCCATTCATTTAGTACTGTATCGAAACGTCGTGTACACTGTACAGTATATACTGTACAGCAGTGTACAATGTACTGTGCTTCTTAAAAGTCTTTCCCGGTCATTGAAATTATATGAAATTATTATTTTAAAATTTTATTAGTCCAATTTGGTATCATTGGATAGCTTAAGTGCTTAAAAATTCAAATATCGTAATCAAAAATATAAAAATAATCAATTTATTTGCAGAAAGCAGGCTTCAGACACTTCAGTACGTTGCTGAGTAAAACATAAAACCCTGAACGCATAGTGTACCCTGTACTGCACGGCGTATGCATGCTGTACTGTACACATTGACGTTGATTACACGCTCGCGAACGTATACAAAACGTATAGTACAGTATTCCATTCCCGTTGCAGTAACAAGTGTAGACATGACGCAATCGCAAAGACTCTGACGTCATACCCTACAGTACTTACAGAGCAAGCTACAGTACTATACTGTATTATACAGTACGCAACACTGTGGATAAGGACTGTAGATGAAAGGCTTGGAAAAATTTCCATTGACTAAATTACACGATATATTTTAAAATTAGAAAATCTTGCTGCTAAAATCTAAAAACATAGTAGTATTATTAGATTTAGATCTACATAGAGTAGCTGTTTTACTGATATATATATATATATATATATACATATTCAGGCAGGATTACCATGTCTTTCTACTGTTGAATGCCCTAAAGGTAATCAAGATCGATCGATTGCTGCTGGATTAAAATGAATACAATTCCAAAGTGCTTAAAAGTACTCCAATCCAAGGATGTCACACCGGAGAAGATGGCCAAGAATTTGAAACGGATTCTTGCATATACTAAATGCACTAATGATGTACAAACTATTTACAATCGTGGTGGGATCACTGTACTCCTAGATACCCTTTATCAAAGTAGTGAAAAAAACCTCAATGTTGTACAATTTGCTCTCATCGTGATTGGTAACTGCTTAAAGTATAAACGCGATTTACCTCAGGTAATGTCCTATTGAATAATGTTCAACTTAGCGTCTTCCATTATTCTTCGATATGTTCTAGTAGGTCTTATATTTAACGTCTACTTTGGTATAATAGGATGATGATAGCCAAAAAGGGGATTTTACCTTAGAATTGACTATTTTCATTTAGAATTCTACGCTAATTAATTATTGCAATCTGTACAGGTGTACAATGTAGTGCTACGCGTATAATGCTATACAGAACAAGTGCTTACACGGCCAGTAGGCTGTACTATACAGTAAATGGTGTTTCGTCGTTAGCGGACGATCAAAATGTTGATCATGACAGTCAAAGGATACCACAAAAAAGGAAATGAATGAGTTAAAGCGCTTTCCGCACATCTTAGCTGCATACAACAGTAATTAATATTTCTCTGCTAGCAATCGATTGATGTAATGCCTCAAAATAACCACGAAATTAGCGTTGTTATGTTCATGTTGTTCATTGCTTGTGATTTGCAACGATTAAGCTCTTAGTTCTACTGTATTTTATTGACAGCATATTGTAAGTACAACAGATGATATCTTGTATTTATTGTAGTGATCAGTAGCATTATTGGATTGACTCTAAAGTGTTTCCATGTCAATAATTAATATCATGCTATACTGTGCTGAACAGTAGCCAACGTTGCAGTAGCAGGCAGTTACAGCCTGTTTCCCCACCCGCTGACTTGCCTAGTAAATACAATATAATACCGTAACAAATGTTAGCCTTGTAGCGCGTAGACCGGCTGCAGTATTCGGTTAGGCTGCGCTTTCAATATGGATACGATCTATTCCATCGACTTCTATTTAATTAGTTCACGCGCTCACAGATATTCTACTTGCTTTGATTGATTTAATGGTAGTTTAGTATAGTAATTGATCTTCAATTGCGATCAATACTGTCCCTCTGATTTCTACTATGGGCGTACCAGGGTTGATGCAAAGGTATTGGTGATGGATAGCAATGATAACAATAGTAACGAAAGTATTTGTTAGGTATAAGCGCAACTTTATTGAACTAGTTAAGCATCGAAGTACTTTACACTATAGTACTATCCAATTCATTGCTATATAAAGAATGCACATCTTATAGATGCTATCTCGAAATACATATTAATCTACATAATACCATGTTAGGCTACACTGCATCCTTGCTGCATCTTAATACGACGGTAGCACTTTGTTTTTATGTACTGTATAAATAGGCGCGTATCGATGGATATACAAATATCTAATTAGTTATACCATAACCGCACAACTACTCATCAATTACGTCTATGTAGATTTTAGTAACGTTATTGATTACAGTATTAGCAAAATAATAAATTAATGCATTATTTTTATAGGCATACACCAAGGCGGACCTGGTATGGGAAGAATTGTGTGAATTCTTAGGTAAGCTGATTATGAAATTTCTTGAAACATAGATGTCAGATCTAATAGATCGTAGTCTATACGTAGCGATATGATTCTACATCACTTTGTTATAGGTATTACTTAATACTGTAATCTGACTTTATTAATTTAAAATGTTGCTTCCGAAGTAAAGTACAATGGTACAGGATACTAATAGGACTCATTCACTCGATCACAATAGTCATAAGTCATCAAACTTCGATGACAATCGCGAGCAGATGGTAGATTAATCAGTAAAATTCGTGTTAATCCTTCATGTTTAATATTTGTTTCTTTCTACGCATATGATAGCCATGCTATAATACAGCTATTTGAGGATTCAATAGAATAATTATGATGACTAATATCAGTTACTTTACTATATTTTATCGCACGTTAACAAAAATAATATTAGATTATAACCATATTTTGTCGCACATAGGAGTGAGCATAGTGTTTCGAATAAGATTAATGTTCACCTTAAATTATCGTCTGATCAGTCGTTGTAAAGGGAGTGGATTGATATTGTAATCAATCTGGTCTAAACTGAAAAGTATCAGATATTAGCAAACTGTTGCGATATTCGTACTGTAGTACTATGCGTATACATTAATTGTACTTTGTAACTTTCTGTGTACGGGATTAAGAGTTAATAGTGTTTTAGTTGTGAGACTTGCCTCCTATAGTAAATTAAATTCGTTTTATAGTAAAATATATTGTGTAGTGACGCCGTAGTCATAATTTGTTAATGCTATACAATGTTGTAAATTAATTAGAGTTTGTTAATCTTCTAACAGTGAAGACCTTAAAGGCAGCAGAGGATAGCAATTACATTAGTACGCATTGTTTGAGAATACTTGACAAGTTGGCCCGTGAAGAATGCATGAGGGAATATATTTACAAACTTGTGGATGGCTTTCAATTGCTATTACAAAGATTAACCTTGGATACTCTCCGTTATGAAGAAAATGTATACATTTTAGACATCATGGTAAAGTTACTCCATCAGAAGAATAGTAGCGTCACATTTGTAAGTCAAAATGGCCTTCTAAGGTTAACAAAGCTTATGAGATCGACTGATGAAGTGGATTTGTTTCGTCGTTGCGCAGACATAGTTTTATCTTTAGCTAAAAGACGTGATAGGCAGTGCTATTTTCAACGTTTAAAAGATGATGGTTGTTTTAAAACCCTAGTTACTGTTGGTATGGATAAGAAGAAATCAAGTAATATACGCAAAAAGACAGTTAATCTGCTGTTTAACTTATGTGAAATTAAGCCATATTCTCGTTTCTTGGTCTTAGCCGATATTCATACGTTACTTATTCGATTGATTGAGACAGCACCGATGGGTCACACAAAATCATGCGCTGTTCGCTCTTTAAGTTTGTTATGTTGTGATGTAGCTAACCGTAGTACGTTGAATAAATGCGGAGCCATTGAAATGCTAATATCATTACTGAAAGATAACAATGTTAAAAAGCTACATCATGTCATCGTAGATGGCTTACATTGGTTTTTATATGATCAAGAAGCATTGCAAGTGATGGTCAAGGAATATGATCTTGTAAGCGCACTCTCAGGCCACTTGAATCGATTAATTGATGGGTTGGCAAATTGCGTTCGACATACGAACAGTACCGATGACAATTATTGTTATGATAACACGATTGGTGTTGAACGAGAACAAAGTCAGTCGTGCGTTAATCCAGTGTTGTCTAGTAGTCCTCTGATAAATTCGATGGATAATTGTGAATGGAATGGGTCACTTTCGCCGGTTTCATTAATGTCCATATCATGCAGTAGCGAATCGTCTTCAATATACTTAAACGACTCTAAGATAAACGAGAATAATAGCATTAGTGACATGAAAAATAGTGATAGGCTGTGTATTGCTACTATATTAAATTTATTAAAAGCCATTAGCAGGTTGGCACATAGTTATCATATCAACGTAGTAAAGTTCTGCATGAAAGGTTTACTCGGTTGTATTGTTAAAGATTCAGAAAACAGAGCTGATGCATACAAGGTTATGTCATTGATAATGGAGAATAAATGTTGTCTAAAGGTAATGCTGCGTCGTTGTGTTCCATGGTTGATCTACCAATACTTGATGAATGACCACGAGACTAACGTATCTAGTGGTAATTTCACTTATTTTGCCACACACTATCTACATGATGAATCGCTTAAAGAACACTGGAATACCTTAACAAATGATGAAGAAGTAACAACGTCAGCAACTGACCAGTTATCATCACTCAAAGACAGTGTCAATTTAACTAGTTCATTCATTACAGCTGTAACAGATACCTTACAAGCAGACGGTACGTATGCACTTGCCTAGACGTTTAAAGGCTGCGTGATAGTTGCAACTTTGCTCCTAATAGAGTAGTCTTTCTTGTAGTGTTTAAGTATCTTCTAATGAATGACTACCTGCTGAGGTCTCTTACAGTAATTAATTAACTGTAAACTATAATTGGTATAATTTAGTGCTTAAGTGCGGTATTAATGCTTTATAACATGTGCTTTGTTTGAAATTTAAATAGTTTATTTTGTGAAATTTTATGACAGACTATATTGCTACCACTTCCTCATCGCCTAAGGAGATGGCAGTATCACTACTACAACTTATTGGGAAAATATCAAGTTCAGATTATGGCAAAGGAGAAATAAAGAATATATTATCGACGGGCAATACATCGTGGAAAAGGGCTTGTGCCTTTTCTTTACCTTATTTGTTGAGGTGAGTCTACATATCACATTAAAAATATTAAGATAGATACCTTTTTGGTATTGATAATTTTCTTTGCTTTCAGTTACGAACGATCTATGTACAAGGTACTCTTAAGAAACAATGGAATATCAACAATACTGGAGCCTCTATTACTTGAGAACGTGGATGATTTTACCACTACGATAACGTGCCACTGTATTTCATCGTTAGTTGAGCGATTTCAATCGTGTAAGCAAGTCTATCGACGAAAGCGCGCTCGTAGTAATGATGGAACTCAACATTTTACGAAAAAAGTTCAAAAATTGGAGATGTCGCAAGATAGTAGTCAAAGTTATTTTTTTATCGATGACAGCAGATACACTTACTATCAACAACAATCTTTTATGACTGCTGATGCTATACTGGTGACTGAGAATGGTAGTGAACTTCCGGTCAATCGTGAAATTATTTCTCAGCAATCCGTCTATTTTTCAGCCATGTATAGTGGTTATTTTATTGAAGCTAAATTGGAAAAGTCATATATCAAGGAGATAGATGATACGGCAATGATTGCAATATTATTATATTTGTATGGATTTAACTGGCGTATACAGCCTTCTATTATGCAACTAAAGACTATTTTATCTGCAAATAGCATTAATGAAGTAAAATTTACTGTGAAATTATTCGATAGATTGGACGAGGAAGATAATATTGAATTTTATTGGAATGTTTTAATTAGTGCTGATAAATTATTACTGGAGGAATTGAAGGAAGCTTGCGAGCCGTACATTATAGATCTTTTGAAACCGCACAATAGGAGTGAAACATTATTTTTATCATGTGTTTACAGTTGTGAAGGTGTTTTTATGTACTGTATAGATCAATTTTTCCGATACTGGACGTCCGCTGAGCAATGTAATTGCTTTAAACAGTTTCCAGAACCGTATAAAGAAGACTTTATAAAGAGAGTTTGTAATTTTGTAAATAAGATATTTTTCTGTTGTGTTGACAATATTTAAATTAGGCATACTTCTATAAGCGAAATGAGTGCTTTATAACCAATAAATTTATTGTTGCTGAAGATGTGCTAATGTCTATAAAGTTTTTGTACGTTCGATATCATAAAATCGTTGTGCTTAGGCATTTGTTACAATGTTCAGTATTTAGCTGTATTTACAGTTGATATTATCGCATGATTATTTGAATCCTAACTGGTCACGATGTCGCCTATCACTTCATTAGTCAATTAAGTCGTAAATACACCCGCAGATATCAACCTCTTAATCCCTAACGTAAGTAAGTCTACTTAACCATTTTAGGAGTAATATTTTTTGTATCAAAATATTATTATCTATCTAAGCAAATGGGTTGTAGGTTAGTTATCAAATATTATTAAATTGCAGTATTTTATCAACTTCGTACTGCATTTAATCAATATAGTTAAAGTTATATAGTGCAGTAAATGCCAGTTTTGTAGAATTCCGTTTCTGATAATACAAGAGATAACTATAAGGAATTCAGGGTAATTTAAATTAAGTAATACTACGGATTGTAGATCTTATCATAATTTGCTAGTGCAAGTAAAGTACTGTACAAATGACTTTCGAGACGCTTCGGATTATATCCAAAAGATGATATAACTGAGGTCTTCCCTACATTTGATAGAAAATACGAAAGAACCCATCATCTAACCCATTATATCAGTTCCCCGAAGACGCAGTTAGATGCATAATAGGAAGTAAACCGTAATACGTCAGTTCTCGTTTGGCTGTTTTATTTAATTCCAATTCAAATGCGTTATATCAAATTGCAACGTCATAATTATCATGTACAGTATAGTGTTTGCATATCAATTCCATTTAGAACATAATTACAGTGTATCATTATCTTTAAGATTATGCTAATGCAATGTATATAATACAGGATGTCTATTTGGTTAAAATAAAAACGTAAAATAAATAAATAAACTTACTTTGAACAAAAGTCGTAAGTGAGCAAGAAAATCAAAAGTATAAATGTACAGTACAGATGTGGAGGATATTGTTTTTGATTACTTATTTTACGGCCTACAAGATCAAGATACATTAGTAACTTACAACAGAAAGCATTTACAAAAGATATGTCGATACCATACAACTAAGTTATGGACATGGAATACGTATTTCGATGACGTATTGTACAGCAGTGCAAATGCGCAATATAAAAATAGATATGATAGCTATCTTCTCATTCTTGTATTAAAAGATATATAAACGACTTTATAGTATTTTATTTTGGTAGCTTTAGCATATTGTCGGTAAGGGATGGCGTGGAAGGTTTTTGTGTCGGTGTATTCGTTGCATAATTTATTTTCGGCGTCAGACTAGAGTTCGGTTTTGGAGTTCCATTAGTGCGTAGTGGGGACGGACTATAACTTTGACGTAAAGCAACGTCAATTGATTTTGATCCGAAGCCTTTATTTACCAATCTTTTAGCAGCTGGAGATAACATGCTCAGCTTCTCGGCAGGCGACATAAAATTATTACGAGGGCTATCCAAATTCAATATTTTATAAACACATGGATTAATATCAACTTTTTGTAAATTGTCTTTTAGTAACATAATTCACAAATGTACTAGCAACATATAATAATGTTGTATTTTAATGGGAAGCATCCGTTAACTTTTTCACCTACCTAGCTTTTAATACGGATATACTGGAATTTCTTTTACTTTCTCTTTGCTTGCGAGAAATTTCCTTCGATAATTTAAGGCCTAACTTCTCCCGTTCAGGAGGCTCAGGAATTTTAAATATAGGACCAGGAGTAGCATCACCTTCGATGCGCATGGGTGTACTCTCGATCGTACCCCAAGTCATTACAGGTGTCATATCAAGTCCTAACGATAAAAAGAGGTTGAAATTTAGTTCATAAATTACGCATTGAGATTTTATAAGCTCGATGTAACAATCCTAGCAACACCATGCATATTTGCTAACATGACGACGCTAAAATCAATAGACGTAGTGTAAAGATTAAATATTAATATTTTAATTCTGTGTACCTGGCTCTATTTGAGGAGTACTGACAAATCCGTAACCGTTCACCGCTGGACTAGATTCATCAACATAAGGTTTGCCATCTACGTCAATTTTCCCAGATTGCGCCAGTATTGCCTGCTTAGCTGAAGTAGTAGCAGCAGCAGCAATAGCACCTCGTTGTCGCTGTTCATCTATCGATTTATTTTGGTATCTCGTATTATGGCATTGCACCTCTCTTGCATTAAGACCGCGGTCTTTGAGTATTTCTTCGGTAGTCTTGTCTACACCGTCGGGATAATACATAAGGCAATTTCTTACACGATAAGGCCATTCTTGTAGTTTTTTCTTTTCATTACCGTCGGTGATGGCCAATGAATCGTCATTATTAGTTTGGCTAGCAGCTTCTTTCTCGTATAGATAGCTGTATTTTTCACGTTGTCGCTGTTTAGCAATTTTCATAAGATTATGGAAAGATGCTTCGTCTTCGCTGATATTTCGTGTCATAAAAGTATCCAAGGATACATTGGTATCGGGTTTACTACTTTCATTGTCTTCGGCTTTAGCCTGATTGGTGTTGTTTGATCTCGAAGTTGATCGCACACTATCAATAGTAGGTGTTTCAAATGTTGATGGGGTAGCTGAAAGGACGATATGAAGAGGGATCAGCAGAAGAATAAAATGTAGAATATCAAGATAGGATGCTATCATGTAATAGATTCAAGTAAAGATTATCAGCCTTCAAAATGAATTCGTCATGAAACTACGTAAGAAATTTTAAACTGCTTTAATAATAACTGGTCATTTCTGAAATCAAGAGTAAAATAACAAGAAGAGAGGTTATTACTTAATTGACTTTGGTTATTACAAGACTATCAGCCTCAAGAATGGATTAGTTATGAATTAGTTAAGATATTTGAAACTGCTATCATACTGTAATAACCAGTTATTTCTTACGAAGATCCCTTCAATTTTCTTTATAGTAAAAGCTGTTAAAATTGAAGTTTCTTCAATTAAGGTAGCAAGTAACATTCAGTTTTTGTTCAAGACAGTAGAAGGTCATTCTATCGATATTCTATCTAAATTTAGCATGTTCTAAAGGTGATTGTCTACCTTCGAGAACAGAATTTTCTTCTTGAAGTAGTCTACGTTCGGAAATTTCTCTTAATTTTGCCAAGTCGTTGGTTTCTAATGCTTTGGCATATTCAGAGTGATCGCGAAGTTGGGGTAAATCAGGGAAGAAATCACGCTGGATAATATCTTCTACACCCTGCAATCAATTCATCACGAATGTTAATAATAAAGTATCCGGTAAGATACATAAAAAGTACTTTATGCTATGCTGATATTTTACAAGCGCCAATAACACGTAACATGACCTAATCTAGTGATCGTCCACACTAATCTTAGTACTTCAAGAAACGAACAATTTGGTCGACAGATCATAGAGCAGTAGTATCACTAGGCAGATAGTACAGTAACATCGCTCATGCCTTGGCCACAGCGTTAAAATATAGTATTCGATCATGACAACTACGTTTATTCCCCTCTCCATGATCGACCCTAGAGAAAGAGTTTCTTTTGGGTCTGTCTAATTAGCTAAGTCGAGCCTATTCTAGAAGTCAGTGTGTCCAAGAATAATTTCAATTTGTTGTTTGTCATCAACACAATCCTCCGCTAATATTTCGCTCCCTACAGCCAGTCCATGAATACCTATACGCTCACTGAATCCATTACCTTTATATATTCCTCTTCATTCAGTATTTTTCTCTTTTTCTTCGCAACAGTAGCCATTTGGGGAAAGAATTGGATAGAATCGCTGGTTGTTAATCGATAGCTTTTGACGGAAGGAAAAATTCCACCGTACTATTACGTTGCCTTAACGATTACAGTACTGTCACAACTGTACGTCTGTACCCTGTGCTTTACAGTTAGTGTGCAAAAGTGATGACGGTATAGCTGGTGATAATTCGGGGTCATGCCATGTAGACAGGTGGAGAACTAGTGATATTACTTTTGCTAGAGATTTGTACAGCACAGTCTAGGCTGCTGTACAGTACATATGGTACAGTGTACAGTACAGTACAGTACTGTAGGTTGTCTCGTGTCTTCTACTGTAAATCTACAGTACTGTACATTGTAGATTGACAGTAGTTGTACTGTAGGGTAGAGTGTACTATACTGTACGGTACAGTACAGCCCATTTATAAAGAATTTTTGGAATACACTGTTCAGTAAAATGGAGTCCATCATGTGAATGCACCTATAATATATTTATTTATATTATAATATAAATCCTGACGGCAAAATAATTGTTTGGAGACGCCATAAATAAACAGGCTTAATCATATAATACTTTGTGATCAAATTCTAATAACGACAGTTACGTATGAACTATACTGTACAGTGTACAGTACATCGAAAACCAAAGTAGCCTCCAAATGGCAGTCAAATAAATAATCTGCAAAATTTTAGTCAATCTACACGTTGTTGGCTATGATAGTCCCTGTCTCTTTCATTGAATACCTTACCCTAAGAGTATACGTATGAACTATACTGTACAGTACATCGAAAACCAAAGTAGCCTCCAAATTGCAGTCAAATAAATAATCTGCAAAATTTTAGTCAATCTACACGTTGTTGGTTATGACAGTCTCTGTCTCTTTCGTTGAATACCTTACCCTACGAGTATACTTATCGTAGCTTAGGCTACAGAGCTCTGCAAACCTCTAGCACTGAGTCGTAGAAGTCTGATGCTACCTGATCGCACCCGCGAATTTTAAATAACACGTAGACTTGCTAGTAAAAGTGTCAAATCATTGCTAGTTTGCATCTCGACAGTATAGCCTTCTCTCTCTTCCCAAAATCTTCACATGATATAGTAGGTTTCTGTAAAATGGTACCCGGATCATTAGCAATGATGCCCATACGAGTATAGTATTATCACTTGTCACTCGATGACGGTACTAGTTCCTTTCTGCTAGTAACGCCACTGGTGTCGAGATGAAATTACTGTACTTACCTAAAATATCCTGTAGACAGATTTCAGTAGCGATCGCTTGAAGGGTTATCAAAAAATAAAAAAATAACTCAGGCAATTCTCGGTTATTCCAATAGATCATCGAAATAAAGCGCTTGAATTTCTAGTAGTAACTTATAACTCAAAATCACGACCTGAAGAAACCTCTTAGCCAGTGCATGCTGAATCATTGTGATATGGGAAAGGGTGAAAATGGACTAGAGGCGCTAATGCAATAACAAGGGATATCATACAGTATAATGACGCAAATACGAAACTAGGCATACAGATCTGGCCAGTAATCATCGATTACAAACGCTTGAAAATACCTCCATCTGCAGAGCAGCACGTATAACTTTATCATAGTCTATGTACCTTCACTCCTCCATGACTGGAAGTGAAATATTTGTATATCAAATAATACAGTACATGGTAATCCTATTTCCCTGTAATATCGTGAGCAAAGGTTATGTTAAAATCTTGTTTACTAATTGTATGTCAAGGACTATTAATACTAGCAATGACACTTTTCAACTGACTCAATCGTGATTTAAGAGTACCTGTGCTACGATCAAGTACAATAAAAAACATGTTATTACCCTGATAATACGATTACTTGGTAAAACGTTTTTCTAACAATTAGCTTTGCTAAGACATATGAAATAGAATGTCTCTGCTACACTGTAGTAAGATAGTGCTTTGACTTGGTTTAAAAACGCAAAAACGTCTTTATTCTTTTGTATCCAACAATGATCATCTTTTCAACGTAGCTCAATAAACTATAGAATTCCGATAAATAACACTTATTAGCAATCTAGTTGTGTAAAAATTATTATCTTTCAAATTTATCCAACGGATATTCATCTTGGTGCTTTTCTAAATGTTCTTCCAAGTTTTTATATTGTTCCTTTAAGATCTCCGGCATACCATCATAGACATCATTGAAGACTTCATACAAGTTTGGCTTTTGAATTTTTTCAGCTTTTTTCATGGCATTTATAACGCCTTCTCTGCATTCTTTCTTTAATTCGCTTTCAAGATTATCATTCCACCAACCTTGCTTTGTAAGGAATAATCGCAGCCGAATAATGGGATGATCGATCTTGTCCCAGTGAGATACTTCATCGGCTCCTCGATAAGCAGACCAATCATCGCTGGTGCTATGATGTCCAACTCTGAAAAGATAGCATTAGAGTATTACAACTATTGAAATGCATAACGTGTATCATTGATGGAACCGATATGAATTGTCAATGAATACATTTTATTACAACGCACCTGTACGTCATGGCCTCGACTAAAACAGGAGCATTTTCTTCCACAGCAATTTTTCGAGCTGCTTTTGTTGCCACATACACAGCAAAGAGGTCATTACCATCAACGCGTACAACCGCCATACCATAACCGCTACCTCTGCTTGCTAGTTTTATAGTATAACGAAAGATGTTGTTTTATACAATAAATGTGTATACATTATTTTACTCTATTTAGGCTTGATTACAACGGATGCATTCCACTTGTGTAACATAACAATTTATCGCAAAATTGCGAAAATTTCACGTAGCGTCACATCAATAAAACTTACCTATGCCATCTCCTTTATACTGTTCACTAGTTGGAGTAGAGATGGCATAACCATTGTTTCGGCTATTAGAAAGAAGACGATACAAAATGGAATTTTAAAGTACCGTATATCGAATAGAATTATATTGTGCTATACGATGGTAACATTAAAAACGTAGATCAACCTACCAAAAGAAAATAACCGGAGCTGAGAGTGTCGCAGCGAAATTAAAGGCTGCATGAGCATCTCCTTCACTTGCAGCGCCATCACCGAAATAGCAGATAACACACTTTCTATCCCCTCTTCTTTTTAGAGCGTATGCAGCCCCAGATGCTATTTGATAAAGGTCATCGTCAATGCATTTCAATAACCGACCAGAGGCGTTCTAGTAAGGTTGTATCTGAAATCTTACAGTATTACATACCTTGTGGCATTTGAGTAGCCAATGGAGATGAAATGGTTACAAAGTTGAGCGCTTTTGAGCCATAGTGTACAGGCATTTGTTTACCCTTTCCAATATCTAGAGTGTTAGCATAGCACTGATTCATAAAATCGTCTAGCGTAAAGCCACGGTATAGCAAAACTCCTGCTTCACGATACTGGCCAAATACAACATCATGAGGGTCGAGTGCGGCTGCACTACCAAAATGCGTTGCTTCTTCGCCATAATTCGTCATATAAAAGGATATACGACCCTAAAAAGAGAAATGAGTTACTGTAATTAAAGTGAGATCATGTTACCGATAGCTGATATTAGTAACGCAAGTTGGCAAGAAATCGCTATCTCTATAGTAATACTCGTAACATTTTCGCCATATTTGAAGTGAAATTCTTATACAATTGTAATTCATCAACATATATAAAGATTTTACCTGTCGCTGAGAATCGTACATAATTCTATCCATCGTGCTTAGCAAAACCATTTGGCGGTACATACCTACAATGTTTGATTCTTCTAACTATTTTAACGATAAATACAGATATTACTCATTTACAGTAATAAATAGAATGAGTAATAGCTGTGTATCTGCAAACATATGAAATGTACTATTCAACAGTATCCAGTCCTATAGCAGAATAAATTGGTAAAACGCTTTGTGGTATATTTTGATTTGCTACCAGGAAAGAGTGGTACATCATCGGTACTGCAAAATCTCTATATAAGATTTGATTTATAAGATAATACATCATTTTCAAGACTATAGTCTCGCTGTAGAATCTTGCAATGTACAATAAGTTTACTCCAATGACAAGAAGTCGAAACGATCTTAACGAGCTGATATACTAGGATAAATTTTCAATCGTAAAGTTAAGTCTGATAGACTAATATACACAAATACAGTATAATATAGTTTATTAGCAATTCTTATCTTAGAAAAGTGGTGAGTAAGCCGAGAGAACGTGGAATTTAATTTATGATATTGAATTGTTAACATCATTCAACATGTAGAAACAGTATTGCACCATGTCTCGTACTCCCTCACCCTAGGCCATGCTGTGGAGTACAGCAGACTAAAATTTAGCGCTTCAAAATATCTGATCACGTTATCGTCATATAAGCATGAAAGTTCATTAGGTACCAGATCCATCTACACCCTATCCATCCTACAGGATCTTGATGATATAAGACTTGCAAGTGAATCACTTGGCAAGGTAATGTACTGTATTTTTAGCTACAATAAAATGACAACATTGTAGCATTTGTATCTAACTTCGAGTTCTACACTACACACGTATAAACTATCATCATTCGACTACCTTCTACTCTCCTAGCGTTTTTAAGCAAAATTATTACCTTTTGTAGAGGTAAACAGATACCAGCTGGATAAACCTTATATCGCATGGAATGATAATTTTTCCATAATGTTGATGCAGTACGCCTAGTCAGATTGGCAGCCATTTTGGATGACTATAGCCCTACAGTTACATGCCTAGGATAGCAAGAAGGCAAGTCCGGGCTGTCTGTCCTAGTCTAATTGGAAGGGTGGTCCGGTCCGGTACGGTACGGTACGGTACTAACGACAATGTACAGTACGTACTGTACGCACGGTACTGTACATTGTCAAAACTTTTAGTAAAAACGCCATAGGAGAGCGAGTGCCTATAGTGTAGTACTGCCACACGTAACTGAATGATACGTTAGACTAAAGTGCAACAGCTGGCCGGATTGCATTTGCATCAGCAATCCAGGGTTAGCTTTGCTGAGGAAGAGCCTCCATCGAAAGAGGCAAAAATTAAGAGTTTATGGCTTATTAAAGCATATATTTGATTACTTATCATCATCATCACTGATCCAATTCTACGTATACGATTACTGTAGCAGCTGATTGGACTGTAGTCTTGTGGATCGCATGGTTGAAACTAGTGTAACCTTAGAGGTCGAAAAAAAACTAGAGCTCTAACTTTGGCCTGCACGATTACCGAGAAGTCAAATAAAGTTGATTAGGATTAGGTCGGTTGTTGACTAGCTTAATTCCACCTATTAGTGTATTACGCATAGCTGGTTCGAATGCAGTCGATATAATTAATTCCATCTACTAGTATTTTACGCTTGGCCTGGTATTAGTGTTGCAGCATTATCGTAGAAAAAGCTGATTCAATTGCAGCTGACAAGATTAATTCCACCTGCCGGTGTTTACCTTTGCCCTGTTGTAGCATGATACACTAATATAAAGGTAGAGTAATTAATGAGATTGAAGTTTACAACAGTAGCAATTCCATCTACCTGTGTTGATACTTGCTCTGCAGTAGTGTATTACAGTATTGTAACTGGCTAGATTGCGGCTTATCAAAATTTTAATTCCATCAACCAGTATTTTACGCCTACCCTGTTGTACAGCATTGCAGTATTTTATACAGTTACTGATCTAGATTGCAGCTTACACAAGATTCAACACGTAGTGATTACCCTTCTACCTCGACGATAGGAAGAGCTTTTAATCAAATCGACCGGTCTTTCCAATTCCATTACATTATTGTAGTGTTTAATCTGACAACTCAACGAATTGCAATTGACGAGATTGCGTAGAATTAGCCTTAAACTAAGTCAATTCAATCCATAAGTATTCAAATTTGACCTACAATTTTACAATATCATAACTCATCCTAGCTGACAATTAAAGACATTGATTAGTAACATGAAGGTTGCTATCGTTGGTGCTGGTGTTAGCGGTCTTACAGCTCTTAAGCAATGCCTTGATGAAGGTATCCAGGCCACTGTCTTCGAAAAAGAGGAGCAAATAGGCGGTATTTGGACATTTTCAGGTTTGTTGAAAGTAATAATCATTCGACCGTTGTCCATGTTTAGAGTTATTTGGACTGCACTATATTGTAAAGGCATGCTTAAATTTGTTAGAGTTGTTTGCTTTCATGTTGCGGATACAGTACTCCAATACCCCTTCACAACGGTTGATTCAACGCCATACCTTATGGTTGATTTACTGCAATAGATTAGAAATCAGTTAATAGTCTCTAATATCTGTAACATCAGAATAAATCAATAATACCATCATTCAGTCTTCTATGCTATTGAACGATAGGAGATTTTAACTAGCAGCATTTATCCTTTGTATCATGCTGATCGACTTGGAAAGTGTATTAAGCATCACGGTAAATGGTGGTATAATCCAATCCTACCTACACCGCGATTTCGTATGAACTAATTGATCCATCCCAGCTTCGTCTAATGTGCTGCTTTTAGCCTATCCAACTAAATTATGCTACTTATTACAATACATGTTACCTATTCAACTCTATGATACTATTTTAGCCTATTCAACTATGCCTTACATGCAAATGCTAATACCACAAGTGGAATGTTATGCAAATAATGCAATATAGAACGATCGTAATTCTATCATTATAGTTTCGTCATCACTTTATACCATGTCGAAAGTAATTCGATTGCAGATAGGCAGAATTCACATAGCATTTTTTTCTATATATGCTGGTTAGAGACGCCAGGCAAGGGAGGACTGGTTTATCGATCGGTTATTACCAATACTAGTAAGGATATGACTGGATTTAGCGACTATCCCATGCCAGATGATTATCCACCTTATATACATAACTCTCAGGTAGTGCAGTACTTGCAGATGTAAGTATCAATCAGTAATTATTTTTTTATGCGATATCCATGTTGGATTGTATTAAAAATATAGCTTATGCTAAGCAAGCATTGTTGTAAGCAGTGATGTAGTTCAATTGTAAGTTTTCACGATATTTACCATAGTCTTATAGAATACATATTATTAAAAGCTTTATAGCTTTCCATGATTTAGAAATATTGAAATTACCCTCGAATTAGTTAGCATGTTTAATTTTCCGCCTATATTTTATTGTATCCAATAGGTACTGCGATCATTTTAAGCTGAATGAACACATACAGTTTAATACTAGCGTACGAAAGATTGAAAAAGCTGCCAACTATCAGCAGAGTGGCAGATGGGATATAACTCTCAGTCGGAATGATACTAATGAAACAACTACAGAAACATTCGATGCAGTCATGGTTGCTAACGGACTATATAGCAAAATTTCTCTTCCTCATTTTCAAGGTGTTGAGAACTTCCGTGGCAAACTTTTACATAGTAGAGATTATAAAGATTGGAAAGGTACACCAATACTAAACGGAATCTATTGAGCCAAAGCCTTTACCTATCCTTTGCTGTTATCCTGAAGTCAATACCTTACGCAAATAGAGCTGACTCATTAATTTTCTAAAAACTAATACTTATGTAGTATAATTAGCAGATGAGATAAAATACTTGCTCTTCTTGTCAAATAGGATACGAAAACAAAAGAGTACTAGTTGTAGGATCTGGTAGTTCTGCTGTTGATATTGCTGTCGAGCTCAGCTATCATTGTTCACAAGTCTATATGAGTACACGATCTGGAGCTTGGGTCTTTGGACGTGTTAGTTCTGGTGGATTACCTGCTGATAGTCTATTGAGTCGTTTTACAATGATGGTACCTCGAAAAATCGTAAAGTATGTATTGCGATCAGAATTGAATCAAAAGTTTGACCATGCCAAATACGGTCTAGGAGCAAATTATGACATCCTTACGAAATCCATCGTTGTTAATGATGATATAGCCGGTAAATACTAATTTTGTATGCTATTACACGGATTACTAGTGAATACCTATAAGTATATTTTCTAGTAGTCCACGACTACTACTACGTGGATTACTAGTGAATAACCGTAAATATGTTTTCTAGTAGTCCATGACTACTATCATAGGCTGTGAAAGGACTATGAATAAATAATAAATAACCGTTGGATTTAATAAGACGAAGAAAATTTGAATAGTGTTAAATACTAATTGTGTATACTACTATATGAATTACTATAGTGAACACGTAAATTTTCTAGTTTGTAACTACTGTCCTAGACCGTGAAAGGACTTCGGTTTTTATAATAATTAGATTTAATAAGATGAAGTGAATTTTAAGAATGTGCGAGTCTACATGATATGATACATATAATTTACTTTGTCTACATTTGCAATCAAATTGAAAAGCGCCTATCTAATTGAATTATATTTGTCTTATTTTATACTATGATAAAGCTCGAATAATTTGCGGAGCAGTTAAAGTCAAAGATAATCTCAGTTGTATCAAAGAGCATGATGTTGAATTTTGTGATGGTACGATAGAGAAGGATATACAGGCAATCGTTTTTGCTACTGGTTTTGCCACTGCTATTACATGCTTGGATTCATCTATTATCACTCAGGATCAATATGAATGCTTAAACTTGTATAGAAACATATTTCCTCCCGGGTTAGATCATCCAACACTGGCTATGATAGGTTACGTCCAAGTCGGTGGTGCGGTTTTTCCAGTATCAGAAATGCAATCAAGATATGTAGTACGTGTATTTAAAAAGTGTTTATCTTTGCCATCACAGGAAGAAATGATACGTGATATTGAGGATAGGCATAAAGCTAATCAAAAAGCAGTTGTCAGAACGGAATGGTCAATCATTCGGGTATAGATATAATCGATATTTTCAAATAAAGTTCCTATTTCATATAGTCGATAGCATCATTTGCACGATTAATCTTTACGAAGAAATTCTACAACGATTTTACTCTATTTACACTCAGTAGTTGATGTTATAGATACAAAATTGGTTTCCACATTCAACTAAAATTAATTCTGGATGAATCATAAACTGATAAAGTTGGATATTAATTTTATCACTTGTTTTGTTTATGCTTGTATCTATCTATTATTTAGGTGGATTACATTAAGTATATGGATGAACTGGCCTCTCTAATAGGCTGCAAGTGTAATCTTTTATTGTTATTCTTCCGTGATCCGAAATTAGCATTAAGATGCTTTTTTGGCCCATGTACGCCTACACAGTTTAGATTAGTGGGGCCACACCGTTGGAATAATGCCAAAAAGACAATTGAGAATAATGAAAAACGATTTGTTGGTTCAATTCAAACACGTCGATATATGCCACAGATGAAAAGTCGAAGTTGGTTCTGGTCAGGATTTGCAATCACTACAGCAGTAGTGATAGCTTATTATATCACTAGCTACTACTAGTAATATTCTACTCAGTCTTGATTTTCTAATAAGTAACGCAATGCAATGTAGAATATTCTCATGCTAGAAAGACGTATCGATTAAAGTTAGAATTGATTTGTTTTGCTTATTTTTACGTAAGAACAGATGAAGTAAGAAATCATTTAAAAGGTTTCAAATATTGCATTCGTTCAATAAATAATCGCTAACATGAAATAGAGATCGATTTATAAATTAAAATGTCTGTTTCTGCTAGCAATTGTGTGCTTACAGCGCTACTAAGCCGTTAATTACCGTTTGTCGTCAGCAACTAACGATGCTGCTACACTTTCTTATTACTAATTTTTTATTAGCGTAAGTGCGGATTGAAACTAATTATATGCAGTAATGGCTTAGTCATTATTTATATTTTCTATAGGGTAAGAATTTTTATACTGGTTCTATCCTATAATAAATGCACTCTTAATATTTCTTGATGTTTACGTTTATCCAAACCCATTCAAGCGTATTGATAACAAATCTGTAGATGCTTATGCCAGTAAAAATGAAGTAGTCCTCTTGCTCTGATGATTATGTAATAGCAACATTAGGCATACTTATACTTGTATTTATCGAACAATCTCATTGAATGTAGAAAAGGGATTTTACAATATTATCAAGTTTTTCACTTATCTCAACATGCTAGAAGTTTAACCACATCTTGATCATGACTGAACCTTCTTCTTATACTAGACTAACTCAATCGTTTATAGAAATATTTATGCACTCCCACTTTGTATCAGGTAGCGAATGATCTTATTGCACTATTAAAATGTATAGACACATCACAATATCAGCAAGTTGTAGCAAAATTCTTACTGTTTGACAAGCAGAAAATCCAAATGTAAATTTCTATTAAACTTATATCAGGAAATTAATCAAGACAGCGTTTATGTTGCTGAACGGTAAATTTATTATGAATACTGATTAGTAGACCTAAGTAAAATTCATTCTACTGCATAACAGTTTTAATTCGTATAATTACTTTCTGTTTCATAGACGACAGTCAAATTACTAGCTTTGAATACAATATGCAGACTTACAGTAATAAACATTAAAGCTTAATTATTAAATTATTAATTATGAAGAAATAGCATAAATACTGCGCTAATCTCTTTCATTGGCTGTTGTGGTAACTATATTATCGTCGTTGATGCAAGAGGTAATAGAAATGATAGGAGTGGGGATATGATTTGTTACAGCGAAAATACTACTGTAGTACCAGCTTTGCTGACACCTGTTTATGCCGTTATATTTCCAATTATCAAGCTGTCGATACAAAGTATAATTTTTATTGAATTCATTTATGGCAGTTCAAATATCCGAATCACGTTTACGCATTGATTGGCTGATAGTATATTAATAAACTATTTAAATTTACTTTTTGTTTCATAAAGATCACATTCCGTGCTATGCCAGATTATGGATTAAAAAATTGTGGCTAAGTGCTTGTAGTGGGTGAACGTGGCGTAAATGTTTAAAGGCTAATATTTAATCGGCTAAAGTGATATAAAGCTATATATTTACCCATAACTATACTTAGAACTAATTAATTAAATCATAATCAGGCGCTATTTCTGATCAGTTTATACAACTGTCAGGATTTCGACGTGATTCAGATTCAATACAGACATGGCAAAACTATTGTTTGCTAATCAGCATTCCCTTAACTTGGCTAACGGCAGAAGAGAAAGTTCCTCCTAAAATATCAATAAATTATAAGGCCGTATGAATTATTTTAGTAAAACAATTAAAGGAATTAAGTAAAATTTGAATTAACCGATATCGCTGACTGCTCCTCCTATATCGCCATTACTGCGATATATAGCGTACGCAAGTGGAACCATGATAATACCAAGCAGTACAAACCATGTGAAGAAACCGCTGCGACTTTTAACAGCTTTAACTTGGCGAGTGCACATAGAGTTGATCACGTTGTTATCGACACTTTCGATAGCCTTCTTGGCACCTTTCCAAGAATGTGGTCCCTGCAATCGATATTGCGGTGGAGTACAAGGACCAAAGCAACATTGGAATGCTAACTTAGGGTCGGTAAAGAACATACTCAAAAAACTTGGTTTGCAGCCGATCAATGTAGCCAACTCATCCATAAATGGTATGAAATCAACCTAATATTCAAAAATGAATCAATTCATCTCACAATTTATTCGTAAGCGATGATACCTCGTCATTACTAATTTGATCATGCATTAAATATAAGATTTTAGCGAAGGGACCACAATAATTGCAGAAGTTAAGGCACGAATTTCGTACTAAAAGTCAAACTTTTACTATTAGCAGAACGAAAATAAAACGGAAAATATTGGGTGAAATAGCTGCATGATTATAAATTTCATCATTCGGTAGAAATAATCATATAACTACCATATTGTTTTCTAAAATTTAAGATTGTACAAAAAATCAACTATTTTATAAATTTACTATCGACGTGTATACCTCGATGGTATGCCTTGGTGATTCGGTATATCTAGAAGCCATATGATCACGTTTTCCCGTTATGTCTGCCATCATTTCAGCTTCGGAGGGTAACGTACTTTTCTTGTTAAAGACTCGAGTAACCCATCGAGCTTGCATTTCTGATATTGGCATAATAGCACCTACGGGCTGAACAAATCCAACCATAGCCAATGTTGCATGTTTAAGATGAGGTGGAAAGACGTATTTATATAAATCACATTTGTTTTCTACGACTTCTACAATGGATGGGTCCAGAAAAGGGAAACCAAATTTGTAACCAGTACTATAGACAATCACATCGATATCTTTTTCAACCGTGCCATCGGTAAAAGTGACATCATGTTCAGTAAGGCTTTCTACGTTATCCTTTACTTTAACCGAGCCACATATTATTCGAACTATTCAGAATATACGTAAATGCGTTAAGAGTTAGCTAGGATGTGCTACTAGTTAAGAAAATGAGTATTAATGAAGTTACAACGAACTAGAAAGGCATGTATAGAACCACTAGAGAATTTACTGAAATTTATTTTCGAAATGACGATCTGAACGTCACCCATTATTAAAATCAATTTTTACTTAGCATTTTACAATATGCAATAGCAATCTATTATGCAGAATTGTACACTATATTTTTGAAGGGAAACGAATCTTTTACTAATCTTACTAGGATAACTGTAACTTAATTATTATAGGTGAGGAAGTGTAAGTATGGGTAAGTAAGCAGAGGTAAACTAGTGATCGTTTAATGCTACCGTTATTCCATTCCAAGACTAGAGACTAGAATGTAATTTCAGCTCACTTATATTTTAGATTAGGTATCAATTAAAAATAAAACATCATTTACTGCCTTTGCTGAACGATTTTATTCGCGAGATACAGTATGCTCATATCATGTTAATAACCATTGCTTGAGTAGTAAATAGATATCTACGTTTCCTAAAAGCGTAATGCTTGTCCATATACACTGTTAAGAGCGACGTGTAAATGATTTATATAGTATACCTGGTAGTTCATCGCTCATTGTTGGATGTTGAGCAAGCACACGATAGGAAGTTTTTAAACCGTAATGCTCATGATTAAATCTTGCTTCACAACCCTTTTTCAATTCCGCTTCTAGCATCGATGTTGGCATAACAGCATTTATAAAACGATTGAAGACGTGATCTATTGGCTGTCCGCCAGGGCCCAGTCGTGAAAATACCCAAGTTCCGCGTCGAGTACTGAGGAAAACTTTAGAAGCGTGATGACTTGTTTCGCAAGCAACATCAACAGCTGAATTACCAATGCCGACAACAACGACTCTTTTATTCTCGAAACCTATCCAACCAATATTACCGTAATTGCTCAAAATAGAGAACACGAGTCTATATTACAGAAAATATGCATGAAACTCTTTCTGTTGAACTAATTTTAAATTACAGCATTTACCGCGATAATCTTTGTAATCATGACTGTGCATTTGTTTGCCTTTAAACACATCCATTCCTTTAAATGATGGCATCCTTGGATCCCAATGATGGCCTGAACATACCATTACACCATCATATGTCGTTGTTGTTTTGTTTGCATGATCATCCGAAGGACTGGTAACTATATCCCATCTTCCGGTTTGATCGTAGTCAGATGCTTGTTTAATTTGATGGACGAAGGTATTATATCGGATATGTTTGTAGAGATCGAATTTTTCGGCGTACCTTTTAGTATTTGTACAGGTATAGGTATAAGATCAAAATAAAATAGTAAAGTTGTTATAGTGCAGTTACTGTAGAGGGTTATTGATCTTACCGAGTAGATTATTGCAAATTACAATATTATCATTGCCATGCTGTGCATTCAAGAATATTTATGATTCATTTATCAAAATTATGAAGCGATTCGATTGAAAACATGACATAAAAACAACAACCGATACGATTCATGATCATCGTTTAAAAATATATATCAAACGAGAAACCATCAACTATAGGAACAATTACGTTGCAGGTTGTAATATTAAGAAGGGTATATCAACATGAGAGTCGATAAGAATGTGGTTGCTACTGTAGAATATACTAGCTTCGAAGATCATAGTCTGCTTTTTAAGAGTTTGTTTGAAATTTGAAGAATGCAATAACAATTAATTTTTATCTGGCAAATATCTTTACATTGTAATTAATTAATGATTAAACTAATGATCAACCTACATTTCAAAATATTTAATCACGCCGGTATTGTGCATAAAAGGTGAATAGCTAGCGGGTATTGGAAAATCGCTAAAGCACATCAACTCTTTGCTAGTATTGATAATTGTCGAGCGATACACGGTTCCACCCTTGCCAACTTCTTCTATACTTGGAGAATTCGAATACGAATGTCAAAATTAGTCATAAATCGAACGTACACGTTCTAGAATTTTATTATTTTATCAATCCTTTTCATCAGCTTGATCGAGAAGATTAGTGATGAAGACAAATTGATGAAATATTAATTGCACCGCATAGTACAGCCATCTAAAGTTAGCTATTATGATACTATTTGTAAAGTATAATAATGATACTGGAAAAAATCTACCTGCTGTAGCTAAGTGTAATTAGCTACAAATCTTTCTTCTTGTATGTGAGTAATAGAGCTACGAAAATACGCGCCTACAGTAACTTGGTTACTACTAGTAGAAAGCAAAATTAATCGAACCTGAAAACCTCCATAGACCGCCTATATAGTTTTCTTTTTCCAATACAACTCCTTCAATCCCTTCATCGATGCATTCTTTTAGTGATGTTAACCCACTTGCTCCAGCTCCGATAATAGCTACCTTCATCTTGCTTTTGTTTTGGTGACGTTTGATCCGTTCTTTATTAAATATATATACAAATAATAAAAATGATGTGAATATATTTGTGCAATCATGTGCCTATGATCTTGATGGGTTATCTTTAGTTAATACACATAGGATCTAGTAAATATCTACTGTCAACAATATACCACATTTACAACAAATGGTACACTGCATTACACTTAAAATGATTCAAATAATTACATAGTAACTAATAAGTATGATATAGTTTACATCTAATTCATGAACTGTGCTACATTAGCTGTTGTAATTTATTCAAATGTGGGAGAGGAAATTCCTCTTTCACAGTCCTACCTACTGTAATTAAATCCTTGGATATACCCGTATATAATATACAAAATATTATGCATCAATCTCTTTCATATATTTATATAGATCGTATTATAGAAATAAAAAATTCAAATTATTTCAATAATCATTAGTGTTGTACTATATATAATAAGGATATGTAGCGTTGAAACGTAAAACATCAATTTTGATTTATTTCTTTAGTAAATCGCGTAAGTAAGCAAAATTTATCACGTGAAGCGTGATTAAAAAGATTAGATATCAATTAGACTCCTTCTGTATTATCACAAATGTATACAGAGCCAAAAATATAAGGAATAATATAAATTACTTTATTGGCCGAAGTATACAGTAGGACATCTAACCATAGTTGAATCGATTGTTATAATTTGTTTCAATAAAATTTAGATGCCTTGCATATAATGGTGAATTTCTACTAGTGCAAACAGTAATTGCACAGGATTTTTCCTGATATATCCTATATACTGTTACACAGTTTAAACCAAAGTAGATAATGTTTGATTGTAATGTATAGTAGTATGCCTAACGGTAGCTGAATTCGGTCAAATTTGGATGTCTTGCGAGTTATGGTAAGTTTTTATTAGTGCAAATGCTAATGGTATAACGATAGCTGAATTTAATCACACTAGATATCTTTCCGTATATATTATAGAAAATATATAAGTCGATACTAACAGTCTAACATAATCCTGATAATATGCTTACGATTATTTAAACTGAAATTCACAGATGTAATAGAAAATATGAGGATATAATTTGAAGCCAGCAGGATATGCACGATATATAGTATATCATAGAAAATGTATAGCACTTAACTATAATACAAACTCTAATTATATTTTATTTGCAACAAATATTATTGAGCAGAGGAGAGTAAAGGACTGAAAGGAATACATTAAATTTATACATTATGCAATTTGTGGGTATCCGATTGAAAACATATAGATATAACGATAACAAAAAAATATGTATAACTGATTCACGAAGCACCGGGCAAACAGCTGGTAAGTTAGGCTAGGACAGTAGCGGTACCTAATTAATCTATACAATTTTAGAGATTTAAACTTTGACCTTTGTCTAGATACCCTATGCTTAACATAACATAGTTTAATGTACCGTAAACTTTTGTAATATTATTTAGTCTATGCAAGGCACAGCACATAAGGTTTATATGCTTCTCCAGATGACTTCGGCCTGAAGGATAGATATAACAGTTATCGCGGTATAAAATATACTGTAATAGACTATGTCAAGTGTTGGAAACAAAAGAATTTTCCCTAGGCAGTAAAGTACCGGTAATGTTTTAGACTGAAAAGGTTCAAAAGGTAACTGTTAAACTGTACAGTATATAAAAGAATGATTATTAAAGTTGGAAATAACCGATTTGCTTTGCATGCTCAAATGGACCCAATTAATTTTAGTATGTTAACTATTAGAGAGATTGGAGAAAGAGAGTAGTAATTTATGCCAATATTCACTGAGCCGGTAAGGCTAATACGATGTTACTTGTAACACGATGTGGGGTAAAGAAACTTAAAGTTCTAAATATGTTAACATTAAGCTATAGTTAGTAGGTATTATGAAGCATATTGTTGTTCAAAATATGTGTTAAAGTAATGATATTGGAAGACTGAATCGCTATATTACTATGATATACTTTCCATGAGTGCTCTAACACCTTCAATCATATATATTACAGATTGCATAGTAAAATTTTTTAATATATACGATTTTACGTTGTGCACTATTATAATGTAACAAATGGACATTCGAAAGCATTGATTACTCATTTAATTACGTCATCAAATTTCGCTTTCTTACGGTAAAACTGGAAAATAAATTAGCTAAAAAGTACAAAATTCAATAGATAAACTAGAACCTATTGCGGTAGCATTATTTACCATTTTCTGGTTTATACAGTATTAAATTATGGCTTAAATCATAACCGATATACTCGTATAGGCAATCATTTTGAAATTCTAACTTAAAAATAAGGCAAAGACATAAAACAACTTGATGTGCTAGTAAATAATTTCTCGATTTTAAAGCATATGCAAGGCATGATCGACTAAAAATATATGAATAGTGTAATCAGTCATGAATTAATTATTTATGCCTCATACAGAAAAGTAGATATAAGTACATTGGAGTTAGTAGTAGCTACAACTGTATTAATTAAGCAGTTATAATTACTTGTAAGGTGATTGATGATGTTTTCATCAGTCGTATATAAAGTAGAATCTTCCTATAATTTTTAATGCTTCCTCTGTTAGAATTTGACTGCTAATCAGTTGCAGTAAAGTGCTATTACTATTCGCTGAAGTTTTATTATATTTTATTTGTATTATAGCATATAAAATCTCAGTAAATCTTACTTTAAGTTTCAGACTTATGTGAACGTTTTTCTTAATGGGGATATCAAGCACTAAATCTCACTTTAACTCTAAGGCTTACATAAATGTTTTCCGTGACAAAATATCAAGCGCTAAATATTGCTGTTACTATTAAGCTATACGTGAATGTTGTCGTTAACGGGATATTAAACATTAATTCTCACTTTGACTTTTAAGTTTTGAGAGCGTTTTCTTTAAAAGGCCATCAAGTACTAAATCTGACTTTAACTTTTTAAACTTGCATGACCATTTTCCTTAACAGGATATCAAGCAAAAATTTTACTTTATATACCCTTTTTAGTTTCAACCAAGCTTAGGTGAATGTTGTCGTTAACGGAATATCAAGTACTAAATCTTACTTTAACTTTTAAGCTGTCAAGGGGAAGATTTTAAAGGCGAATGGGCGGAGATTATGTGAACATTTTTCTTGACAGGATATCAAGCTTTAAATCGCACTTTAACTTTTAAGCTTATGTGAATGTTTTCCTTTAATGGGATATCAAGCACTAAAATCTCACTTTAACTTTTAAGCTTACGCCAACATTTCCTTAGCTAACGAGATACTAAGCACTAATCTCACTTTAACTTTTACGTTTACGTAAAATTTTTCCTTATCTAGATATCAAGTACTAAATCTTGCCTTAACTTTTAAGCTTATGTGAAAGTTTTTTCTTAACGTGCAATGAAATACTAAATCTTACTTTTAACTTTTAAGCTCAAGGAAAGTTTTCCTTGATAGAAAATAAAATCACTAAAGCTTACATTAACTTTTAAGCTTATGTAAATGTTTTCCTGAACGTGAATATCAAGCGCTAATTAAATCTCACTTTGGCTTTTAGGTCTGAGCATTTTCTTCAATACAATATCAATCACCAAGTTTCACTTTAGTTTTTTAAGTTTATGTGAATACTGTCGTAAACGGGATATTAAGCACTAGTTCCACTTTGATTATTAACCTTACATTAATATTTTCTTTAATGGAATATCAAACACTGAATCTCACTTTAACTATTAAGCTTACGTGAAATTTTTCTTAACTAGATATCAAGCACTAAATTTCACTTTAACTGTTAACTTTTAAGCTTACATGAGCATTTTCCGTAATAAAATATCAAGCACTAAATCTCACTTAAACTCTTAAGCTTACGTGAAATTTTTTTTTCTTAACTGGATATCAAGCACTCAATCTTACTTTAACTTTTATGCTTGCGGAAATGTTTTCCTTAACAGGCAATCAAGCACTGAATCACTCATTAACCTTTAAGCTTAGGTGAACGTTTTCCTCAACAAGTCTCGCTTTAACTTTTAAGCTTACGTGAACGTTTTCCTTAACGGGAATATCATGCATTAAATCTTACTTTAACTTTTAAGCTTACCTTAAGTCTGCCTGTGAAACGTTTTAATCACGTTCGATATGAAGTGCGCGTATGTTTGCACGTCGATTTGGTTTTGTATTGCTTCCACCTATTAGCTAATTACAACAAAATTATACATTATAGTATATAACAATATACTATAATGTACAGGGTGCTGTAATTAATTACTCGCAACCAATAGAAATTAATGATGAAATAGACCTTGAGTTACAAAGTCCAATCCTATTTCTCCGATTAAAGCGCAGGCTCTATAAAATCAGCAGATCGCTATAGGAGTCATCCTTTCGGATAAGAAATAAATTAATACGGTACATTATGGTCAATAATTAGGAGTAAACATACATGAATTAGTATTATTATTTGAAAATAAATGCTTTAAGAAAGAATGGATGAAGCACGTTTTGAGCAGATGCGCTAGATGATAGTTTTGTAGATTTCATTATTTTCAGTTGAAGTATACTAGAACCATTAACATTTCAAAAGCATCAAAAATAATAGTAGTAAGAGTAAAAACTACTGTTACATCATTCTACAAGTATTACAACGACCATTTCACGTTATTTACTGTAGAAGTAAATTATAGCAATTTGGTACAGGACAGCTTTCCATATGCTTTTATTGGAAGTTAGGCAATGTATTAAAGAAATCAACTAATCCGCAGGGCCCATGAATAGTTCACAGCGAGATCGATAGTACTACAATAACATATTGCATCACTGACCGTACAAGACAATCTTCCGATATACCATTATTGAAAGCTATTCAAAGGGTTCAAAAAAATCGATTAACCTCTCTGTTTATGAATAATAATTATAATTAAAAGTCCACAATAGGATTACTGTAGCCCATTCCACAGTTTAAATATCGAAGCTTTGAAGACAACATAGTGTTAGTCCAGGCATTATAAGGTTTACTTAATGAAAGCAAATTATTATCAACGAGCACCAACTACGTTATGTCACAATCGCGATAGTTAAAGATAAAATCAGTGTATCGATTCTTATCATATACAACAATATTTAGACCTCACATATAATCTTTCCCTTCCTATTAGAAAGACTCCAAACTTTACCCGATACAGCACTGTATATCAGAGCTAAATTTAGCTTTTTATAATATATCGTATACTGGAGAAGAGTAGTCTTGTCTTCAGTAGACAGATGCATACAGTAAGATATCTTGGCTATCTCTTTTTGGGGAGCAGGTTTTCTAGGGAAGATTCAAATATACTTATAGTTGTTTTATAGGCGTAAAAATGATGAAACTAAATCTGCATTATTGAAGAACTGCATCTAGGAGCCAAGGAATGATTCAGGTTGAAGATCGTACTTTTGACTCTAATTTATAGTTCCTACTCTTCTAAAATAAGATAGTACCAGTATTAGAAGGTTCGATCTAAACTTGGACTATTATTTGTGAGAATGAGATTACTTTTAGGTAACCGTAGATTAGCTAGATACTATTATTACAAGATTAAACTTGAATTAAAAATAGTAGGGCAACCTTAGTATCATCTATTGGTATGGGACGGTATTAAATTACTTCTATAAGTTACCTAATAATAACTTTCTAAAATTGATTAAAAGTCTCTGACGCTACAGGATGTCAAGACGATCTCAAAATGTCTCTAGGATTGTTTACATATATCTTTCCATATTTTCTTTTACCGCCTACACTAATGCACACACGTACGTGATTGTTCGCTTACTACTATAATATGTTAGAATGCGGATATTTGTTTTACGTTGAATAAGATTCTAAAGAAGCCATTACTACCTTGCACGTTACATTTATACAATATTTATATTGATAATGTTGCATTCCAACTTGCTGCAGTACTATAAATCGGGGATATTTCGACATCTTGTAAGTAATTTTTTTATAATGATAGGATTTAAATTCAGCTTAAAATTCATGTATATTTGAGTACGTAATTAATCTTATAGTCTGAAACTCAAATTGTTTACATTGGGTTGGGAGTGCAGTGGAAGTGGCAACACACCTGGAATAAGCCTACAACAGGATCTACTAATTATAATATAAAAAAAAAAAGATGGAAACGGGACTGCCAACGTCCGTCGGTAAGAAATGATGGAGAGGCTTATCATTTCATGCCATTCTAGTATACGCTATCAATGAAACCGTATGCCATACTGCACAAAACCAAACTAGCAGTTAATTTGATATCAATCGCGGACAGTATAATGGTGTGCCGTTATGAACATATGATATAGTTGCAATGGTCAGTAAAATAATCAGCCTCTATATTATTATTATAGTCAACCATCGTTGGCTGTCCCATAAAATTCAGTTGAAAAGTGATCTTGTAATTTGTATCTTGCATCTTAATTATAAGGTTTAAAAGGTGCTTTCTAGTGCTAAATTGCTATTTTAATGATTGAATAAGTCGAGAAAGCGATGAAAGTTTAGTCATGAATAAGATATGATCAAGCCATAGCTACAGGAATCGATCTCAGATGGAAATTTGATTTCAAGTTTCTAATCTTTTTTTCAGCAAAAAGTACCAGTGCTACGGTAAGTGTACGATATTACGGTTATGCTTACAGTTAACTGTACAAGGGCATAAGTAATTCTAGGGCAATTAGGTTATTAAGCCAATAGTCAATGACAAGTTCGGCAACATATTCATCCAATAACATAGAGCAGGGCCTTCTTTTGATATTGTTGTACTAATAAAGCTACTCAATGTTTTAAAGAAATTGAATAGCTACTATGTTCAGACGATTATCTATAAATGCAACAGCAGACCGTTCCTCGTAAATAATATCCCCCTCTAAAAATTGGACGTAAGGGAATTGTTATAGATTCAAAGTAATCAATTGGCTTTTAGCTACAGCTTTAAAGCTTTAAAGTATTATTAGTTAATTTAATAATGCAATATGGTTAGACTGCGCTCTTGTTTGTCTAATAAATCTTTCAGTTTTAGGCTTACGTCCTAGAACCATTATGGAGAAAAAATTACGGTATGCCAAGTATCACGAGCGAAGGTTCGACTAGTCTCAATAACGTCATAAATTACAGTCCGTCAGCAACATGATGGGTTATAGGACTAGTATTTTAATTACATACAGACTGATAAGTTTACTAATAATTTTAAAACTATGCTATTAGTCTATTACAAATAAACACTTTAAAGTCTTGACATCAAATTGATAACTACATCATGCAGACTAAACTAGTTTATAACTCAACCAATACAAATCCGACGAAACACACACGGCACTCTCAGCTGCATGTCTGCATGGATACTTATACACATATAAGTTGAAACAAATATTGAAATCAACATTCTTTACGCTAAATAAAATGACGGTAAAGCTAATATCCATTTAAGAAAAATCTTTCAAGAGATTTTATCAAAATGGCTTAACTTAAATATGCCGTATGTATGTATTATCCCTGCGAGTGCTATGAAAATATTGCACTTTATTTAATGTTTCAAATGGTAGTCAGACAGTTAAGATCGATCTTGTATCTTTGCAGTCCCAATATCTAAGGACTCCATTGTAATTGATTAGGTTCAAAATGAATCTTTTACGTCATCGGTTAACTAATGCCTACAACTTGTTGTAAAAGTGGGTTTAATCCTTTTAATTTATGCTTTACTGAAAAGGGAATTACAGCATTCACTAAGTCTATTTCGTAATCAAGATAATAAGCTATGTGTTGTTGATTAAGTCTAACACTAACTATCGAGTAGGTTAACTTTTCGGATAAATTAAGTCATCATGATGTATCCGACAACATTTGATTACACCTATATTACTAGCTGAAATAAAAGACTTCATTCCAGACCGTTACAGTACTTTAGTTTAAAATTAACAACCCAAAATCTCTTACTTATGAATATACTAATTAAGAAATATCTAGTTGAAATGCACTGTATCATAGCCATGTTTATCGGATATAATCGTAGTGCAAGTTAATGGGCGCACGTAACGGAGTTTTTTTTAATATGCCATCGCGATTATCGGTATTGAATGCTTCGTAAAGCAAATTCTTTGCATTCATTGAACGTAGAAGCCAAAGCTTCACCTGGAAAGAAAATTTTTGGACATTACACTTACACTTAATTACTTTAAAGCATAGAAATATATATTAAATAGACATTTACCAATATCGCGAATTCCTGCTTTGACATTACCCCCTCTCTTGTAGGAAGCATATATCGTAGATGCAACAACTACTGCAAGAAATAATCGCAAGGTCTTACTACTTTTAGCTTTTGGTATATCTTCGATTTGTCGAGTACGCGTAGGTTTATCAATATTATTTTTAGCCTGTCTGATAGCATTTTTTGCTCCATCCCAAGCATGAGGTCCTCGCAATCGAAATTGTGGAGGAGTACATGGCCCGAAAATACATTTAAAAACCAGACTGGGATCAGTGAGCATCAAAGAGAAGAAGCTTGGCTTGCACCCGATCAAATCAGCAATTTCGTCCATAAATTGTATAAAGTCAACCTAGTTGATACAGTTAGTATCAAAATGAAATCTTTTCTCTTATAAATTATTGATTTATTACAGTTTAATCATTAGTAACAAATTAATCAAGCAAGATATCTTGGCCGATGATGATGCTAAAATTTAGACGATACATTTGTTTTTTGTTGTTTTAATGTACTATATTATCTACAATTATCTTTGATATCATTCGCTTACCTGGATAGTATGCCTTGGTGAATCAACATACACAGCAGCCATATTGTTACGTTTTTTTTCGATATCTATCATCATTCCAGCTTCCGATGGCAAATGACATTTCTTATTGAATACTCGTGTAATCCATCTTGCTTGCATTTCCGCTATTGGCATAATAGCCCCAACTGGTTGTACGAATCCTACCATTGCCAACGTAGGATGCTTAAGATGTGGTGGAAATGCGTATTTGTATAGATCGCACTGGTTATCTTTAACATCAACGATAGACGAATCCAAAAAAGAGAAACCAAATTTATATCCAGTACAATAGACAACAGTGTCAATATCTTTCTCAATAGAGCCATCAGTAAATTCAATATCGTGTTCATGCAGGCAAGCAATGTTATCTTTGACTTTGACTGCTCCACATACTATGCGTACTAAATAGGAAATAAAACAAACATTTAAAGAATTAATTACGGGCATTAAGCATCACTGTCATGAGCGTTGTCATAATTTGTGATTTATTGCATAAAGTCTTTCTATATTTATAAATTTATCATCTACACTTGTCTGATTTCCATATAAATTCAGACTCTTAACGATGATCAATTGTTTTACAGCAAGCTTGAAAATTTTTAGAATAGAAATCGAATTTAAGAAGTTAGGATAAAGTATATATAAATTACAGTAATCGTTGTACTAATTACCAGTTCGTATGATCGGAGAAAAAATCGTAATTAGGCAACATAGGTATAAAATAATATACCATACATACTTGGTAATTCGTCACTGATAGTGGGATGTTGCGCTGCTACTTTATGTTTAGCTTTCAATCCATATTGAGCGTGATCAAATCGTTCATTTAAAGCTTTTTTTAGCGAATTCTCAACAATTGACGAAGGCAGCCAGCTTAGATAACGGTTGAAAAAAACATCTATTGGGTCTCCTCCGGGACCAAGGCGTGAAAATACCCATGCCCCACGTCGTGTGCTGAGATAAACCTGTGAGCAGTGCTGACTTAATTCACTAGCAACATCAACACCTGAATTGCCAATTCCTACAACTACCGCTCGGGTATTTTCGTGACCTATGGGAATGACGATTTTGACGTAATGGGAAAAATAGAGGGTTTAGTGTGTGAGGGATTGAATAAGTTGATATTCCAATTGTAAAGCTGACCATTTATTATATAATAATCCTTTAGTAATTTCATTGCATTTATGTTATCATTATTATCTTATGATAACTACTGTATAATCAATTTCAACAAACCGCGATAATCCTTGTAATCGTGACTATGTAATTGTCTTCCCTTGAATACGTCCATTCCTTTAAAAGATGGCATCCTGGAATCCCAATGGTGGCCTGAACAAACCATAATACCATCAAAAGTGGTTGTGGTTGTTTCAGCAGTAGGATTGTCAGCAGGCTTGGTAATGACATCCCATCGTCCTGTTTCTGAATAATCGCTTGCTGGTTTAACTTGCTGGACGTAAGTATTGAATTGAATGTGCTCGTATAAATTGAATTTTTGGGCATATCTTGAGAATGTAAATAGGGAAATTACATTATTCAAACCACTGTTTTATGCTATTGGTGTCTGACGGCATACTTTACTGCATATTACTAAAAAATTATCGGCTGTAACATGATTAAGTTATGAACAAATCCTAAAGTTGGCCAATGCCTAAATTATTTTTTCAATGTTACAAATTTATTGCTCTTATTTATACATCATCATTTGTAGTGGGAAAAGATGCTTACAATGATATAGCTGTCATCTCGTGCAAATATCTGCGTGACTGTTAGTGCATTACGATGAAATGGGTATTTTTCGCTATAATTCAAAGAGTGTAACTTAAGGGACCACTCGTCTAGTAAAATTTTGAAGGTTAACAATACTATTTGTCCTTCAAATTACACATGGACATCATTAACACAGAATTATTGTACAGTCTACTAGACGTTATCGTCAACATCGATAATAATATTATGTCCTACCGTACTTACTACAGATTACTGTTAAGGTTTCAATAGACACTGTCATTACTGTAATAATCTGAAATCTTGACAACTCGATGTTATCATTAATATTTATAATACTATTTTCAAGTAGCTACTTTTTATAGATGAAGTAATCGATTAATCGTCAATAAACTAGTGTCGTCAAATAGCCTCTATCGTACTAGCCCTTGTTCTTCAGATACAGAGGCACACTCTTGCTGTATGTACAATAGCTTGAAGTAATGATCAGCAAGATGAAATAGGTTGTTATTGTACAGTATACTACACCAAGATCTACAGTGAAATCATATTCTGCATATATCGTACGTACACTATATTATTATCCAGAACGAATAGCAGTAAAATCCCTTCGATAAAATTTGAAATTCTATGTCTTAATTAACTAAGTATTAACTGTAGTAATTACAGCATTACTTACAAGTCAAAGTATTTCATGACGCTTGTGTTATGCATGTAGGGTGCAAAATTCTCAGGAATAGGAAAATCGCTGAAGCACATCATTTCCTTGGATGTGTTGATGACCGTCGATCGATAGACTGTTCCACCCTTGCCAACGTCTTCTATACTCCGTAAATGCAATCATATCAAAATTGTGAATAATTGTAGTTATTAATTAATATACTAGTGGAACCTGTGATACTTCTCGAGCTACACTTTTTACTTAACATTTATTTTATTTTATTTTATTCTATATCAATGTAGCGAACTAATCGAAGACTATCTCTGATTTTATGGATAGAAACGATTTAGCTCATGTAATTTCATGCGTTGTTATCCATGATGAAATTCATGCATTTTCAGTAGAATTAGGTAACGTCGATAGTGTCTGGCATTACTTATTAGCCCTTAGAAGATCTTGTTGAAGGAGTAGTTTTACAATGACAGCTCCAGTTATCCACGTGCTCAACTACAGTCAACAGTATTATACAGTACTAGGCAATAATGTTGAATATTTATTTTAAATCAGGTCCGATACTATGCGATTTATAGTACATACTGCTAATTCCCCCAAATCAAGTCAATTATCTAGATCTGTAATCCGTTACTGTAACAAAATATGATCCTACAATAGTAGATAGACTAAGATGACGTCTACAATGCCAACCTTCAAATTTCCATAATCCACCAATGTGATTCTCTTTTTCAAGAATAACTGCTTCAATGCCTTCATCCAAGCATTCTTTAAGGCTGGTTAAGCCGCTTGCTCCAGCTCCAATAATTGCCACTTTCATGTTCGTCCTTTTATGCAATACTTTAGACGCCTTTTTCTGCCTATCAATCGCAATTTATAATATTTTATAATATTTATTTTTGAATGGTAGGTGTAAAAATGCATCTCCATTTCAAGAAACATTAATAAAACAGATCGTTCCGTTACTTTAAGTTGATCCCTTCGGATTGTAAATGAAGGAGTTGTTAAGCCTTCATTACAAGTGCACTAATTAATTCTATGGACAAAAATAGATCCAAAATTGGACATTTAATGAAGTGAGTTAGTCCTCATTTGCTGCTGTATACTCTGATCCTGTTGCCAGTAAAGAACACTCGAGCTTAATCGACTGATCGCTAACGATGAGCTCTTCTACAGTAGTGTATGGAAATTTTAAATCGATCATGGCTATTTCCATGACAAGTTATCATCGAATTTATCCTTACCTTCAGCGTAGCGTAGACCGGCTTCTGGCTGCCTAGTAGGTGTTTAACACTAGTAATAAATTCAATCATGACATCGGACACACACCACCGGGTAAGGTGCTAGGTGCCACAGGGCGACACAGTGTAAAAAGAGAACCCCGCCCAGTCTCAGGGTCTTTTGGCGACGCCGCGGCGTCGATTTTACGCTTTAACAGTAGTTGTATGAAAGAGAAAGGGGGGGAAGAAAAGTGATCGTTCAGTGCAAAATATTGTCTGCTGTAGGTTATCCTTTTTCCACTCATTCTACTACGAGGGAGCGATGAAAGCGTCTACCTTGTACGACAAAACCAATCGAGCGAATCGTTTGCAGAAACTTCTGGCAAGCCCCTACGAGAGAGCGATGAAAGCGTCTACCTTGTACGACAAAACCAATCGAGCAAATCGTTTGCAGAAACTTCTGACAAGCCCCTACGAGGTACCGATGAAAGCGTCTACCTTGTACGACAAAACCAATCGAGCAAATCGTTTGCAGAAACTTCTGACAAGCCCCTACGAGGTACCGATGAAAGCGTCTACCTTGTACGACAAAGCCAATCGAGCAAGTCGTTTGCTGAAACTTCTGACAAGCCCCCTACGAGAGAGCGATGAAAGCGTCTATTTTGTACGACAAAACCAATCGAGCAAGTCGTTTGCTGAAACTTCTGACAAGCCCCTACGAGGTACCGATGAAAGCGTCTACCTTGTACGACAAAACCAATCGAGCAAATCGTTTGCAGAAACTTCTGACAAGCCCCTACGAGGTACCGACGAAAGCGTCTACCTTACTTGACCAAACCAATCGAGCAAGTGCAGAATAGTATCTACTGTAGGTTATCCTTTTTCTAGTCATTCTACTACAAGGGAGCGATGAAAGCGTCTACCTTGTACGACAAACCTATCGAGCAAATCGTTTGCAAGCACTTCTGACAAACCCGTACAAGGGACCGATGAAGGCGTCTACCTTACTCGACAAAACCAATCGAGCAAGTCGTTTGCAGGAACTTTGGAGAAGCCCCTGTCATTTGTATGGCAATCGCGGTAGTATACATACTGCCTATAATACTGTCTAATATCTACCATCGATTCCATCTCATCGTATCAGCTAATTTTGCTATTTTTCCCCAACCTAAAATATCCCCGGCCGTATAATAGAAGAGAAACGAAATGTAAAAACTACCCCTATCATAATACAAACAATATTTAAACACGGGGGTACTTTCAAGCTGGGAAAAATGTCCAAATTAGCTGTCAGTCCCAATTGCTCAAGGTTGTCAGAATTTAGTAATGTCGCATATTGTAGCCTAATTGAAAGTCGGTTGCTTGCAAACTGCTACAGCTAATTGAAACTCCTTGCTAAGCAGCTTGGAACGAGAATGGCTGGAAAAAGCAAAATTGATTCGTCTCGACATTACGTTATATATTGCACTAAATGAGCTGCAAGGTTGGTTTTGAGCAGTATAATGTGAAATGATATGGCTTCAACGCTAGGGACTTTACTGTCACAGTATGGGAAGGGAAGAGATGTTTGGGTATTCTGTATGTAGAATGGACAGCGGACTGAAGGACAATCTCAGCCAATGTTTACCAAGAAATACAGTACAGTACATACTGTATAGTACGTACTGTAAGCAAGCATGAGGTACTGTACAGTACTGTACTGTACGGCATCTTCCGTCCGTCTTTCTGTCTGTGCAGATTGCAATCGGACTAATGTATTTTTTTCCTCTCCTCTACTCCAATCGCTGATCAACTAACATGGCTGAGCAAGCTCAACCGATATCAAGTGTTGATGATACTTGCGCCAACAGCCAAGCAAAGGAGCAAAATCAAATGCATTCCGATCAAGAACAACATGACCATTATTCGTATACCAAAAGAGAAGAGTTCACATCGGAAATTTTTAAAATTGAGATCTATAATTTGCCATTCTATTTAGGTTTCGTGGTAAGTTCGATAGCTTTGATCGAGTATTCAGTGGTTACAGCATCATCAATGCTATGACAAGCAAGCATGCAACGTTTGCCAGAAATACTGTATAATGTACGCTCGTGCTGTAGCGATCTACCGGACTATCTCTAATTAAAGCTGCAGACTACTTTAACCAATAACCTGACAAGAAATTGAGCCACTAGCGATCATACTACCATAAATTTACCAATCTGATGAACGCTCAATCAATGCAAGGACGCATGCATGTTGCAGCTACATCCCATTCAATATATTGCTGCTGTTATCATGTTAAATTTCTTATCCATTGCAATTTCCAAGCATGCGAATATGCAATATTGGCAATATTCCATCAAGCTTTATGCATCAACAGATTCTCAATCCCCTTGGATTAATTACAGTATGTATATCGTTACTATTAATGTTAGCGTATCCATAAAAATCCGCTATGCAAAATCCCAATACTGCAAGCCTTTTATGCCACCAATAGCTGACGTGTTGTTGCAATTTTACCAAAGATATCCATTGCTTTATTCTACTGTAATATGAATACACCTATTTTCCATCCTTAAAATGATTATTATGATTGTCAATACAGGAATTGAAAAAACTTCTCAAAAAGTTGGATCTACAACCTATTAAAGTAAAACTAATACCTCGAGCTACATTTGCATTCGTCACGTTCGGGTAAGTACTGGTGGTAAGCCTAGAAAACAGACGAGTATGTAATAGTTTGCTCTACGATAGTTTAATGCAAGTAGTTAACCCTTCTAGCTCTATTGTGGAATAAAGCTAATTTGAAAGATACGAATCGCATTTTATGAATTAACTTTATCTTTTCTACAATTCCTTCAATGACTGATACCACAGCTCGGAAGCTGAGAGACAGGTAAGCCATGATGGACGTTTACACGGTGTAGTACTTGTATACAGTGATAGCCTTTATACTGTAGTGTCTTTGGAAACAATTTACCTGGGGATACTTTACTTTGTACCAATCACATATACTTTCCATATTTGAAACAGAAAGCATTGAAGGCTATTGATGGATACAACTGGAAAAAGAAAGTACTACAAGCAAAGGTATATCCGTATAATTGAATCTTATCAAAGTCCAACATACTATTAATACTAGCATAACTGTACAGTACAGGAGGCTTAGAATGGACCATAAGAAATAGCATAGTATTCTTACATGTTATGCGCTTTTAGTTAATCTGCAAAGGCGATATTACTAAATAGATATCATAGCTTTTCCATCACAACTGAGATAGGTCCTATGGTGATTTAAAATTGAAATAAATTAATAAAGTTTAATTCTATACTAATTGCCAACATGTTTGCAAAACTTCTAGCTTGCGAAACCTGTAGTGGATCCAATCGCAAAGAAGCGCAACGCTGCTGGCAATGGTAAAGTATTGACAGCATGTGCATGAAAGCATTGTATAAATAGTCATATCGATATCTCGTATTACGTTGTAGATATTCACTCGTCTATGTAATCTGTAGCAGTAAAGAATCTTAACGATAGTAACTATTATTTGATCAGTAGTAAAGCTCAACTGATATAAGTACTATGCTTAGTAAATTGCTGCTATATATCAACCATTGTCTTTAAATTAGCGTCAACTACACAGGGTTATTTTCTTGTCTATTCAGCATCATTGTGGTGTCGAATAGTGGCGCTTATTAAGGGTTATTAACTAACTGTAAACTACATATTTTTACAATTATGCATTTATTATAGATGGGACTACTGGTGATGTGGATAGCGAACAGAATAAGAAAAGAGCCAAGACTTTAAAGTATGCAAAAGGACTCCATTGATACTGCTAACGATTTTGATATCAACCTTCTTTTAACATTTTTAAAAGTCTACCTAGATTAAAATGAAATAATAATGATCGTTTTTTAATGATATTATTCAGTATACTAGATGTTGTAATACCCTTGTGGGATAAATCGTATGACCAACAATTAAAGGTAAGCTACTGATGATCGAATTTCATTACATGATATTGTGGACGATATATTTCGTAATCATACAACGTTTACATGTCTTCTTTTCTTATCAAATAAGAAATTTTAATTTTGTCTAGATAAAAAAAAATAATTTAGATCGTATCCTCAGAAAATGTACTAGCAAGTTGGAGGCTATAAAAGTAGTAAGTGTTTCTTTAATCTTATTCGTTATTTATGGATTATGCAAATTAAGCCTACTTTCTGTTTATTATAATTATCGATAAAAACCCAATTTTTCGTATTGTCGATTATTCGAAGGGCGACTGGTTAAAATTGCACAAGTAAGCCTTTCTCTTACGAATATGAATGAGGTTTAGATATTATATCCTGTGATAATATGTACTGATGCCTTTCGCTGTACTCTATTCTGTCAAGAAACGAATTTGATGGGATTTGCTGTCAGTTTGTCGATATACTACCCTCAGTGAGTTTGCTTCTATTGAAATATCCATGCAGTTTTACCTTATAGCTGCTGCTGAATACAGATATTACAATATGCTTTCTGATAAGATATCTTCCAAAGGAAATTACTGTTGTTACTTATTTGCTTGATTACAGCCTGAAATAAACAATTATCGTAACAAGTGCGAATTTGCGATCGGGCAAGACTCTAAAGATGAAGGTTTGAAAATTAGCGATTAGTATTTTTTATAAATGCAATAATAACCCAGTAGTAATTTCCGTTCGAGCAGGTATCGCTGTTGGCTTCCGATTGGGAAGTTATAGAGGTATTACAATGTCCATTTATATTTATTGGACATTACAATTTTTATATAAAAAATTTGCATACTAGAAATATGTCTCATCATATAATTAGCATGAAATGTATGAGTTAAAGACCTACTAACAAATTTTGACGTTGTGACTCTAAAAGCCGTTAATTGCCAATGTAGGTAATTGTTTAAACTCTCATAATTGTTAAATAGAGGGCAATCTATCTGTAGTTCCCCCTACAGACTGTGCAAATGTGCCAGAGGAAGCAAAAGCAATCGCAAAGGTTGAAATTGTCTCTAAACAGCATAATTGATATATTAACTGCTTGTATAAATCATAGAAAGGTTAGCTAACGTATCCGTACACTTTTCGTAGGCAATGCAGAGCCTTATTCAGCAGTCATCTCTGCCAGTATATAGCTTCGTCGATCATACTGGTTATTGGAGGCAAATTTGCGTTCGACGTAATTTACTTGGCCAGTTGATGGCAATAGTACAACTTCATCCACAGGATCTATCCGAAGTACATTCTAATAAGGAAATTTTTTAGCTCGTTTTGAAGTTATTAAAGGACAGAATGTACTTTTGTAGGATCAGTTGCAAAGTTTGAAGGACGAAATCAATCGTTGTTTAGAAAAATGCGACTGCCAAGTTGTTTCGGTTTATCTTCAGAAACAGACAACGCGGTAAATGGTATTAAAAACTAAATTACAATTTATTGCTACTGGTATATTGCTATATGGTTTGATAATGTCAGTAAACTGGACTAGTCATAATCAAACTTAAAAAAATAAAAGTTAAATGCTTATACAGCCGTTTCTTTTCGTAGATCGTCTGCTGGTAATGCAGGTTCGGTGTATGAAATTATCTCTGGATCGAAGGTTAGTTACTTCAACTGGCAAGAGTTCTTGCATAAGTAACAAATCTGATAACAGATAGTATGGGGGCGGTATTAGTAGTAATTACCTGTCTAACTATGGATTTATCATTATTTTCAGTATTTATATGAAGATTTCTTGGGAATGAAATTTAGGATTTCACCGTCGTCATTCTTTCAAGGTTACAGTAACTCTTGAAAACACCTGAATATCAGTTCACTACTTAGATAATCACTAAATTTCTAAACTTTTAAGCTATCAAAAAATTTCAATTTCATGACAACATTTTCACAAACCCACAGGTAATACCCTAGCTGCCGAAGTCTTATATAGAAATATCCGAGATTGGTGTCCGACAAAAGCAACTACGGTGGTTTTAGGTAAGTGAAATACTGTAGTGTGGTATAAAATCATAAAATTTTTCGTAATCTTTTAATCATAATCTCTTTGCAAATTTGTTGATTCAATTTTTAGATATTTGCTGCGGTACTGGAACGATTGGAATTTTGATGGCAAAAGTAAGCTTATTACACAATTTTTTGTTGTTACGTAGAAGTAATATTAAGATTTATATGCTTTACCGCTATATAGAACGTTAATAGAGTTATTGGTATCGAAATGGTAGAAGACGCAATCGAAGACGCAAGAGTGAACGCTGAGTTGAACGGTGCGTATCGGCTTAAAATACTGTATAACTAATAAAATCTTACTGTAATCTAATGACTTATTCATTAATGCTTAAACTATTGATTCTGTAGATATAAAAAACATTGAATTCATTTGTGGTAAAGCAGAGGATAAATTGCCTACCTTAGTGGATAATTTATCTGTCATTAGTGAAGTTATTGCAATTGTGGATCCGCCCCGAGCAGGCTTACGTAAGGCTAAATGTTTATCTGTAGTAACTAAACATTGATTTTAACTTAAAAATTTTATGTTATAAATACTTACCGATGCTATGTAGTCTTAATATTTTGAAACTTTACTTAAAATACACGCAATATATATGTTAGCAAAATCGTAAATTATTATGCTCTATTACAACGTAGATACGAGGGTAATCAAAGCACTTCGTCGATCTTTATTCATAAAAAAATTGATATATGTTTCTTGTAATCCGGCTATGGCAGTGACCAATTTCGTCGAGTAAGAATATTATAGTTTTGTTTGTTCTGTGATTAATTTATTGTAGATAACGAGCGTTTACAAGTCGTGCAGCTTCATTTATCAGAAATAATGATTAATAGAGTCAAAATGTTTATTTGATAGACTTTGTTCTCCTCGGACAAATCGCCTGCGTGGACAGCCGTTCAAAATTATGAAAGCTCTCGCTGTTGACTTATTTCCGTATACTGAACAATGTGAATTAGTCTTACAATTTGAAAGATAATCATGGTTGTAGCTAGATAATCAAACAAACACTGCATCAGTTTGCGGATTAACCGTTGCTGTAACTGGCAATGGATCATCAAAAAATTTTTTATCTTGCGTTGTACATACTACATTGACGCAACAAGTAAAACTACAGAATTTTTTACATTTTTGAGCTTTAATCTGGAACAGTGCCGATTGCATCAAGTGTTATTATAACTTATCAGATTAAAAATTTATGTTATAAATGCCTTGAATAGCTTCCTGTATGCCGGAGATTCAAATTTAATTCGTGTATCATGATGATGGTATGGTACGACTTATTTATGTTCTATATTTTTCAAATTGCCGGTAACACTAAGGTCGTGTTAGAATCTGTCTACATAGCAGGGTTCCGAACAATACCATTATTCATTATGCTAAGTTGTCTACCCCAATGTATTAATTGACTCACATTTGCTACATACGCGTAGGCATTATCAAGGTGCCCGTATGTTTTTATATATTGCATCAACAAAATAGTTGCATTTAAATCGTAAATAACTGACATATAATGTAGTCAAAAGGTATAAATATCTTATCGGGGACAAGCCAGCATATAGTAATAATTGCAGCAATACACAAGAAAGCGTTCTTTCCGTTCGCATAAATATGAATATTTACTTAATGAACAACTAGTTAAAAAATCTAAACATAAATTATAATTCAGAAATGCGGGGGGTATGAATGAGATATGTACTATCCAAAATTATGTTATAGCACTTAGCTATAACACTTGATACATACAAGTATTTTAATACTCATTGATTAACGTTGACATTAAACCTAGTAGCTAGGTGTAGTTATCCTTTGGTCAAGTATTAAATTAAAATAGTGCTTGCATTAGAAAACATGATAGCTTAGACCTTACTCGGTCATTTTATAAGATTCAACCTGCACATTCTCCCCTTATGCAGTTAACAGAGCAGCTATCTTAACGTTCGTCTTCAATAAGAAAATTTGATGTAATGTTAATAAATTCGGTAGGGTTTTGAGCGTGAATCCAGTGACCAGTCCCTTCTACATGGTGAATGAGAGCATTAGGAAATAGTTCTCCAATTTCTGCGTAGTTTTCTACCCTGTATTTAGAGTAATATAGTGGACGTAAATATAACGGATACGAAAACAATGCCTGGTAATTAATTTGAAACTAGTCTATGTATCGTTGAAACTCGCTTACATTTAATCCTTTAATTACAGCATTAGTTAGTTAACGATAATTATATAATTGTTGTACCTGATATGATTGGAATTGCTTCCGCCTATGAATAACGTATTTCCAGAGTACTGCTCTCCTTTGCGCCGAGGGACGTCACGAATGTTCGATAAATTATTTGCAATCGATTCGATATTGAACTTCCAATTAAACTTTCCATGCTTTTCGTAAATATTTTGCAACAGAAAATGACGGCTCCCTTTGCTCTATCCAGTGATATAGTACATAAGCAATAATTTAATAATAAGATAAAATTGATAGATACATATAGAACTTAGACTATTTTTTATAGTTAATCTTATATTCCAATAGCTATCCTTTATCTTCCTCTGGTATAGAAATCAGTACGTAATGATACTCAATTAGTCGTGATAGGTGCTCACATTATATTAATTTAAGGATATTCACCTTTATTGTATCTGCTAATGCATGATCTATTTCTTGTAAACTGTTAAATCGATTCGGATTGACATTTTTTAATGTATCAATATAAAGTTGTGTAGGGCTTTCTTCCAGTAAAATTGGATTCATAGAAGGGCTTTCATCGACAACTATTAAACTCTTAACCCATGCCAATCCACCGTTTAGTGCCATTGTCATGCCAGTCCGGCCTCCGACACTATGACCTAAAATAACGACCGGTGGCCGCAACTGTAGCTTATGTACAATGCACTTAATATCATCTACCATGGAAAATTGTGACATATCGTCTACGTGGGGACTATCTCCATGATTTCGAGCATCGAGAGTAATAACCTTTTTATCGTGAAATAAAAAAGTATAAATTACGATAAAAGGAATGATATTGAGCTAGCATAATCCAAGCAACAATATCGATCACAGAGACTAGACATTGAGAAAACTTACTTACTTCCAGATAGCATTATATTTGTAATATAAAATCGCAAGCTTTTAAAGTGAATATGGTATACTATTATAAACTATATGATTCTGTAAGCTCGGACATGTAACTTTTCCAGAATCAATTAATATACTCGTACATACGCGTATATACCTGTACATGTATGTAAAGGGCATAAATAGAGAGTGATTAAAAATGTAAGTGCAGCAAATAATGCTACCTTCTGTATTTAATCTGTTATGAATGGTAAGATAGTGATGTTACTATTATGTTTACCTTGCGTTTAGTAGCTTTTGATAGTGCTCTAGCAACATGGTTCCAAGTTAATCTATTGCTAAATAAAGCGTGTAATATAATGATCGCAGGTGCTACAACGGCCTCTTTTCTGCGGAAATTTTCATAAACGGAATAAGCTAGATCTACGCTATAGAATTCGACAAGTTCAGATATTAGTAATTAGTACGGCAAAAAGCTTATAGTATAGTAATTATTCGATTACGTAGTATATACTGTTATCTATACGAATCTATTTTTAATAACTACAGGTTGTGGCTTAGCAATAATATATATAATGCAAGTATAGCGTTTTAATTGCATCTATGCTGTAAATAATTTTATCATGGCATTGGCAGTATATGTATATTGCCACTTTGTAGGTATGACGACCTGGATAATATCATTAATCTTCTCAAGGAAAACACACCAACTGTATGCGAAGTATTTATTCATGCAACTCTAGCAATACTGTACAAGACTCGTATAACATAGCGTGATCCAACTATGATGGTGCTGTTGTCTTTAAGGTTCTATAGTTTATTGATTAATTAACACGCATAGCTCAAGTATGCATACTTGCAAAGGAATATAGTGGAGTGTATACAGCCTCATCAATGATCAACGATGGATTAGATTGCAATTGGTTTTTGTGTATATTGCACGATCGGTATGTTAACATGCTTAGTATTGCAAGTATCGCGCACCTACAATAGGTGTACATAACTACATATTCGTTTAAACAGCGTTCATAGATCTAGTATGTACTGCATAGTAAGGCTCATTTCAACAGTTTATAAATCTAGGTAAAGTGCTGTAGCCTGTAGTTGGTACAGTATTGTATCGTATGAAGCGGATGAGCCATTATCAAGAATTTAACATCACGTACAATATGATATAAAGATTAATTAAGCAAGGGAAAAAGCAATTACTGAACTGATGGCATGTCGTCGACCAACACTAGAGGCTACGGCTTACCTTCGAAATTTGCTGTAGTCATAGGTACACATAGCACGACGTAGATAACGTGCCATAGTGAGAATGTTAACAAACTCAATGTATCAGTCTAGAGCTCACTATTCCAAACATCCCTTGTCCTAATTGCTGCAAACAACGAGGCAACTAAGCAACGTTTACAGGCTAACTTCCAACTTCTACGTGAAAGAAGTTGCCGTAGTTTTAGAGGGCTTCCATCTAGTACTGCCTTGCGCACAACAGTAGTCACGGTACACTGGACAGTACTGCACTCTACTGTATCGTATTGTACAATGGTTCGCTTAGTCGATGTGTGCAGTACTGTATAGAACTGCACGAGCTACAGACCACAGACGTACCGACGTCATTTGTTTTGCAGATTTTTACCTTTTAATAACTGCCTCGATCGATTTTTACTGCTCGCTTGCCCAAATTAAATTGACTTCTAAAAACGGAGACTAGCATTGATAAAACTTTGGAAGCTGTTGTTACTGTACAGTATACTGTTTTAGAAGGCACTGCTATACTGCTACTTTACTAGCTCAAGTTGCTAGCTAATTTTTAAATTAAGTTAAAACTTTAGTTTCTTGCTATCGTTCGGATTGAGGTTTTTTCCTGTAGGATGTTAGAGCTCAGGTATACTGTATCATATGACTACAGTATATTGTAATCATGACATCACACAACAGCTGATGAATAAGTAAGGAGAAAATGCTGTAACAACTCTGCTTGATCTCAATGTCCTTCTTGTAGAGAAACTTCGATTTGGATGGATTATGAATGATCATCATTATGCAAGCTCCTTGCAGCACGATTTATTTACCTACTGTAAAAGGATCCTTTCAGGCTCTCTAGTATTCAATGTACAGTACATTGCAATTTGCAAGGATATATTCAAAATATCCAATGTCAATAAAAAAGAATTAACCTCATCTCTATGCGTAACTATTATAATATAATTATACAGTACTGTATACTGTACGGAACTATTGAATATAGTACAGTATATTGTAGCACTGTTAATCGAAGAAAAACCGACAATAAAAAGTGACCAATTTTCGTTAGCAGCTTCATACAGGTGTATTAACATGTAAAGTACAGTACATGCTCGCTGCAGCTTACCCAACTGGAAGTAAGCAAGAAAGTGCATACGTACGATCAATCTCACGTTATTCACTGCCAAAGTGATTAAAAGACTTAATTTAGGATTGAGAAGATGTATCCTTATCTAAGCATGGTACATGAATGGCTATGCGATCACTGCATCATTAGCTCAGTCGCTGGCTTAAGCGTCTTATTTTTGATTTATAAAAGATTAACACGAAAAAGCAAGAAGACTGTGGCAAAAGATGTGATTTTACTACATTCTTTTCCCCGAGCTCCCTATGCACCCAATGCATCTCCTTATGTTTTGAAGTTGGAAACTTATCTACGCATGGCTAAGATACCATATGAGGTAGATGACAGTATTGTTTTTGGCAAGAAAGGCAAAATACCTTGGGTTACGTTAAACGACGAAGACGTTGCTGATTCATATTTTATTATCGAGCATGTGAATAAGTACTTCAAAGTCGATTTAGATACAAAACTGACCGCTGAGCAAAGAGCCACTGCAAGAGTACTTGAAAAGACAATGGAGGAAAACACGATTTGGTAAGGAGAATATTTTATTAATTCCTCTTTACTCTAATCTTGTGCTTACGTTGCCTTACAGGCGGATGGGATTGCTGCTGAGCTATCACAAAAATAATGTACTTCATTAGGATTAATTGCATTCACTATTCGTAATCGCTCAGCTACAATTCCTCATTTTTATGTGCTAATCGGAAGCGTTTATTCATCAGATTAATATGCACTTGCACAGCATAAAAACGTAATTTTTACATAAGATTAAAAGATTACTTTACTTACCTTATGCTTCTCGTATAGTAATATACAATACGTCTAAATGCAAGATTCTAGAAGAAGTTGTTAGCAGCTGAAAGAGCGGCTGGCTATTTGCCAATCTTGCATTATACTACATTAAATTTTGATGCTGTATTGCGAAATTATTATTACTTACTTATTTTATAAAACTTTGTCTTATGAGGATTTTAACCTTGGTTCACCAGATCACTCGATTATATGCAGTATAATTGAGCCTTCAAACTTTGTTACATTTTGATAGGGCAACTTTGGTACAAAATCGACTATTTGATCATTTTGATGAATCCATGGCACTACAAAAGGTCTCCTTCATGCTCAAGTTATTTTTTAAATATTACTTCATACCTAACATTCAAAAATATCGTTGGGGACACGGTATCGGGCGTCATTCTTTTGAAGAGATTCGTCAAATAGGTGCCAAGGATCTACGTGCTATGTCGGTGTTACTTGGTGATAAGCCCTTCTTTATGGGTGAGGAGCCTACTCGCGTAGATGCTACAATGTTTGGTTTTCTGACTTTGCTCATATTTGGGATGGCACCTGAGGCTTCGTCATATAAATTACTTCACAACGAATTAAAGAATTTAGTTGATTTCGTTCATCGAATGAAAGAAAAATTTTGGCCAGACTGGGATGACGTTTTACTAAAGCAGAAAGAGAAAAAATTGAACTAATTGCATGTAGTTAATGGCTCACCCTGTACTTTATTAAAGGTGTAAACTTCATAGTGCCAGAAACATGATGACTAGGTCATTTTTGGCCTTTTTTCGAAGGAAAATGAATGATCTTCTGGTTTAAGTACTCTATATCGTATGTCGGCTTAATGCTATTATACCCGCATAGCCGTTTTGCACGTGTTTATAAGCTTTCTGACGACAGTTCATTGTAAAGTTATACCTACGCATATAATTTATGGTTCTTTATTGTGATGTGCCTGTGTAACTTCTCCATTAAGATAGTCCATGTTGAAAGTGTATTCTAGACTATTTTTATATTTCAATAATAGTATTAATCTCAATTCTGTATTTAAAGCTAGGTATAGGTTATTATTATATTGTACTCTATTCGTAACTTTTATCAATTAAGGAATTATTTTGCAAATGCTCTCAACAGTCTATTGCAGATCTAGAGTGAATATTGCACTTTTATACCGATTGCATTTAAATTGTGAATTCTTCATTTGGACGCGATATAGTCAATAAATGCTCGTATTATGTACGTATCTTATCGAGCATACCATTGCAATTTTAGGTCTAGTCAGCAGTGAATAGTATTCTTGTATTTTCATCAGCCTAGTCAATATTTGATACCAGTGTTGTGCAAAATAATATTGTTCATAAATAGCTGGGTGATACCATATTACTGTCTTACTGTACAGTACAATTCATGAACTAAATGAATGATAAAATATCTCTTCACCAAGCTGTTGTAAGGGGCTGATATGCATACTGTATGACATATATACATATATTAATCAGAATTTTCGCATGCTTGATGATCATAACACTAATGACAGGTATAACAGTATGTGAAAAGTCATTGCAGACTTCTGGAACACTATTTGAGAAGGGCAATAAAACGAAAACTAATGCTTTAGCTACTAAGAGACATGCAGGATATCCTTGAAATCTCGAAACAGTATCTTGTGCAGGCTGCAGCTGGTTTGCAATTGCCATGATTGAGGTTGTTTGTTTGTAAAATGCAACAGGTCACGTGATGCTCTCGACTAACAATACAATATAGTAAGTTGACAATAACCGAATCCAACCCTCGAACGTGTTCATGCATGTTGCAGAATGAGATTTACGATCAGAAGTAGAGGCAGAATCTGCACAGCTTCGGCTATGCATTACTCTGAACCTGATTGCTAGTTCGCTCAAATATGACCCCAAAATCTTTATGGCTCCATCAGCAATGTTTTTTAGCTGTAAATGATAAAAAAACAAAGATCTAGCGAGCATTAAACCATGCTTTAATGCTTTAAACCTGTAACCAATGTCAGCGGTGTCTGCATTATATTTTTGCACGGTCCAGCAGTTAGACCTGAGTGTACGCAGTGTACGATACCTTCTACAGTACTTTACGTGCACCTACTTTACAGTGCACTGTACAGTACTGTAAAGGAAGGCTTACAGTACACTCACTTCTTACAGTACAGTGCAGAGTACTTAGTATTCTGTTAAGCGAAGAATGCAGTAAAACGAGGTCGTTGGCAGCTCTCCATAAAGCACTTTTTAGCTCGATGGCAACAATTGCTGTTTATGCTTTTGCTTGTATGTTGAACGGGGAGGCTAATCGTTATCCAATCATGGTATGTGAATGGCTATGCAATCATTGGATCATTGGTACAGTCGCTGGTTTGGGCGTCTTACTTTTGGTATATAAAAGAGTAAGTGGAAAAAGTAAAAAGACTGTGCCCAAGGACGTAGTTTTGATGCATTCTTTTTCCCGAACTTCGTTTGCACCGAGTGCATCCCCTTTCGCTCTGAAATTGGAAACTTACTTACGTATGGCGAAGATACCATATGAGGTAGATGGAAGCTCTACTTTTAGCAAGAAAAGTAAAATACCCTGGATTACCTTAAACGACGAAGATGTTACTGATTCCTATTTTAGTATTGAGCATGTAAAAAAGCATTTCGAAGTTGATTTAGATAGAAAGCTAACCGCTGAGCAAAAGGCCACTGCAAGAATTATTGAAAAAACTATGGAGGAAAACACGTTTTGGTAAGGAATATAGTAGATTATGAGTTGTCATGTACTGTTCACGCTAGTTATCCCTGTATTGACGTATACTTTGTCAGCATGCACTGCCCTGCAAACAAGATGTGCAACAGCAGCTTAACACTATTACTCACCAATCACAGATAGTTTTAATTTTTTCATTTTGTTTGCGGATCATGGTATTAGCTAGACAGAATGCGGGCTGGGTCCGTGTAATGCAATTGATCCGACAGAAGCTTTCAACATGCACTTGCGCTGCCCAGCGCAAAATATACTTAAAATTTTTAGATTTTTACTCACCTTAGCGTTAGTGCTATTCATTTGCTATACAATATCAAGACGTCGAAACTCAAATACTGTACTGTAATATTCGAATTTATTGGGACTGAAATCCTGGTTGGCCGTTTGCCAATCCCACATTATTCTTGGCTGAACTCTTGATGCTATAGTACTGTAGTGTATAATGAGTACTTTACTACCGTACTTATTCTTAGTTTTTGTTTTGACTTTTAATGCCAGATGTAGATTTTCGTCATGTTGCTATTAATTATCGCTAGATTACGGTTCAAGTGCTTTGATTAATATTATTGACAGTATTACAGTATAGCACTAATGAATTAACGAAACGCTACCGTACTTTGCGCATTGATAGGGCAACGATGGTACAGGACCGAATGTTCGAGTGCTTCGATGAATGTATGGCAATATATGAGGTCTCCTATGTGTTCAAGTTAGTTATTAAATATTATTTCCTACGTGTTATTAACAAGTATCGTTGGGGACATGGTATTGGTCGTCATTCTTCCGAAGAGATTCGCCATATAGGCGCCAAGGATCTGCGAGCTATATCGGTGTTACTTGGTGATAAGCCGTTTTTTATGGGTGAGGAGCCTACTCGTATCGACGCTACAATGTTTGCTTTTCTGGCTTTACTTATATTTGGAATGCCGACTGCAGCTCCATCGTATAAATTACTTCACAGCGAATTGAAGAATTTAGTCGATTTCGTTTATCGAATGAAAGAAAAATTTTGGCCAGATTGGGATGACGTTTTATTGAAGCCGAAAGAGAAAAAAATAAACTAGTTGCATATTGTTTTTTACCATTTGATCACCTCATGCTGACGCTATATTGTATGTACTTAACTACTTGCATCATCTGTCAATATTATATAGTTGCATAAACGTTTTGTACAGGTTCGCGCTATTTTGGCTACAGTTTATTAATTGTAAGCTATGACCTACGGTATAGCGTAATTATTGTTGAATCATGTAGCTCACGTTTGATTTAATATGTAGTACAGTACATTACTGTAGATAGTAGTATATAAATATTATTGAATATTATTATTATTTTTTTTTATTAATTAATCGAAATTACTACCTCCTGTATAATGTACATGCATTACGCTTCCATTAATAACTATCAGATACTGTAAATGTTTGATTTGGATTAATAAATTCAAATTAACACCAAGTAGCGTATCTAGCCATGTACACCGTATGGTAATATTTGATTTACTGTCATTACAAATATGCATTTGTATCGCTTTGACTTACGTTTGTTGCTTTGTTAGCAAATTTCGAAATGAAACAGTGCAGGATTTAATAATATCCAGCTATCTGAAGAACCAATAAAGCACAGCTTCACAGCTTTTTGCTTACTCATTTCCGGAATGCTTGTTACAAATGCCAATAAAGTTAATGATGTGGCTATACTGCACTGTCAACGGTCAATCGCCAAGTTAAAATTATTTGTGCGTACAATAGGCAATTAGGCATACTGTATGTACTCAGGACAGAAACTTAACTGGCTTAAACCCTAAGTTCTTATTATTAACAAAACTGTTGGAATCGTGCGAAGAATTTTTAAAGAAATTTTTTGCCTCAGCTAAATAGTTACCTTACAATACAGTAATGCAGTAGCATCCTGAGATCATATAGGTACAGCATTTCTTAAAATAGAGACAATGAATCGTATCATGAATTCCAGCCATGCAGGTACGGCAGTGGAAGAGTGATGTTTTTAGAAATTCGAAAGTTTTAAACTAAGAACGCTAGTATCCGTTGTAAATATACTAGTTAACAGCGACATTTATTTTAATCTTAATCTTTAATAATATTCGTATTATTTTTTTACACTTTAATTCTTCGTGCGTCGGATAATTGAGCATGCAGAGTAAAGATTAAAATTGAATTGACTTATTTAATTTGTTGTGAATTAAATTTTAGTGCACGCATGAGACATAACTCACACTAGTAACGGGTGCAGTACTGGACTTGAAGAAATTCGGACTGTATTTCATGGGCAAAAGACTGTCGTGTTTGGCTTTCCCTGGATTATTTCATCCCAGTCTGGCCAATATTCGTTTCTCATACGTTCAACACAGTCATTTAAACTCTTCAAATCACTTCTCAATATATTATAAAACGATAACTCCTTTGGCAGTCCGTAGCTAAATTGGCCACTACGCCAAATATAGTAGCATCCACTGTTGTTGCTACAGCATGTTTACCTAAAAAATACGGTTTCGTTCCAAAATTGTCGATATAGCTTTTAGATCTAGCTCACCGATATGCCGAATTTCTTCTTGAGAGTACCTTCCTATTCCATGGCCATGCATTACCTTCTTTAAACGACGCACCAAGATCCACTTGATAAACAAGACCATCAAAAATGGAGCTTTGCAAAGCTCCATGAAACCGTCCAAATGATTGATAATGTGTTTCTGAGCCATACCAGCCCTGTTAATGAAACAAAAATTAGTTTATCATTCGTTCTCAAGATTGCAGTCCTTTTTAACCACGTATTTCAGGTATGCAATTGAAGCCTAGTACAGCATATTAATGTGCTTTGCTTGACACAACTTATCTCTCTAAAAAGCACATTATTTTTTGAGATGGGACTGTACTTCGGTTAACGATGATTGTAATTCATCCCTTACATGTAGTAAGTTAAGCTTTGTTTACTGCAACACTGCAAGTGGCTACGCGGTCACTCGGGTAGTTACATCATCATGAAGAGATAGCAATTATAGGGTGCTACATACTGCACTAGAAACTACAGCTTGTTGAATTGCTGAAATATTACAACGTACCAGAAGGTATTTTCTTCAATCATTTTCCACATGCATCGAGCGAGTGCTTTATCTTCACTAAGATTGTTATCTAGCTTTACTCTAAATCTATCTATTAGATATTCTATACAAAATGTTGAATCTGCGACTGCCTCTTTGTCAAGTTCTATCCAAGGTATCTTGCCTTTTTTTTAGACATTTTACTACTATGATCAATTTGGTAAGGAATTTTGCCATGCGTAAGAAAGCTTCTAGCTTTAAGGCAAATGGAGAAAATGATGGAACGACACCTCAGCATGGAATTTGATACACCGTCATCACACCCGGCTTAGCCAAGGTTGCAGTTGCACGATTTCGAGTTAAAACATATCATGCAAAAGTAGGAGCCGCTGCACCTCCAACAATATGGTAGGAATTAATCTCATAGTTGCTCAAATTTTCAAACCAAGCCATCGCCAGCTGCATAGCAGTCTGCAGTTAAGCAATATTGAGGAAACTGCAGATTCAAGTCAGTTTATTTATTTATTATACGGAATATATTTAGTAGTTTACTGTATTATTATTGACGAAGGACTTCTATTAGCTTGTGACAATATTATATAATACTGTACTATGCAGTACTATATATATAGAAGTGTAGGAATCGAATCTAATATTCTGTATTTCAGGAAAGCAAATAAGAAGTGGGCACTATGATTTTATAATGCTCATCATTGAACAAAGTCGATGTCGGCTAATTTGATTGAACTGTTCTTTTATACACGTTTGAAATGTTGGAAAGGTTGGCGCGAGCACGAGCAGCTAGACCTGACGGAGCGGCATTGTGAGGCAATGCCACTATGGATATCGCCGAAGGATAACAGCAATATTGGCAAAATAGTAGAGTATTATTAGGGGGGAGATGACATGATGTAAATTTTCTTAATATTGTTCTGTATCACTACAGTTACTGTGCAAGCGAATATATTACTGTATACAGAACAGTACTGTACAGTATTATTGCCATTATTACTCGAAAAAGTATTTCCCTCGCTCGTTCTACTTGGCATAGTTTTCTGTATTATTATTATTTTAATTTAATTTATTCATGATCAATCCTGGGTTCAATTGTTGCGAGATAAATTACTACGGCTGTGGCCGCTGTATTTTTTTCTGTCACAAGTGCTGCGAATCTGTAATCCAATTTTTAAATGAGTACCTCTAGTGTACAACTGTACATACGGTACTGATGTGCACTTTGGGGGTCATTGCCTTTTCTTTCCTTTGGCTTTCCTCTTTCCAGTTGGTCATGGACTGCTCGAGTAGTCCCTGACTGTATTCATCAAGTACAGCTGCTGCTTTATACTCCATGGCCTAATGAGCTGCACGCGTTAGTACCAGTCAGATACAGGATTCATAAATGTACTTTTTATACTACAGTAAACAGTATTAATTAATCATGCCCTTCAAAATACGCAGCAGAGCCTTACTGGTTGCAGCTAAATACAGTACAAAGAAAGCAAGCCACAGCGATCGAAAGGCAGTCTACATGGGAAAAAGTTATTTATTATGTAGTCGCGTAGTTGTTGTACTGTAGACTCAGCAAATGTAGCAGTTGCAATGTACAATTGTACATTCGGCCATTCCATTTATGCATGGCATACTGCGATACTTGGTTCAAGGCTTCAAGCTGCCCTGTACAAGTGTACTTAAATCGATGGTAGCTTTAGTGCTAAGTTGATTGAAAGCGAGTATCATGCTAGTCATTATAATTCATTATTGTGGAAAGAGTTTCTGCACATCCATTAACGACCATTACTTTATTATTCACCGTCAGTAGTAGAGTACTATAAGCTAGGCTGACTGTAGTCTACTTACCTGGACTAAAAGTCTAGAAATGTAAGAAAAGCAGAAAAGTTCCATTCGAATGACAACAACGCGATGCATTATTGTCCATTGCATTGTTGGAGTTGAAGGAGAAGAAGACAACGACAATGTCTAATAATAGTAGGAAAATGTTTTTGTTGTTTTTTTGTCCTTTCTGACGCTGCCATTCAATTAGTAGTATCGCATGATGGACTGCTTGTAACTCTACAGTACTACAAGGTGTAGACTGTACAGTATGACTGGAATGGCGGACGTAGGAGCGTAACACTAAGTACGTACAAAGTGACACTAGACATGATTTCTAGTACAGTAGTGTAAATAACGCAGAGATCTGCTATCCCAACGACTACTAGAAAGACCTTATTTCTACTCAGTATCGTGTAAAATCGGCATCGCGTTTGGAAAATTCCAGAAATTGTCCGCTACCTTGGGCGACGATGATCGCCAAATAGCAAATTCATGAAGGAGTCAGAAGGAACCTACTGACACTGCTCAGTATACTGTACTGTACAGTATTATTATGGATTGATGGACAGTGCTGACTACTGTACCGTACAGTATTTATTTATTGTAGATTGGATTGAAGTTTGTGATGGAGTCTTGCGCAGTTCGTTTTGTTATTGGATCCCAACGGTGATCCAATGACAAGTAGCGTACTGTACTGGGCACTGTAGACTCAAGCACAACACGTCGCTACATTGTACTGTAGACTACAATGACACTCCTGTTTGAAGCACACAAGCGTTGAACTGCATCATGACTGACCCCACTGTATAGATAACCGTCAACGCAGGCGCAGCCTATTGTATTGGCCATTTTCGATTGTACTTCAACATAATCAAGATTCAACTGTCGTAGCGACGTCTAGTCTCCATGGCCAGCAGCCGTGGCAAAGGAGCACAGCCAACTTTCAAGTTGCATGAAATGCGATCCGCAGTTCCCCAATTCGAATCCAATAGCCAATTTGGTGACCAATATCAAGATAGAAGGTAGAATAGGAGATTGCAATTGCAAATCACTTGAATAGATGTTGTTGAAATAGGTTGCAACTTTTCCACAGTACCTTCGTTGGAGAACAATGCAAGCCAGTTGACGATACTTGTCGTACTGGAAATCAATAAACAAAAAAATGGCACGCATGGATAGCGTAGTCCAGCAATTTGTAATCGCCGAGAGGCTCTTCATCACCTGATGATACATTAGCTATTTTTGATTTCTTCCATCTTATCATTGCATAGGGTATTTCTCAGTCCATCGTATTATGGGATAGCGAGCTATGCAATTTGATTTTGACGCAGGTAAAGTGGAAAGTAGAAGGGGGGGGGGGGGGAAAAAAAAATCAACCAACCAATGAGCTAGGGTACGAGGTACATTGGCGTACCGAGTACCTATTAGGAACGCTATGCTTTCCACATTGGAGCTACTGCAAAAATTGGCGTTGATCACAAAAATTCATTTTCCTTGTTGTCTCATTAACGATCGATCCTTATCAAGGATCATCATGGTCGTGCAATTGCATTGCTTGCGTCGTAGGATAGACGATGGATTTATTTTTTGACCTTACGATCATCAAAATGATATTAGGACTTAAGAAACATCAAAGTAATGTGCAAAACAAGCAATCAATTACTGTCATCATTGATTCATCATGGCATACAGTCGAGATACAATCCTGCTAGCGTCGAGAGTAGACGATTGATACTCTCGACACTACGCAAGTAGAAATGGACATGATATAGGCATTCATTGGCTAACTACAAAGTTATTGCAAGCTTACTATACCATCGGCAAAGTACTCTCTTTTTTTTTTGCATGTCAACCTGGGATTGCTCTTGGAAACGTAGTATTCTTTCAAATAGACAATGTTGATTCAAGCTAATAGCAATACTGTAGATAGCAGTAGCAGCGGACCTTCACCTTGTTTGTACTACATTTTTGATTCAATCATCCCAAAATTCCTTCCTCTTTTCGAGAAGGATCGATCATTTTTCAACTAAAATTAGGTATCATTACCCTTGATAGAGCATCCATTAAACAGTTCGAGCTTCATCGACTTTCAATATACTGTACACTATCTTACCCCTGTTACTATCAACTAATTATTCTCATCACAATCTATTTTTATTAGATATATCCCATCATATCAAGTTCAATCTGTAAAGGAGACTGGACGAACAATGCCTCATGCCAATTACGATCTTTCTAAACTTTACGAGCCAGCAACACAAGAACTTCGGAATCAACAAATCCCTGATAGCGACATTCATATCAATAGCTCACCAAGCGATACTTCGAACACTAATACAGCTTTGACAACAGAAAATAATGGAAGAATGTAAGTTACTATTCGAACTTTTTGCACGCTACCTCTTATATCATTGCTGGAAATAAATAAAAAATATGACTACAATGGACTTGCTTGTAGTATTTTGATCATTTTCTTTTTGCAATAAATAGACAACCTACTGTAGTGTAGAGAGTTGAACTGTATGCAATTTGGATAAGGTATTAAAATTAGGCGCCACCATGATATCGTTTCTAATTGGATGTTCTACTTTTATAGATCACACTCTGGTAATGGTAAAATGCCGTCAACGAGTATGGTAAGTGTTTACAAAATGACCTATAGTATATTGATATCAAACCGATAGAGAATGCTTGTATAAATATATTTTTTTTTTACTAACCGGCGGGATTTATCTTCATGTTCGTAATCGCATTTGCTATATGAAATCGATCCATTATTTTATCCAATTCTTGTACCATGTTTTTGATTGATTTCTCTCAATTTACTTACAATCACTTAATCGTGATCAAGTATAAACTTACTGCATTGCTAACCAATGATGACACTGTTGATTCAGTTACTAGAATAGATTGCACCATACGTAGTACAGCACTTTCATCATACTTGGTTAGATTGAGTAACTTGACAGAGAAAGTGTTTCTAATTTTACCCAACTATTCTTAGATACCTCATCCCTACGACATGACAACTCGTAACTTTCCTCGACGTGATAGTCGGTAAGAAAGTATCTTCATTTTTGCATTCTTTTGTAGGAATAAACATATGAATAGGCTGATCGCTAACCGCAAACAGAGTAGAAGACTCTATGTAGTAAACCTGCTTTTTTTTGTATAGAACACAAAGTGCAAGTAGCACCCGAGCATTAGAGCTACTCAGATCAACTGTACAGTATTCTTTCAATAAAGAAATTATGAAGTTATGTGAAGAAAATCTAATGGTAAGTTGACTTCCTACGGCGCCTACAAATTAGTGAGATGCAATACACAAAATAGGTCGATAAAACTTGCGCAATTACCGTAACTACCGTGTTATCTCACGAATAACGAAAGCTTTATAATCGCCATCAAAATCGTGTAGTTATACGAAATTGCCGCAAAGAATATCCGAGAGAATACAGGCGATAATATAACTCGAGATGATATTTACGCACTGATTAGGAAAAGTCTAGATGAGGTAATCGTATACTAAATGACTATCGATGTGGTCATACTCATTCTAGTGTAACTATATGATCATTCCGACGTTACTAATCTTGCTTGCCAGTCTTGAAAAAGAGTTTTAATGTCTTTGAATATATACCATTCATTCAGTCAAAAAGAATGTTCGAACCTGGCAAAACGAAAGCTTCTCAAAGTGGCGAAAAGCGTGAAAGAATAAAAGAGCCTAGGATTGAGAAATATAAACACAAAGTAATAAATGTTGATTTCGTTATCGCTATCTTCAGTTAGTTATCTATTTGAAAATAATTACTCATAATTATAACTTTACGAATAGGCCGCTACAGTAAAACAAAACATTCATGCAACAGTTGCAGCCAAGAAAAAGGGAATTAAACTTAAGGTTACTATTTATTTTTTCTGAATCGAATTTAATATTTTATTGCCGCTTGCTTAGTGCTAAACGTGTCGTTTTTGGTAGTAATATTATCCGTATATTTTCTCTCCCAACAGCGAAAGGTTCGTGGTAAAGGTGCAAAAGGGTGAGTTGATTATTTTTGTTTGCTTAATCAAACGTGTAGCATTGATAGGCTGTATTCTTCCCTGCAGTGAAAGAGGTAGTAAAATGGCCCGTCTAGAAGATAAGCATCCAGCTTTACAGGTAGAAAGAATTATTACCGAATGGTTATGCTTTTAATTCTCCAGGACATTTTGTTTACTTCGTAATAATTATTGTATACCTACTTTAGTGGCATGAAGATGACGTCGATTACAACACAAGATTTATTCTTGGATCAAAAGCTAATAAGTTAGTTGGTACATTGTTATATCCTGTTAAGATATAGCATATGTCAAGTCTGATTATTCAACGTCTATATAGGATTCTTGGTTACAGCAGTGCTCGTGGCCGTTTATATAGCAAGCATCCACAATTGTTTAAGGTACTACCAATGCTGTGTTAGTCATTATAAGTAAATTTTATATTTCGTTTTGTAAAGACATTACTAATGACTGTTATAGTACGTCGGCGATCAAGATGACCGACAATGGCTTTATGATAACAAGTTATTACCGATTACCGGAGGAAAGGTATGATAATTATAATTAGAAATTTGGACTGTTGAAAACGATGGCTGTGATATGCAAATAAGTATACTATTGACTCACACTTTTCTTTAACCTATAATCGTAGGCATACATGTTAATAGCAAGACGCGTCAAACAACTTGTCGAAGATTTTGAAGAATACCGGTAAATTCTGATCGTCATCGATTATTGAGAATAAATATTATACCACAGGGCTATACTTCACGCCAGTTAATAACCTATACTGTGTATGACCAATTGATCAAACAGGAATAACGATACCATACAGGGGAGAAAAGAAGAACTAAATGGTTTTCATGTTCCTAGACAGATGATAGAAAAAATGAAAAACGCTATCAGAGCGTCAAGAAAAGCTGCAGAATGTTAATAAATAATAAATTACGTGATACTTTCTATTGCAGTATCTATAGTATCACTGCCTATGCAATTAAATTTAATTACTGACGTAAAGTTTTTTATTATGTTATAGCATCTACAAGAAGATACAATAAGGTGCATCGAAAACAAGATACTAAACAATCGACAGGTAGCGATGAGAAAGAGAAACGTAACTATGTAAGTCATACATCGGCAAAGAGTAATCAGATAGAAAATGGTAAATCTAAGGAAACGGATAAAAGCTCCGATACAACAAAAGGTCATTCCCTAAATGAAAAAGAACTGAGACGACCAGCTTCAGCGTCATCATCGAGGAGAAGTTCAAGGGAGAAACCACCCGTTATCTATTCTCAAGATAGTAGTTCTTCACCGACTGTGGGGGCCAATAATTCCGACGAAGAAACTGATGATGCAGAAGAAACGCTAGAAACCAACCGAAAGTTACAGTACGAAGAGAGTCAAATGTTGAAGCAAGCTCGTGAATGAAGAATCGATTTCAGCTAGTGTGCGATGATATAGGGTGTTTTATTAATATTTAGAGTTAAGGATTATTAACTCCCTAATGAAATGTTAATCTCTGTCATAGAGATACTAACAGTTATCAAAATGTGTAGGAAATAGGATGTTGGACTGTTATTCCTACAAGCTATTTAAGTTTATATGGCTGAAATGCAAACGTTGGCATAATTCTTGTTGACAATTTTATTCCTTAATATTGAATTTAAGTTATTGCAGTTTACGAGTGCAATTTGAAATATACTTGGCATTGGTTATGTGCAACAGCGGTATCGTACTTGCGAATTCCAATATATCTCTCAGGATTGTTTATGATGAAAGTATGGATACCCATTAAGTCAATATTATTTAAAATTGTTATGAAACCGTAAACGTACTGTACAAATTAATATTATTTCGTTTTATTATATCGTCAATAAGTTTGTTATTTAACAATTATTAGAGCTCGATATTTTGAATTTTATTCACTACCAATTTGAATTGGCTATCTCCTGGAGTACTATTTAGAGTAAATGACTATGTATTACTATTCGACATTGACTAATCAGATTTCTCTCATTCTTATACTTTTATACCATGGACAAAATTTATTGTAGAATATGATAATAGCCAATTAAAATGTAATCGTTAAATTAACCAGTTTCATTCCTAAGTAGCAATTTAATGAGATTCGGCCTGTAATTTAGGACAATAGATAAAATTTAATTGATGCCATGTTTAGATAACGTTGGCATACTATACTATGCATCACATTTTGTATGACAATCATCCTCAAGCATCGTGATTCTAATTGTATGAAAGATGGAGGTAATGGAATATAGATTGACTGAAAGCTACATAATAAAATTCTTTTAACATTGTTAAATCCTTACCACAACGTTGTAATTTACATTGCTGCTGCTTATCTGCGCAATTATTACCTTTTTGTTCGTCGAAAAAGTTGAATTTAGTTGCTAGACTATCATGCAACAGTAAAATCATCGATTGAGGAGCCATCACATGGCTGCATGATCCTGCGTGATATCACGTCTTAGATATCTATAGCGGTTTGCACTAAATTGAAGTATTTCATGGCTTAAGAAATTGGAACTGACGGTAATAATTTTAACAGAACTGAAATATTACATGATCTCGTATTTCTAGTTAGCTATAGCCGCTTAATTATATTATTAATTGCAAGGGAGTAAAGGGGTCCATGAATCAATTATGTTCTGATCATAGATACTCATACGTATACGTATGTCTGGTATCAAATACCGAATATTAAGTAAACAACAGTTACAGCCTTACAGCAAAATGATCAATGTCAGCTAACTGAATTATTGAAACAAAATTTCCTACAAGTATGATAAACATTTTTAATACAAAATTATCCAAATCCTGTATATGGCAACTACAAGTAATTACATTTTCTACTACTGTATAATCGATTCACTGTGAGTGTATGGCATTCAGTTCCTACTACGGTATACCAAGCATATGTAGTTTACGACAGATTCATGCTCCTTCAGTGATCAAGGCCTAAACTTCGATAGCTGGCTATTAATAAATTTGTTTACTATTAAAATTGAATCGTATATCAATTCTAGGATGATTTCTAGCTTCTCTTCTATAGATTGCAGAGCAATCAAATGGCAGAAATTCTATTCAATTACCGACTAATCAACGTATCGATTGGTAGGATGAAAGCAGAAACGGATACAACCTCGGTGTGTAATTGTTTTATTAGGTCTGAAATGGATTAAACTTCTCTCAGAAATATACTTCGATATCTATTACCCATCAATAGTACGAAAATGAAAATTAACTATGAAAGCAATCACTGTACACACTCTGATATCAGTCTAGTTGTAAACCAATTTCGGGCGCTCAAGATGAAACGGCTTTAATATTGTCTTGACCGTAGATTTCCATCTTATTTTTTAGGCATGTAAGGAAGCTTGAAGGGATAGCGTTTGTCACTTTTTAAATAATCTATTACTGCAGGTCTGTTAAACATTGAGTTGTAGTACTGCGCCAACTTTGGGAATGGTTTCAACACGTCAGTTTTTGCTTGATCAGGAGAGTCGCCTGGGAGTAAAAACTGTCCAAATTCAATGTTTGCATCAAGAGCAGCTACCAACAAATAGTCTACCCACGTTAAATGACCATGAATAATATAATCGGATTGCTTTTGCGAGTTGGTAGATTGTGAAGGGATCAGTCTTTCAAAGTATCCTAGCCATGTAGGTAATGTGGATTTTAGATATTCATCTCTCATTGCGACTGAAAAGCTTGGATCATACATAATTTTACTCAGTTGTTTTCCCATGTCCTCTAGACAAGCAATATAGTTTAGAAATTAATATTTCATATTTATACTCAAATATTGATGCCCAAGGATATACATCCATAGTCGATAACTTACCAATTCCCGCAGCAATCATGTTGCAATAATCCAATTCATCACATTCACAATCTAATCCAACCGAACGACCCAAGTACCTAAGGATAACTAAGTCAATAGATACCGGAATAGTTAGCATTGATGTACTAAATCTCATAAGCGAGATGGATTGAAATAGTTGTATTACATATCAAATTTAAATTTAATCATTCTTAAGCAAAATGATTCAGCCGCTTTGGATTACTATGCAGAGAAACATAACGTAATATAAAAAGAATTGGCCCTATTCATTCTAACTTGATAACACATCGCTTATATAAATAGCTAGAAATAAACTAGCGTACAGTCACTTGATCCTATGTCTAATTTTAGTACATCAATGATTTGCTTCATGTTGGATATTCAAAACGTGGCGTATAACATAAAATTATCAACAATAAGATATGACTTTTCCTACCGTGGCTTTGAACTAGCTTAACTCCATCGCTGGTTTCGATTGCTGGAGCTTTAATAATTAATATAACAGTAGCCAGAAGAGTCATAGAAAATGATGATTAGAAAACGAATAGTTAGCTAAAAATTACAATTACTCCAAGTGGAAAATTGTAAAACTTTATATACAATATTATTATTCTGCAAGACAGCAATTACAGTGGATTATTACCATTATGGCTAGAAATCGATCAAAATTGAGACTACGCTCAATGTACTTTTGCTGAGGACTTACAGCCTTTAATACTATTGTAACAGACTGTTGCTAGCATCTTTATTAGATTGTATTATATTGGTATGTAATAAGCAATGTGTTCGTAGTTTTGTCTGTACAAGTTGCCTTTGCTAAAAATTTCTCTAATTGCTGTCTTTCTGAAGTTATTTTACACAAGTTTTCAACTGTTGTACTTGTTATACTGGTATAGTCAAATACACAGATAGGTATGGAATACTTATAAGACCTATGAAGTATATAACATATACACACAATATTCGTAAATGGTTATAAAGCATGTTATACACGTTTATCGAGCTTGGTTATGGATTGTGCTATAATGATCGCTAACATCGGGTGAGAAGATAGCTATAGGCAGGATGCCTAGTAACAACACTTGTAATTTCAATACAGAAACGCTATTGCCTCATTTTCAGGTTCAGCAATTTTTCATTATTTACAAAGGGTGGAAGAAATGTATCTTAGCATCGAATTAGTTCACAAACTGCTTGAATTGATCATGACTTGCTACTTGATTGTACATATTGCCTTACTTACTTTGCTATATTATGTGATTTCTGTATTCAATACTATACAGTATTATAGACAACTGATGCATATGCAATGGCAGCACTTGCCATTCAATCTTATAGAAAGCATTACGATATCACTCTATTCAAGTGAAATGTAGGTCTTTATCAATTGGGTTATAGTGATGCTAACTATAGTGTTGTAAAAGTATTGCCTTAGCCTACGACTTGATTTGATGCAGTCGTTGTTACAGAACAGAATAATCCCTGTCAAGAAAAATTGGATTATTTGTTCTACTCATTTGTCGCAGGCTGCAAAATGATTTAGCACTAGCTTTATCACTATGAGTTAAATTAGACGTAGCTTGTTCGATTCTACACTGTTATCATATTACAATTTGTTTGAACTAGATGAGATGATATCAATAACTTGCAACAGCACGTTGTAGCTTTCCATATTAGCACTTCAGAATCCAAGGTGTTATCCCGTTGTATCGGTCAATTCTTGCACAGTTTGATTTTCCATCCAAACATACTCTGGAATATTTGGTAATATGACTGACTTGATTGACAGTATACCGTGGTCAAATCATTCCAAATGAGATTGAATACCGTCATTCAATATTTGAACATTGAAATCATACCTTACCCCTATCGTCTCTAGACATTGATTATGATGTATTCTAGAGAATCATTTGGATGGTATGTTGAATATTGTCAAGTAGGTAATGTGACGGATTGTGCTTGGCACTAGCAGCGAATGCAAGTTAGTTGGACATGCATAGCGATGGAAGCTATTATTATCCTTTGCTATCCACTCACCCTGGCCAAATAAGTATAACCCACTCTTTAATCCTTCTTGTTTTGCGTTAGGCCAAGTCTCTCGTGTATATCCCATCTCAGAATAAGATATATTATAATCATTCATCAGCAATCGCATCGCTTCGCCACGGCCACGTCCAGCAAAATAATGCAATTTGACATGCTTGATGTCTTTGATTGGAAAACAACCCGCCTTACCGTGGACTAGTCGACTGACTGTTTTACTTACTAGAGCTTCATGGCCAGTATAATGTAATGCAATTAAACTGGCAATCAAGACAACAACAAGTGTTGCAGCACTCATCTTGCAGCAAGAAAAGTTAGGAAGGAAAAGCCACTTGGAAAGAGCGATTGGACGACAGGAAAGGCTAGTTTGCAAGTTTCCTTCTCCAATTTTGATACGTGGCCTGTGTTTCAAATCGACAACAGTATTATTATGGCCATCTGGCTAGCATTATCGACACAGTACAGTAGAGTACTTCCATCGTATACAAATCTGTATACCATGGATATCGATGAGTCATTGCCCTCTGATGACGTGGCGGTTGAGACTCACTTTTACTAGCAGATGAGGTACACTGTGCCTTGACCTCTACTGTAAGTCATTCAGCAATGTCCTCCGTGGTGCGCACCAGTTCCCTCTCGTTCTGCGATCGATCTTCAACTCTCCATCATGAGTTTGGGGGGGAATTGGGGCATCAATTTGTACAATATTAATCGCAAATGCAATTAGTAAACCCTAGCCATAAGAAATCTATGTGTATAGGAAGGAAGCAAGGCTCATAACGATTGGTTTTGAAGCGCTTGACCGATAGTTTTGACTGTTTAAATACATCGACTATTGATACACGATGTTGAATCGATTGTCTGCACTACTTTGAACGCCTAGAACTCCAGCAATTGTGGCCAAATTTCCCTGAAATTTCATCAAATGATCACTCATGAAGAAGCTTAAATATATATTTAAAAGCCATTTGAAGCTTAAATATATATGTAAAAGCATTTCTAAATTGAATGATCAATTTTGGGCAAATGAGCCCACTAATTTCAAATGACTTCCCATTCATCCTGTATGGACGCTGTACTTTGAACACACATCTAGCCATCGGGTCTGCATATACAGAAATATTCTATCCCTTTCTTTGAGTAATTTCTGGTTCTACTCTATTGACGCTGTACTTTCAACATACTTCTAGCCATCGTATTATGGTGATCGGGTCTGCATAGCAAACAGAAATATTCTATCTCTTCCTTTGAGTAGTTTCCTGTTCTACTGTATTGACGCTGTACTTTCAACATACTATAGCCATCGTATCATGTCGATCAGGTTTGCTTAGCAAATAGAAGTATTCTATCTCTTCCTTTGAATAGTTTCTGGTTCTACTGTATTGACGCTGTACTTTTACTTTTAGCCATCATATCATGTCGATCGGGTCAGCATAGCAAACAGAAATATTCTATCTCTTTCAGTAGTTTCCGGTTCTACTGTATTGACGCTGTACTTTCAACATACTTATAGTAGCTATCTTATCATGTCGATCAGGTTTACATAGCAAACAGAAATATTCTATCTCTTCCTTTGAGTAGTTTCTGGTTCTACTGTATTGACGCTGTACTTTCAACATACTTATAGCCATCGCATCATGGCGATCGGGTCTGCATAGCAAAAGAAATATTCTATCTCTTCCTTTTAGTAGTTTCTTTTTTCTACTGCATTGACGCTGTACTTTTATCACAAGTCCATTTGAATAGTAAGAGACATAGTCAATAAGCGTAGACTAGTATGATAGTAGCTAAAGTCTTGGACCAAGAAGCTACTGGTCCACGCACAACTTTCACTTGGCATTACTGTACACGGTTAATCCGTTGTAGGTAATGAGATTGATCCATATGCTTGCATTTTCACATGGCATGCTTATAAATGATATATCCGACCAGATCGATAGCAGCACGCGACACTGGTATTGAAAGATCCTGTTTGTACGCGTAAGTCTACGCAGGAGGCAATAGAAGCGCCACATCAGCAAAATCATAAATCAAATTTCACTAGACTAAAATGAAAGTGCTAAATGTCATTCATGCGCATTCAAATCAAGCCTTTTTAAAACAGTTCTTAAAGCCAGTGGTTCAAGAGCTAATCTAGGAAGGTGCTATTGACTAATAGATCAAGTAAGATAGAACAAAACAACAAAAATCAATAATATTATCCATCATTCTTTCCGGTGCGATGTATTAAATGTGTGAGAAAATACTAAGAAAAACAACAATAACATAAACGATACGAGTGCGGGATATTTTTGTTTGCGGCATGAATACCGGACGTTATTGACTAAAGAGGTAGCATGGCTCGTTCCCGTAGGCAATAAAGTTCATCTTTTCTAGACATGTAATAACAATTTTACTTCGAAAATAGAGAGTAGAATTGCAATTGCTTCCATCCTTTCTGACGGCAGGGAGAAATATCGATAAATTAAATTATATTACCAATGTCAAAACTACAGTACCTTTCTAACGACAAACTGTAATTGATTTGGCGCATCAAGCGGACTTTCCGAATTGATTACTAAGAAAAATAATAAGTTTTCAACTACATTAGGCACAAATATAAATACATGATCTCTTGCAGCAATCCTAAATATCTTATTACTGTACAGTGTTCAGTAAAGTGATATTAGTAGGCATATCCCCGTTAGAACACTAGTACAAGATCGAAATATACTGTCAACATTTTGGTATGGATTGTCTAAGAGTCGATGCCAACATTATACAGTTATTCTTAGATTGCAATTAGAAAACTCGAGGAGACTGCATCAAACAATTACAATTCAGTATCAATTGTGTTATCAAAGTTAACCAGATACCCTTATTTATTACATAGCAGCTTTTATATTGATCATCTATTAATTATTATTTTGAATTGGTCGACTAGTTATCTCCTAGAGGGACATAACCAGACAAAGAGATTGCGTCTTGAGTCCATTTTTCAGTTAGTCATCGAAATCTTGTGCATAAAGCCAGGTAAGACTATCTGATACATTGTAGATTGAAAACTGTTCTTGCAAGTGCATCTAGATATTCTACTGCAATAGTCATTACACATAAAATAAACTATCGTGAGTGAGTTAATTAACACAGTGGATGATATCGATCGTTGATCAATACTGCAGTGAAGGCTAAACTGCTAATTTTATTTTTTCGTTTGAAATGAAATTGTCTACTAGACAGCGTGCATTGTAGCTCCTCTACACATTGACAGTAGAGCTATGACAATGAAGTATCCATTCATATCGTATTTTAATTCTATCTGACGTTATAAATCAAACCTAAATTTTTCTACAATGTTGAAAAGAAATGTTCACCAGTCTACAAATCATTTAGCCGTGTTTTGTAATGGTTATCCGTTGCAATTTGCGGTCAATGTAGTCGAAACATGGATAATATTGTGCAGTTTTATTTACATTTCCCGTTTCAAAACGACATTCAAAACACGTTCGCTCTTCTACCATTTAGTATTATAATTTCATAGCAACATAAAAAGTATGATTTACCTTATTGTTAATTAAAATATACTAGGATGATAACGTCGATAAACCTAAGGATAATATTGACTGAAGTCGTAATTCGGTCGATAAACGATAATTTCATTTATGATATGAGAGAATAATGGACTTGAGAGTAATACTTTACTCGAAATCTGTTTTGACTTTCTATCCGACACTAGTCTCATTTTATAGGATCACCAATCATTAATTTACTATTAACTGTAGTTTATTTTTATGGCTACCTCTATTTGATAGTAATATTGACCAAAGTCATGATCCAAGAAACGATACTTTTTAATTATGAGATAGAATAGGATAGACGACTTAAGGGCTATGCTTTACTCGAGATCTAATTTCCTTTTTACTATATCATATACTAATCTCATTTCAAAGGATCGTAGATTTCATTTATCCTATTGCTAATAGAAATTCACATTGATAGCGGCCAATACGCTAATACTCTATTGTCTAAAGTCATGATCCAATAAACGATAATAATATTATTTGTAAAGCGGTAAAATAGTTGACTTTAATGTATTATCTTGCACGAGATCTGATTTGCCTCCTACGATATGCCAATGTTATTCCATGTGATGATAAATTACTATGCCTTAACATAACTGTTAAGTAATACACACTTTTGATATTTGCCCTTATTATACTGATATTATCTACAGCCATGATCTAAGAAACGATAATTTTTATAAATGACATAGAATAGGATAGCTAACTTGAGAGCTATGCCTTACAGGAGATCTAATGTGCTAATTTCCTTTCTACTACATCACATACTAATTTCATTTCACTAGATCGTGAACTATTCATTTACCTTACTGCTAATAGAAATTCACTTTAATAGTTACCAATATGCTAATATTATCGAAAGTCACGATCCAATCAATGACAACAATTTTATTTTTGAAGCAGTAAAATAGTTGATTTCTATGTATTATTTTACATGAGATCTGATTTGCTTATTATGATATGCTGATGTTATTCCATATGATAATAAATCACTATTACTTAACATTACTGTTAAGTAATGATATACACTTTGACGTTTGCCCTTACTACACTAATATTATCTAAAGCCATGATCCAGTTAGCGTCAATTTTGTTGATGACATAGCAGAATATTTGACTTTAAAGAAATACCTAACTCGAGATCTGATTTGCTAATAGCACTACATTAATAATTGCAATAACAAAGATTAGAGTAAATAGTTAAAGCTTTTCTTGAATACGTGATTAAGTCAGCCATATGTTCATGATTGAACATATGTGTGTGCTTTATCCCTCTGACTGATATTCGGTTATCCTGCTTCGATCTTCACTTTAGTCTTGTATTGACCCCACCTAGACAGCCATGAGTGATCCAGCATTTGAAGAAGCAGGAAAAACGCCAGGATTAGAAATATGGCGTATTGAGGTTAGTTTAAGCTGGAAATACACTAATGAATCTTTTCTGTTTTATAGTTATAACCAATAGAGTTCATTTGAACAGGTTATGTTATCGATTCGATTTATTTTGCAATTTATAGCCGATTAGATCTAAATTAATTACGTCAGACAAGCTTAGACTTTCGTCTACTAACACGATATCATTAAAATTTCTTAAACAATCGTGATAGAAATTGGAGGTAGTTAAGCAAGAGCCTGAAACTTATGGAAAGTTTTATAATGGTGACTCTTATATCTGTTTAAGTGTAAGTAATCTGTACATTGAACGCAAAATCCTATTTTGTATTTTATTATCTCACTTCGCTACTAAAGATCCAAAAGTAAATGACTCACTCTTTTATTATTTATACTTATTTGCTAATGAAACAATGTAAGATTCGAGAGGCAAATACTGCACCTCTAGCTATCAAATAGTATAAGGTCGCAATATGATATTCACATGCCAAATTAATATAAATAATGATTCCAATATCTTGTAACAAGAATCGCAATGTACTACATCTATTCGACTGAAATTAATTTATAGCTGATAATTACAGCTATTAGCGTGAATCATGACAAGAATATTGTTCTATTGCATTATTGAAATCTAAGCTAATCTACGGACTAAAATTGAAATCAATATTATTATAAAATAGACAAAGTCAGTAATTATCCACTTTTCCTTCAGCAACCACGCCATCAATATTAATTCTACCAGAAGGAGTTGAAATTAGGAGAGTAGCTGCATAGAATTAGTTATACATAGAAGGCCCCTCTATCTTCGCTCATGACATTATTCGATGCTCTTAGTTGTATATAGTAGATATATTGGTAGAACCATACGAAGATTAATTAGAGGAGATATTTTGTACACTGTTTTTGTGTATTAACCATTTATGCCATTATTGCAATTCTTCAAATTAGATAGTACTCGTGATATATTAGAGAGATTATTTTTACTACACTAAGATATATTTATGACAATAATTCATAGACTAATATATTTGTAATTAAGAGAGAATACAACAGATTAGAGAAACCTTTCATACTTACACGTTAAGGTCTCTTTGAAATTGCAAAGTACTAAAGAAGTAGTAGATGCTACCGAAATACGTATTCTCTAATGTTAATACAAAATCTAGTTATATTTCATAAGCTATCATTTCATAACCTATCATTTTATAGCCTATCATTTTATAGTCTATCATTTCTTATCCTATCATTTCTTAACCTATCATTTCTTAACCTATCATTTCTTAATCTATCATTTCTTAATCTATCATTTCATAACCTATCATTTTATAACCTATCATTTCATGGATCGTTAAATGTGGCGAAATTTACTGTTTTCTTAAGATAAAATAAGATTACACTATTGTTTACTACTTTGCGTTAGAAATTATAGCTATTTACTTTTTTAAACAAATTATACTTCGTGAGATTACATTCTGACAATTAGAATAAAATTGAATCCATTTCAATTAAGGTTGATACTTTAGTAGTTTACCAATCGGATGCATTTATTATTTTATTTCTGCATTTTTAAATTCAATACATCTATCTAGACCAAGAAAAAGAATAATAAGTTATGTTGGGATATTCATTTCTGGCTTGGAGAGGAGACGTCACAGGTAAACAAAATATAAGCACTATTTCTTGATAATATAATTTAATGAATTATTAAGCTTTCCCTACGTAATGAATCACTAGGAGATTTAAGATATACTATAATTCGTTCGAGTTTAAGTTTTTTAATCCAAATTAAACATAAATACATGTATTAATCATATCACTAACATCGGGATCAGGATGAATCTGGAGTTGCTGCTTACAAAACGGTTGAATTGGATGAGCTTCTTGGAGGTAGTCCTGTGCAACATCGAGAGGTAACGTACTTTGCGCCGTACATACACCTTCAAGATTGATTAATAATAAAGTTGCATTTAAAGACTAGCATTGTCTACGGCTTTAATTGATAAGCTTTTGCTAAAATTTTTTAAATGTTATCCTAAGACCATCACGAAAATACCTAATTTAGCATTCAATTTGGCTTTTATCTAGTATTCTTTATATGATCGCATGACCAATTTAATTCTTGATTATGATAATTGCATCAACCCTAGACAGTATAAAACTGAAGTTTTCTATACGTTATTCTTCAGAGTTAAGATTACAGCTATTGCTCAATCATTACCTAAGACCGAGAGTTAATGAACATACATAATTACTATTTCGCTATAAATTTGATTACTTATCAGTAACAACCAATAAAATATTACATATATCAAGAATAACAATTGAAACAAAAATTATTATATCTATCGTATCTTTAATGAACTATGATTTCAGTTGTTCAGAATTATCATTTCCATTTACCTCTTGCTATAGGTCCAGAATCACGAATCTAGCCTATTTTTATCCTATTTTAAGCAAGGAGTGTGGTAAGATATTAGTTGTATATCTTTATTCTTGTTATTAATCAAATTTTTCATAATTAAATTAATATTTTAACATTCTTACCAGCTACGCCGAAGGAGGCGTTGAATCTGGTTTCAAAAAAGTTGAACGTGGTGCATATGAAAAAAGATTATTGCATATCAAAGGCAAACGCCAAGTCCGAGTTTATCCAGTTAGTATAAAACTGATACATTTATAAGTTGAGATTAACATTAATATTTAACATCATAAACTGAATTAATGTATTATTTTAATCATTTCTCTAAGGTGGAAGTTAATGTAACTTCATTAAATGATGGCGATTGTTTCATACTGGATGACGGCGAAAAAATTTATTGTTGGTGCGGTAAAGACAGTAGCCGGAAGGAGCGGATGAAAGTAGTACTAAAAATTATAAATAAAAGAACAACTTTACTTTTTTAATCCTAAAATAAGATAAACTAACTTTACTTATTTATGGTTATCGAATACCTCTAAATTAGCATTAAATTACGATTACTAGGCATCAGATGTAGCCAGGGGCATTCGTGATGGTGAACGTGGCGGTAAAGCTCGTATTTATATTATAGGTAGGCCAGATAGGATCGAATCAGATAAATTTTATTTTCGACACCCAAGCTATGCAACTGCTGATTTCTAGTGCATCTACTAGTATAATAAAAAATTACAGGGTACATATAACCTATAAGAGTAATTACAGATGGCCTTATTTAAGCAATAAATACTACATTCTAGTCATGAATCAGCGTATGCATCAATTGAGGATTATAAGATTTTAAGTATTCCTTGACAAGAACAGAAAATTAAATCAAGCTAGTCCCATACATTACTGAATTTTGTTCCTATTCAGCTATATTAGCTACGAATGAGTATTATTTTATCCAGCATAGTGCTGAGTTGATTTTTGATAACTGGTTAAAACCCCAATTTTTATAATTGTAGCACTTTTTACGATAAATCTCCTTTCGAACTGTGATTTCATTGAAGTAATCTCTTCAAACGACGATATCATAGAAATTAAACTATGTTACATTTATCATGTTGTAACAATACAAATCTACAGAAAAATTATAAATTTAATTTTGTTAAAAAGATGACGGAGAGGATGATGATAGTGAATTTTTTGAAGCGTTGGGTGGATTTAACCGCGAACAAGTATTATCTGCTGAAGCCGGCGGCGATGATGTTTCTTTTGAAGAAGAATCAGCAGAGCATATTCGTTTATACAGGTATCTAATAAATAATCCATATTGATTTAAAGAGGGAAAGCGAAATCTTTTCATATACGATCAGGACTTAGAAGCTATCGAAATAAATGTTGATTTCGACATTTAAAACTTTAGAATCTCTGACGCTAGCGGGGACTTAGAAACTACGGAGGTCGATGAGAAACCACTAAAATATGAACATTTAGACCATAACGTAAGAATATTGTATACCTGGTAGTAGAACACTTTAAATTATATTAAAACCAATATGCGTATCTATAATGTTACACTACTGTACATCAAATGCTTGTAATTAATTAATTGAAGATGAAAGACTAATATTACATGTCATCATTCATAAAATTTTTACCATGCTTTAATTTAATTAATAATGATGAGCGGAATATAGTAAGGTATGGGTATCAGATTTGAATTTTCTGTTTTGATAACTAAGAACAATGTTCTACCTCCCATTTTGACAGGATTCTTTTATCTTGGATACCGGAGGCAAAGGAATTTTTGCATGGGTTGGTTCAAAGTGCACTAAAGCCGAGAAACGAAGTGCTATGAGTCAAGCTGTGGTATGCTATTCATAATAATTTAGCTTTATTAACACAACTCATGACATTATTCCATTACAGGTTTGATATTTCAGAAGCATATAGCACGTATTAAGCTGTTTAAAGCCATTAAAATTCATTAAATCGATCTCATATTTCTATTATTACTATGCGATTATTTAGAAATTTATTGAAGAACGGAATTATCCTAAGTGGACTCCTGTTACTCAAGTAATGGATGGTGATGAGAATGCTCTATTTAAGCAGTATTTCGCATCATGGCCGAGCCGAAATATTGTTATTGCAGCACCTAAGCCTAGTCAGAGTAATATCGGTAAAGTATAAATGCGTATTGAAATTTGTAATTTAGTGTTGAAGAAAGGACTTGAATCTAATGTAAAACTGATACCGTAGTTCCTTCGCTGTAAGTAAGCTATTCATTTAATCAATATCCTTGCTTTTTAGCTCAAGTATCACAAGATGAAATCGATCTAAAAGCACTACATCAACAACATATTCAAAAGAAGCAAACAACTTTGCCTGATAATGGGGATGGACGTGTCAAAGTAAAACCAATAAGAGAATAATCTTTATAGTAATATCTTTAAATACTGTGTATATTCCAAATATAGTGATTTGAAAAATTACAAGAGTTAGATATGACACCTGTAAATCTAATTTAATAGATATGGCGGATTGAAAATTTTCAAAAAGTTCCCGTCGATGAAGAAGTTTATGGCAAATTTTATGGTGGTGATAGCTACATCCTGCTGTACAAATATCTCAAGCATGGAACTGAGCAATACATAATTTATTTTTGGCTGGTACGTATTATTATAATGTCCTAATATTAGTTTACTTTAAAATTGAGATGATTCAGAAGATACAAATAACTCAGGAATAAATGAAGATTAATGTAGATAACTCGTAGTATAAAGCTATCGACACTAATTCGTATTTACGTAGTAGTCTTATAAATATAGAACTAAAATCAAGGAATAAAATTAAGGATATGCTAGTATGTGTCGTTAGATATCTCGTGAAAGGTTCCATAATATTTAAAAATTAGAATTTAAAAAGCCGCTTATATCTACATACAAGTATTTCATTTATCTTTTCAATATTGAGAAATAATAGACTACAGGAATGTCTAACGATAACATTTGCATTTAGGGATTAAAAAGTAGCCAGGATGAACAAGCATCTGCGGCTGCTTTAGTTACTGCAATGGACGATAATCTAGATGGAATGGCTACCCAAGTAAGGCCGTGTTATCGTACATACATGATGGATAAGAACATTAAATATTGTTATATAACATTTAATTTAATACGATCCTCGTAAAAAAATATTCAGATACGTGTTGTTCAAAATAAAGAACCCGAGCATTTTTTACTGATATTTAAAGGAAAACTGGTCATTTTTGAGGTAGATATTGAATAATAACATTGACTATACTGTAGACAATTATCGATCATATTTTCGAATCTGATCAATTTTAGGGAGGCTGTGCTAGCGGATTTAAGAACGTTAACGATAAAGATTCTTATGATACTGATGGTGTTATGCTTTTCCAAATTCATGGAACTACAGCTTTTAATACTAAAGCCATTCAGGTATATCGAATTTAGGAATATTCAATGTATTGTATAGAGCGCAGATTAGTGCTAACTAAACTCGTTAAATTACGGCACTGCCATGTTGTCAAGTTTAGTTACTCTACTCTAAACTTATATACTAGTAGAGCTCATGTTTTTTTCATATTTGAATAATGTGTCGTGATATTAGGTGGCTGAAAGGGCATCGTCGTTAAACTCGAACGATGTGTTTGTTCTTAAAACACCACAAGAAACAGCAATTTGGGTAGGCAAGGTGAGTATAATAATTTAAAAAGTTTACCTAATGCATATTAAGCAAATATCTGCTCTGAAACATGTATAATTGCTTTTAACAATGTAATACAGCTTAAATTTAAAGTGGTTAGTAATTTCGTTATATTTGCAATACGGATAAAGATATTATATATCGAGAGTATATATATACAGCATCTGAGTTGAAAAATAGCCAAGTGAATTTATGCTTACAATGAAAAACATACTTGTAATTCATTATTAACATTTTAATGTGCTAATAATTAATTTTTCCAAGTAATGCTAACGAAATGTGATAGGATCACTTTAGGACAAAATTAAATTGATTAATATCCTATAGCATTATCTATGCTAGCTATAAGTTTAGTAATCATGGCCTATTGTCTATACTGGTATAGGGAGCCAATAATGATGAAAAGGATATGGGTAAAACCATTGCGAAGTTCATTTCGCCAAAAACGTGAGTAATTTGTGACTATAAGAAAAATTGATCAAGTTTAAAATGGTAATCACTTTGGTAATGTTACTCAGTTATATCAATTTGAAAATCTTATAAAAAAGCAAGTATAAGTAGTAATATGAGTATTATTGTTCTAACAGAGATATTGGAGTTGTTAATGAAGGTCATGAACCTGAATGGTTCTGGCCTGCATTAGGCGGTAAAACTGAGTATGCTTCTGGTGAAAGATTACAGGTATTTCATCATTAGAGCGTAAGAAATAGTTTCCTGACATTTTGTCAGTATAATAATACCGAAATATGGCGTCTAATATTACTAATTGCTCTTACTATGCATGATCAATATAGGAAGCTACACTATCGCAACCGCCACGATTATTTCAATGCTCTAACGCTTCAGGAAAATTTAAAGTCGAAGAAATTCCAGATTTCGATCAAGAGTCTGTCTGTCTTGTAATTTGCATAAATACTATACTGTAGTAGTTATTGCTATAATTTCGAAGATGATCATTTAAATACATATTTTCATTTATTGTAGGATTTAAGTGAAGACGACGTAATGCTATTGGATACGTATGATGAAGTTTTCGTTTGGATTGGTGAAGGAGCTCGCCCAGAGGAAAAAAAGGCAGCATTAGAATTAGCAGTGGTAATCGAATTATATTCGTCTATACTATAGATACATTTAAAAAGGACTAGTTTTCTTACAATTTCTTTACCTTACGAAATATAAATTAGAGCTATAGCAACCTGGCGATGATTATGGTGTCTGATAGAAACGTTTATTTCGATTAATTTTATCGCTTAAATATCTAAATAAGCGACTTCTCTTGATTCCTTAAGTTGTTATTTCTTGTATAAAATGTGCTCTCTCTATTTCGTCATCATCAATTAGAAATATGTAAAGTCGGACACTTCTGGACGCGATATTAACAACACCACCATGGTTCAAGTTAAACAAGGCAGTGAGCCAATAGCTTTTACCTGTAATTTTGTAGCTTGGGACCTCAATAAATGGAGCGTAAGTCACACTGTCACGATGCAGTAAATGTGTAGAGATTAATCGATCCTTCTTCATCTGCGTAAAATAATTATTACAAGACTTGATGATTAACTTGTACTATAATTAGAACGGAAAATCTTATGCTGATTTAAAAGCCGAGCTTGGTAAAGAAAATGCTGGTGTAACCTTAATTTCTGATGTAAGTTATCCAGTGATTTCTACTTCTGTTTAAATACTATGCAAAAGAAGATAATAAATTCTGATACTATGTTCAATTTCTATCATGAATTAAATAAGGGACATAGTGTGTAGTTTCCACTAAAGTTATAATTCTATCGAAAGAATTACTAGTAGTGATATCCTTTACTTTGTAACACACTATACCATTCTTTTTATTCTTTGGCACTGTAATCAATTACATATGCTCGAACTACGTATACTTATTATCTTGCTTGTTTTACTAAAAGATTTAATGTACGAACTTTAAAATTCATGTAAACCATATTTCATACTTACTATATCTAGGAGTTAGCTAAATATAACAAAAAGTATGATTATGAATTTTTAATATCTCCTGACTTACCAGAAGAAATTGACGCATGCCATAAAGAGGTCAGTTGCAGCAAATATCATCTATTCGTTCCAAAGATGGATATCTAAATTATCTTGTTGATACATTAAAAAATCGAGATTTTATTATAATTTAAAACAAGATTGCCTGTGATCTAGTCTTAATTCATGTAATTATATGTTATGTAAGTTAGTATTGTCGATGATAAATACTTGAAAACATTATGTTCAGCGTAGTAAAATAGCAATACATCTCAGTATTGATGGAGCTGAAGGACAGCATTTAAATTTAGTATTTTAGAAAAAGTAAGCTAATTTATAATGCCTTGCATATCTGCAATTATAGATTGCATAAACTAGCTGTGCTCATTTTTTCTACTACCTTGGAATATTTTAAGACATTTCGTTTAGCATAGGCTATTACATGCTTGAGGTCAAGATAATATATCTTGATTTGATAGTCTGGGCTTTCCTAATATCTCAATTTTTTACCTGTTTAGCGCTATCTAACAGATGAAGACTTTGAGAAAGTTTTTAATATAACAAGAGAAGAGTTCGAAGCAAAACCGCAATGGCGTCAACAGCTCTTAAAGAAGCAGAAAAAACTATTTTAACTACAACTGGCGCTATTAAAAGTCTTTTCTTATAGGTCTAGGTGTTTCAATACGATAGATCTGTTTAGTTATGATGGATTGTTTGGTTTAATCGCGGTACAGATTTAAACATGAAAGAATTAAATTGAAAATTCTCAATTGAAATAGTATAAATTAACTTATTCAGCAATGTCCTAGCTTGTAATTGTTTTTACTATGAGCCTGATATGCGTTGATTTTTATTTTTAAGGAAGATGGGGAATTTTTTTGCTAGATAAAGGTTGAAATTTAGGAAATGTTCCAACTTGGCATTTAGTAATAGCCTTTTTGGAATAGTAGTATCAAGATTAACTGTTAGATAATACTTCTAAGTTAATGCTATCTTCCAATTTTTCCTATAAGTAATAGTAACAACCAATATCAAGATAGAAAGTAGAATAGGTGATTACAATCGCAAATAACTTAAATTGATGTTGTTGAAATGTGCTTAAGCTTTCCTTATTACCTTAGTTTGAAAACAATGCAAGCTATTTAACGTTACTTATCTTACTGGAAATCGATAACAAAAATTGTACGTATGGATAACTTAGTCGAGCAATTTGTAGCCACCGATATGCTGCCGCTCATTCCCTGACGATTTATCAGCCATTTTCATTTCTTCTATCCTATCATTGCATACTCTGTTATGTATGTAAGAAAGTTGTTACAATAATGTGTTAAAGTGAGATAATGTAGTGGATTGCTAAGATAAAGAGTACGATACGGCTATAACGCGATATGATGTGTGGCCTTCCTAGACGATATTTAAGGCAATAAATCTTAAATAAAGGCAGAATTATTAAGCTAACTAGGCGGAGTATATCTGTGCCCGTAGCAAAAACGGATACTATTAGTCTAATTGTAAACCAATTTCTGGCAATTAAGATGAAAACGGCTTTAATACCGTCCTGACCGTAGATTTCCATGTTATATTTTAGGCATGGCATGTAAGGCATCTCGTAGTGATAGCATTTGTCATTTTTTAAATAATTTATTATTGCAGGTCTAATAAACATTGAGTTGTAGTACTACGACAACTTTGGAAATGGTTTGAACAAGTCATTTTTTCCGTGATTAAAAGAGTCACCTGGAAGTAAAAATCGTCCAAATTTAATGTTTGTATCAAGAACAGCTACTAACAAGTAGACTACCTATATTAAATGACCATGAATAATATAATCGGATTGTTTTTGCGAGTTGGTAGATTGTGAAGGAATAAGTCTTTCAAAGTGCCTCAGTCACATAGGCAATGTGGATTTTAGATATTCATCTCTCATGGTAATTGAAAAGTTTGGATCATAACGATTTTTGCTCAGTGGTTTTTTTATGTCCTCTAGACAGCAACATAGTTAGAAATTAATATTTCGTAAGGGCTCTAAAATATTTATACCAATAGTCGATAACTAACCAATTCCCGCAGCAATCATGTCGCAATAATCCAATTCATCACATTCACAATCTAATCCAACCGAACGACCCAAGTACCTAAGGATAACTAAGTCAGTAGATACCAGAATAATTTAGTATCGATTTATTAAATTTCATAAGCAAGATAGGTTTAAATAATCGTTTTACTTATCAAATTTTCATTGAATTATTTTGAAGAAAAATGATTTAGCTGCTTTAGATTATTATACTGAGAAACATACCGTATCGTAAAGAATTGGTTATATTAATGAATTGGAATTAAATATTCAATCGCTTTTGTTTGTAGCTAGAAAAAAATTAACATATAGTAAGTTGATTCAATGCTTAGTTTCAATGTATGGAAGATTTACTAAATGTTCGATATTGAAAAGGTGCTGTACGAGCAGCAACTTTTAAACAACGAAAGGGATGAAATAATGACCGTATGACTTTTCCTATCTTCGCTTTGAACTAGCTTAATTCCATCGCTGGTTTCGATCGCTGGAGCTTCAATAATTAATATAACAGTAGCCAGAAGAGTCATAGAAAATTGAGATTAGAAAACAAAGTCAGCTAAAAATTGAAATGGCACCAACTGAAAAAGCTGTCATACTTTGATATCCAATATTATTAAATATGAGGTTTACTGTACAGCTACAAGTCATGCTATTGTATTCGGGAGAAGACGGTAGCTGCTAATATATAAGATTTGCACATTCACAGTGATTGAAGCTATGACCATCATTCGTATCCTCTAACCTTAGCCAAATAAGAATAACCCACTCTTTAATCCTTCTTGTTTTATGTTGAGCCACATCTTGTTTGAAAATGTCGTCTCGGAATAAGATATATTCCAATCATTCATTAGTAATCGCATCACTTCGGCACGTCCACGTCCGTTAAAATAATGCAATTTGACATGCTGGATATCTTTAATTGGAAAACAGCCAGCCTTACCATGGACTAGTCAACTAATTATTTTACTTACGAGAGCCTGATCATCACCATAATGTAATGCAAGCAGACCAGCAATCAAGACCACAATAAGCGTTGTAGTGCCCATCTTGCTGGAAAGAACGATAGGATTGTGATACCACCTGAAGATCTCTTCAGCTACCGCAAGATTACTTTGCTTACTTAGCAAATATCGTGCTTCAAATGCCTTTAAGCATGCCTCAATGCGGGTTTATAGATTCCTGTGCCTACACCTCCATTATTAGCTTGAGCATTGAGCTATGGCTGTCGTTTGCGTACCAATTGGATGCCAAGCAGTGCTACAGTATTAGCGCGTATACCAGAGGACTCTAAATCCTCGACTTGGTAGTCCATGACTGTCCTGGTTATGTCAATTATGGCCAATATCCAAACTCTAGATTTGTGTTAATACGCCATTATCTCATGCTAACTAAGGCGAAATTGCGCCATGTTGGTTTTTCCTTTCACCTTCTCAAGGCTAATTAGTTTCCTATAAAAGTTGGATTGAAGTAACTCCAAAAATGGAGTTGTTGCCCAGGAATTTCATCGAACACTTTATTACGTTCAAAAGCCAACTGAAACTTTAAATTCCATGAATGAAATCAATTCAAATTATCAAATTTTGTATGATCTGCTGCATGAACGGAACATCATACAAATACACCAATGCTTATAGTACTGTATAGACAGACATACACCTACACTTATGGTGCTGTGTATGGATAATAGTAACTACAACTCGATGAAGTCTTCTTAACTAACAGTAGGGTAATGACGATGAAATATCCATTCATATCCGATTCTTATTCTATCTTTCTTATTCTATCTTACGTTATAAATCAAGCCAAGATTTTTGTACAATATTAAAAAGAAATTTTTATTGGCCTATAAATCAGTTAGTTGTATTCGTAATGGTTATCAGTTGTAATTGTGGTAAATTTAGTCGAAACATGGATAAGATCATAAAATTTCTTATGCATACCTAGTTATAAAGCGACATTTAAACTAGGTTCGCTCTTCTACTATTTATTAATATGATTCCTTAGGAACATAAAGTATAATTTACCTTACTGTTAATTAAAATTTACTCTTATGATAAGCATCGATAACTTACAAACGATTATTTTTATTTATGGCGTTACAAATCGAAATTTGTATGTGACTGACCGACATTATTTAGAAAGGATTTTGAGCATTTGTAGTGCACTTTTAGCTTTGAAACATCAGTAGCGATTATAGATCCTTTAGCTCTTAGCCTTTAAGGATTGAAGATAATGAATAGCATTTCATTAAATTTGCATTTCTACACTAGCTGAACAATCTTCACGTTCAAGAAATAGCCATGAAACTGCCTAAACTATGATTTTACTGTATCATTGAGTGAAACAATCCGCCATTCATGAACTGATATTTATCTAATTTTCATTCTATTACAATTATATGTGGTAGTTATATGCAGCTGGAACTACACTCCTTGGCTTAATGTTTCTTATCCATAGAAAATTGCAACCTTTACGATCATAAGAAAACAATGACACTAAGTTAAAACTATTTTAAACTTTGCATTATTCATTCTATTTTATACATGGAGACTTATCAGATATTTTAATCTATCCTATTCATTAGGGCTATACAAAATTGAAACTAGCTACCGATAAATGAATAGGGAATTATTTGATCTGTCGTAGATTGCTGCACTAGCTGGGCAATTTTTAGCCTCAATCAGGCAACTGTTAAAACTAAATCAATATTATTAGCTGTATAGAGGAATAAAATGATACTTAACTTTCTATAATTCACTCTTATGAATAAATCTATCTTATTAAATTCAATTATTTCCTGTCCTAATAGAGCTTTTCAGCTTAAGAAAGATAGTGACTTTATAAAATACCTAACAATTTTATAAAATGTCTAGTGATTTTGCAAAATGCTGTTTGGAAATACAAACTTTGATATAACTATGAGGCTTATAATTATAACAAAATTTCATGTCAGATCGCTATGCAAGTAAAACTAAATAAAATACTTCTCCATCAGTTAAAGGACAGTAAGAGTGAATCTTGAAGCTTTGGCACATAGAATTATTACAAGCATCATATTATCCTTTTCTACTTCAGCAACTATTCCATCAATATTAATTCTGCCAGAAGGAGTTAAAAATAGGAGAGTAACTACACAGAATTAGTTATTATGGAAGGCCCCTGTAACTTCGATTATCATATAATTCAATGTGCTTATTAGTTGCATATGATGGGTATGCTGATAGATCTATGCGAAGATTAGAGGCGATAGTTTTTACACCATTCTTATGCTTAACTTTTCACGCTATCATTGCAATTCTTTAAATCAGGGTTGTACCTGTGATATATCAAAGAGATTATTATTATTGCACTAAGATATATTTACGAAAATGATTTATAGACCAATATATTTGTAACTGAGAAAGAATGCAATAGATTAGAGAAACTTTTCATACTTACACATTAATATCATTATTGAAATTGTAGAGTAACTAAGAAGTAGTAGGTGCTACCAAAACATATAATTTCTAATATTAATATAAGGTCAAGTTATATTTGATAAATTGTCACTTCTTAGATCGCTAAATGTGATAAAATTTACTGTTATCTTATGATACAATAAGATAATGCTATTATTTATAACCGTATGTCAGAAGCTATAGCTATTTAATTCTTTGAAAAAATTATAATTCATGAGATTATAACCTGGTAATTAGATTATAACCAAATCCATTTCGATTAAGGTTAACACGTTAGTAGATAACCAATCAGATGTATTTATTATTGAATTGATGGTGTTTGAATTGTGTTAGAGCTTTCCACAGTACCTTAGTTCGAGAGCAATTCAAGCTACTAGATGTTACTTGTCTTATTCGAAATCAATAATAAAAAAAGGCACGCATAAATAGCGTAGTCGAGCAATTTGTAATCGCCGATATGCTGCCGTTCATTTCCTGACGATATAGCAGCCATTTTCATTTCTTCTATTCTGTCATTGCTTACTCTGTTATGTATGTAAAAAGTCGTAACAAGAAGTAGTTACCTATTCTATTACCTATGATAATACGGTAGATAACTACTACATCTAAAATTTGGCAGATCTCTAGTACACATATAAAGAGGCCTTGATAAATCGATTATCTCAAGTCTACTTACGATACAGCAGTCAGCACACTGATCTCAGATCTCATGCATTAACAATATAGTACATATGCGGTAAATTAAATATCATTTCATTTTAACCGAATTTGATGTTTGGTCATTTATTGTCACAAATTAACATTACAAACATATTTACTAAATTCTACAATAATGTTACATATGAATATAGTTTAACATTAAGTAAATTTGTTTATCTATTTTATGATCTAAATATCTAAAAAAAATATTATATGTTGTGTGCATTATCCCGATCATCTAAACAAATCTTACCATGCTAGGATTATAACCACGCTTAAGTGAGTTCATTACAATGTATGTTTTAAAGTTATACATCCAGTACTATAATTCTATTTCTATTTATTAACAAATATGCAAATGTCCCCCTGATTTATCACATCACGGTAAATCCAAAGCCTCAAATAATTTCCAATAACTTAGTTTGCATTATTATATTAATGGGTATAACACGTGTATTGACCGAGTAATAGTCTCCTGCTATTACTGCTAACCACCTACTGTATTACTACAATAAGCTGAGATCATAACAACACATCCCCGATATTTTGGCTAAAGAAGATTAACGTCATCACATCACATGAGCATATTGATTCTAAACCATATAAATAAACAGAAAAAGGCAGCTCGAGTCCATTTTACTTACTCATCGAAATCTTGTGCATCAAGCCAGGTAAGACTATCTAATACCGCGTAGATTAATTAAAAACTTATCTTGAAAATATCCCTGGATATTCCACTTCCTTGCAATAGTAGTTGCACCATAAATAAATTATCATTGTAAGTTGATTGATGCAGTCGATGGTATCAATGTTTTATTAATACTGTAGTGGAGGCTAAACTGCTAATTTTATTTTTCGTTTGAAATGAAGTTGTGCACTAGACAGTAGAGATTGTAGCTAGCCTACTAACTAGCAGCAAAATTATGACATTGAAGTACCCATTCATATCGGATTTTTATTCTATCTTACGTTATAAATCAAGCCTAAATCTTTCTAAAAATATCGAAAAGAAAATCCCAATCCTAACGCTAATCTTAAGTGGCCTAAAAATCATTTAGTTACGTTTGTAATAACAATCTTTTATAATTAAAGGTAAATCTAGTCGAACCATGGATATTATAGTGCAGTTTCTTTTACATCTCTGGTTATAAAGCGACATTTAAACTATGGCTCGCTCTTCTACTGCTTAGTGTTATAATTTTATAGAAACATAAAGTAAAATTTACCTTACTGTTAATTGAAATGTACTCTGATGATATGCACCGATACCATACAGTAAATATACGGATTGAAATCATAATTCGATCGGTAAACGATAATTTCATCAGGACATGAGAGAATAATGAACTTGAGAGTAACACCTTACTCTATATTTGATCAGTTTTCTATCCTGTACTAGTCTAATTTTGTAGAATCGTTAATCATCAATTTACTATTGACTGTAGTTCATTTTCATAGCTACTTCTATTTTAGAGCAATATTAACTGAAATCATGATCCAAGAAACAATAATTCTTATTCATAACATAGGATAGGATAGTTGACTTGAGGGTTTTTCCACACTCAAGATCTAATTTCATTCCTACTACATGGCATACAAATTTCATTTCACAGGAGAATAAACTATTCATTTACCTTACTGCAAACAGAAATTCACTTCGATAGTTACCAATATGCTATTATTGTCTAAAGTCATAATCTAATCTACGACAATAATTTTATTTATGAAGCAGTAACATAGTAGACTTCAATATGTTATCTTGCGCGAGGTCTAATTTGCTTACTACTGTACAGTACAGTATACTAATATTATTCCGTAGGATTATAATTTATTATTAAATGATACACACTTTGACATTTGCTCTTATCATACTTATATTATCAAAAGCCATGATCCAGTAGGCGGCGACAATTTTATTAAGGACAAAGTAGAATACTCGATTTCAAAACAACAGCTAACTCGAGATCTGATTTGCTATTAGTACTACATTAATGATTGCAGTAACAAAGATTCGATTAAATAGTTAAAACTTTTCTTAAATGCGTGATTGAATATATGTATAGATTTTACCCCGTTGATTGATATTCGGCTATTATGCTTCAATCTCCACTTTAGTCTTGTATTGACCCAACCAGACAGTCATGAGTGATTCAGCATTTGAAGGAGCAGGGAAAACGCCAGGATTAGAAATATGGCGTATCGAGGTTAGTCTAAGCTCAAATACTTTAAAGAATTACTTCTATTTCAAAATTATACTAGATATACTGTTGTTCCTTTTTAAAATATCTTGTTATCGATGCGATTGATTTTTTAATTTATGGCTGTAACGAAATTTGACTATGTGTAAATTAAGGTAGAATGTTGCTATGCTAATTGTGGCTGTAACTGCTACGAAATGAATATAAGCTGTCAACTTTAGGCTATTCAGTTTGTTCTTTCAAGAAGTCCTTCAATAGTTGTATTCGGCTAGAGTAGAGCTGTGTGTAGTTAGTCTTTGTATTAGATCTAACAAAGTTCTAATTTTCTAAAACTTTGGAATTTTCGTGGTTGAATTTTATCACAATGGCCGAATAGTTCTAAATTAATTACGTTAAACAAGCTTAAACTTCAGTCTACTAACACGATATTATTAATATTTCTTAAATAATCGTTATAGAAATTGAAGGTAGTCAAGCAAGACCCTAAAACTTATGGAAAGTTTTATAATGGTGACTCTTATATATGCTTAAGTGTAAGTAGTCTATACATTGAGAGCAAAATTCGATTTAATATCGTCTCATTTCGTTATAGAAGATCTGAAAAGGAAATGAGTCTCTCTTTCATTAATTACCCTTATTTGCTAATTCAATAATGCATGATTCGATAAAAATACTATACCTCTAGCTATCAAACAGTATACGGTCGCATATAATGTTCATATGCTAGCTCTTTATGAATAATTATTCTAATATTTTACAACAAGAATCGTAATGCACTACATTTTTTCGACTAAAACTGATTCTTAGATGATAATTGCGGCTAATGAGATGGATCATGACAAAAATATTGTCCTATTGCATTATTAAAGTTTAAGTTAATCTACGGACTAAAACTGGAATCAATATTGTTGCAAAATGGACAAAGGCAGAGATTGTTCACTTCTACTTCAGTAACCAAACTAGTGTTGTGACATACTGGATAGCGAGTGAAATAAATTAACAAGATTGTATCTCATATATATCTACGTTAAACTTGTCTTATAGAGACTATAAGTGTACAATTTACTCATATAGCTATTTTGAATATCACTTGCGTACGGGCTAGCCTTATTAAAGGTGTATACGAACTTCATAACTGTGTAGATAGAGAGGAATTAGATAAAATTGCAGTGAAATACTTTTTCAATAGAGGCTTATTACCTAGTTTGGAGCGGTTCTATCAGCGTTTAGCTGACTAAGATAGTACAAGTAGGTCATTGTAACTAGAAACGCTTAGTAGCAGCCAACTTAGATTAGCTATACTTCCAATAGAGAAAGTTATTTGTGATGTGGCACATACCATGAGCACTAGTGCAAACTCCCGTCGCTTTGCTGACGGTTTACGATAATGTGCTCATTTAACAGATAGTATTACCATTTGTCGTACTCAGTAGACCTGTCAGAGGTTCAGTAACTTTATACCGTGTACTGTGTCTATCTTCGATCAGGACACTATTCTGTGCACTTAGCTGTATATAGTGCGGATACTGGTGGACCGATACGAAGACTACAGAAGATATTTTGTGCGCCATTCTTGCATATCAACTTTTTGCGCTATTATAAAATTTCTTAAATCTGGTAGTACTTGTGATTTATTAGAGATTATTATTACTGCACCAGGATATATTTATGAGTAAAATTTATAGACTAATATATTTTTAATCGAGTAAGAAAACAACAGGACAGAGAAACCTTTCATACTTACACGTTAATATCTTTACTGAAATTGCAGAGTAACAAAGAAGTAGTAAGTGTTACCTAAACACATATTTTCTAGTATTAATACAAATTCTAGCTATATTTCATTATCTATCATTTCATAGATCGCGCTAAATGTCACGATCTTTACCGCTATCCTATGATTGAATAAAATGATGCTATTATTTGCTACTGTGTGTCAGAAAAGATATACTTCTTTGAAAAAATTATAATTCATGAGTCTACAACCTGACTACTAAATATTATCGAATTCATTTCGATTACGATTGATACGTTAGTAGGTAAGCAATCAGATGTATGTATTACTTAATTTCTGCCTTTTAAAATCTAATATACATATTTAGACCAAGAAACAGAATAATAAATTATCTTGGGATATTCATTTCTGGCTTGGTGAGACAACATCACAGGTAAACAAAAATAGACGCACTATTTCTTGACGATCTAATTTATGCGATTAATTAATTATTTATTCAGGTTGTGCTGCCTGGTAGATTACTAGTACATTTATGATGTACTGCATTTTGTTCAAGTTTAATCTTTCTAATCTAAATTAAACATAAGTACATATATACTAATTATATCACTAACATCGGAATCAGGATGAAGCTGGAGTTGCTGCTTACAAAACAGTTGAATTGGATGAGCTTCTTGGAGGTAGTCCTGTGCAATACCGAGAGGTAGCGTACCGTACTTTGTATCACATATACTTTCAGGATTAATTAATAAATCAAGTTGTAGATAAAGATTGGTAATACCGATAGTTTTAATTGATAAGCTTTTGCTTAAAATCTAAGTATTGTCCTAAATTATCATGAAAATACCTAATTTATTGTTCAATTTGGCTTGTACATAAAATTCTTTTGTGTCATAGCTTAATCAATTTAACTCATAATTTATGGAAATTTCTACTGTAATGCATTAGCTCCTAGAAAATTTTAAACTTTAGCTTTTTATAAGTTTTTATTTAGAGTTAAGGTTATAGCTATCGCTCAATCATTATCGGAGAGTTAGTAAGCCTAGATAGTCATAATTCTGATATAAATTTAGTTGCTTATCAGTAACAAGCAATATATTATGCATATTAAGAATGAAATTAAAATAAAAATTACTAGATCTATAATTTATTTAATTATTTTAACTACGATTTCGGCAGTTCTAGAATTGTCTTTTCCATTGACCTCTTGCTATAGGTCCAGAATCATGAATCTAGAAAATTCTTGTCTTATTTTAAACAAGGAGTTCGGTAAAACATTAATTACATATCCTTATTTTTATTATTAATCAAATTTATCATACTTAAATTTATATCTTCACATTCTAACCAGCTACATCGAAGGCGGTATTGAGTCTGGTTTCAATAAAGTGGAACGCGGTGCATATGAAAAAAAATTATTTCATGTTAAAGGCAAACGCCTAGTCCGAATTTATTCAGTTAGTATAGAACTAATACAAGTTGAGATAAACATTAATAATAAATATCGTATACTAAATATACTAAATTGATGCATTATTTTAATCATCTTTCTAAGGTGGAAGTTAATGTAACTTCATTAAATGATGGCGATTGTTTCATATTGGATGACGGCAAGAAAATTTATTGTTGGTGCGGTAAAGATAGTCGCAAGGCGGAGCGGATAAAAGTAGTCCTTAAATCATAAATAAATGAATAATTTACTTTTTTTAATCCTAAATAATATTAACTAACTCACTCATTTATAGCGATCAAATACCTCTAAATTAGCATCAAAATTACAATTACTAGGCAATGGAGGTAGCTAGGAGCATTCGTGATGATGAACGCGGGGGTAAAGCTAAAATTTACATTATAGGTAGGTAAGATAGCATCGAGGAAGATAAATTTTGTTTTCGACACCGATTTTATTCGGCTATCGATTTTAGTGTATCTACGATTATAATAAATAAATACGGCATGCAAATAATCTATAATAATCATTGTAGATGGCCTTTTTTTAAGCAATAAACAGCACATTCTATTCATGAATATACCTCAATTATAGACTAGAAGATTTTAAGTATTCCTTGACAAAAACAGAAAATTAAATCAAGCTAGTCCTATACATTACTAGATTTTGTTCTTTTTCAGCTCTATGAGCTACTAATGAGTACTATTTTACCCAGCAGAATGTTAAATTGATTTTGATTACGACTTAATGTCTCAAGTTTTATAATTGTAACACTTTTACGATGAATTTCCTTTCGGGCTATGATTTATGATTTCATCAAATTAACTAATATCGTAAAGGACGATATCATAGACATTTAACTATGCGTATGTTACATTTCATAACAATTTATCACGTCGCAACAATACAAAACTATACAAAAATTATAAATTCAATTTGATAAAAAGATGACGGAGTAGATCATGACAGCAAATTTTTTGAAGCCTTGGGTGGATTTAACCGTAATCAAGTATTATCTGCTGAGTCCGTTGACGATGATATTTCTTCAAACAGAGATGTCTGTTTATACAGGTATGTAATAATTCATCTTGATTTGAGGTGGTAAAGTGAAATCTTTCTATATAATGTAAGATCAGGTTTTAGTAGCTATCGAAATATACTTTAATTTCGACGTTAAAACTTTAGAATTTCGGATGCCAGTGGGGACTTAGAAATGACGCAGGTCGATGAAAGACCATTAAAATATGAACATTTAGACCATAATGTAAGAATGTTGTTTAGTAAAACACTACAAACTATGTTGAAATCAGTTTTCATATCTACAAATATTATACACTACCATACATCAAATACTTGGTATAAATTAACGGTAGATGAAAGATTAAATTGTATATCGTCATTTACAAAATTTGTTACCATGCTTAATTCAATTAATAATAATGAATAGCACTTAGTAAGGTATAGACATCAGATTTAGATTTTCTGTTTTGAATACTAAGAATAATGCATTATGGCCAATTTTGACAGGATTCTTTTATCTTGGATATCGGAGGCAACGAAATTTTTTTTTGGGTCGGTTCAAAATGCACTGCAGCGGAGAAAGCAAAAGCAATGAATCAAGCTACAGTATGATATTCAAATTAATTTAGCGTTTATTAGAACAACTAATAACATTATTCTATTACAGTTTCGATATTTTAAAAGAATATAGCATGTATCTCTTGAGTTGTAAAAAGTCCCTAAATTTATAAAATCGATAACGTACTTCTAATATTAGTATTTGATTATTTAGACATTTATTGAAAAATTCAGTTATCCTAAGTGGACTCGTGTTACTCGAGTAATAGATGGTGGAGAGAACTCTATTTTTAAGCAATTCTTCGTATCATGGCCGAATCGAAATATTCTCGTTGCAGCTCCAAAATATAGTTCTAGTAATATCGGTAAAGTAGAAATACACATTGAAATTTGGAATTTGATGTTGACGAAAGGACTTTAATTTAATGTAAACTGATAACGTGACTTCTTGGATACAAGTAAACTACTCATTTAATCGACATCCTTACTTATAGCTCAAGTATCACAAAATGAAATCGATGTGAAAGCACTGCACCAACAACTAAGTCTAAAGAGAGAAGTCTTGCCTGATAATGGGGATGGCTCTGTTACAGTAAAAAATCAATAAGAGAATAATCTTACTGTGATATCTTTAAATACTATGTATATTCGAAATAAGGTGATTGGTAAGTTTACAAGAGTTATATGTGACACCTGTATATCTGATCTGATAGATATGGCGGGTTGAAAATTTTCAACTAATTTCCGTTGATAAAGAAGTTTATGGTAAATTCTATAGTGGTGATAGTTATGTCCTGCTATATAAATATCTCAAACATGGAGCTGAGCTGCACATAATTTATTTTTGGCTGGTAGGTACCGTTATAATGTCTTAACATTAGTTTACTTGTAGACTAAGATAATTCAGAAGATACAAGTAGCTCAAGAATAATGAAGATTAATGCAGATAACTCGTAGCATAAAGCTATCGCCACTAATTCATATTTACGTAGTAGTATTATAAATATAAAACTAAAACTAAGGTATAAATTAAGATATCCTAACGTTTGTCGTCATATATCTTATGAAAGGTTCTATAGATTTCAAACTTGAATTATAGAACTGCCTATATCTACATACAAATATTTCAGTTACCGCTTTAGTATTGAGAAATAATAGACTACAGGAATGTCTAACGATAACATTTGTATTTAGGGATTAAAAAGTAGCCAGGATGAACAAGCATCTGCGGCTGCTTTAGCTAATACAATGGACGATGAGTTAGGTGGAATTGCTACCCAAGTAAGTCCATATTATCGTATATAAATGATGAATAAGAACATTAAATAATATTATATAACATTTAATTTTAATACAATCATTGTCAAAAATATTCAGATACGTGTTGTTCAAAATAAAGAACCCGAGCATTTTTTACTGATATTTAAAGGAAAACTGGTCATTTTTGAGGTAAATATTGAATAATAACATTTACTATATTATAAAGTATTATCGATCATATCATTCGCATCTGATCAATTTTAGGGAGGCTGTGCTAGCGGATTTAAGAACGTTAACGATAAAGATTCTTATGATGCTGATAGTATCATGCTTTTCCAAATTCATGGAACTACAGCTTTTAATACTAAAGCCATTCAGGTATATCAAATTTAGGAATATTCAGTGTATTGTGTAGAGCGCAGATTACTGCTAATTAAACTCTTAAATTACGGTACTGTCATGTTGTCAAGTGTAGTTACTCTACTCTAAACTTATAAACTAGTAGAGCTCGTGTTTTTTCATATTTGAATAATGTGTCGTGATATTAGGTGACTGGAAGGGCATCGTCGTTAAACTCGAACGATGTGTTTGTGCTTAAAACACCCGAACAAACAGCAATTTGGGTAGGCAAGGTGAGTATAATAATTTAAAAACTTTGCCTAATATATATCGAACAAATATCTGCTCTGAAACATACAAAATTGCTTTATTACAATATAATGCAACTTAAATTTAAAGTGGTTAGTAATTTCGTTATGTTTGCAAAATGGATAGAGATATATATATCGAGAGTATGAATGCAGTATCTGAGTAGATATGTGCTCAAGAAAATTCAGGCTCCAGATACAAAATATACTTGTAAATCATTATTAACTGCTTAATGTGATATGCATAATGCTAACAGAATGTGATAGGATGGCCTTAGGATAAAATTCAATGGATGATCATCCTATAGCATAATTAATGTTAGCTATAACTGCAGTAATCATAGTCTATTGTCTATATAGGGCGCAAATGACAATGAAAAGGGTATGGGTGAAACCATCGCTAAATTTATTTCACCGAGAGTGTAAGTAATTTGTGACAATAAGAAATATTGATCAAGTTTAAGATAGTAATCACCTCTACTCATTCATATAACAATTTGAAAATCTCTTCATAGTACAAATATTAAAAATAATTCCAATGCTATTGTTGTAACAGAGATATTGAAGTTATCAATGAAGATGATGAACTAGAATGGTTCTGGTCTGCATTAGGTGGTAAAACTGAGTATGCTTCTAAAGTAAGATTGCAGGTATTTCATCATTAGAACGCAAGAAATACTTTGCTAACATTTTTTAGTATAATAAATAATATAGTATAATAATACCGGAATAGGGTATCTACTATTGCTAACAGTCATTACTGTGTGTGGTAATATTAATAAAGGAAGTTGCACTATCGCAACCGCCACGATTATTTCAATGCTCAAATGCTTCGGGAAGATTTGAAGTCGAAGAAATTCCAGATTTTGTTCAAGAGGTCTGTCTTGTAACTAACATAAAATACTATACTAAAGTAGTTACAACTATAATTTCGAATATGATCATTTAAATAGATATCTTTATTTATTATAGGATTTAAGTGAAGACGATGTAATGCTATTGGATACGTATGATGAGATTTTCTTGTGGATTGGTGAAAGAGCTCGCCCAGAGGAAAAAAAGGCAGCATTGCAAGTAGCAGTGGTAATTGCCTCATATTCGTCTATACTGTAGATACATATGAATAGGACTAGTTTTCTTACAATTTCTTTACTTTACGGAATATAAATTAGAGCTATATAGCAGCCTAATGATGGTTATGGTGTCTAATAGAAATATTTACAACAATTAATTTTTGCGCTTAAAATATCTAAATAAGCAACTTCTCTTCATTCGTCAAGTTCCTATTTATTGTATGAAATGTGCTTCTATTTCGTCGTCATTGACTAGAAATATATAAAGTCGGATACTTCTGGACGCGATATGAATAATACCGTAATGGCTCAAGTTAAACAAGGTCGTGAGCCAATAGCTTTTACCTGTAATTTTGTGGCTTGGGATCCCAATAAATGGAGTGTAAGTCACACTGTCATGAAGCAGTAAATGTATATTAAGATGTACAAATTAATCGATCCTCCTTCATCTGTGTAAAGTTAATTGTTATCAGACTTGATGATTTAAGTTTGTGTTATAATTAGAACGGTAAATCTTATGCTGATTTAAAAGCCGAACTTGGGAAAGAGAATGCTGGTGTAACCTTAATTTCCGATGTAAGTTATCTAGCGATTTATACTTCTATTTAAATAGTAAGCAAAGGCAAATAACAAATTCTGATAATGTATTCAATTTCTATCATATATTAAATAAGGGAGACACTGTATAGTTTCTTTTAAAGTTATAATTCTATCGAGAGAATTACTCCTAATAGTAATATTTTACACTGTAACGTACTATACTATTTCTTCTTTGGACATTTAATCAACTATGTGTACTCGAATTACTTATACTCATTATCTTGCTTGCTTTTGCTATAAGATTCAGTGTGTGATGATTAAATTTTTTTTATAAACTAATATTTCAAACTTACTATATCTAGGAGTTAGCCAAGTATACCAAAACGTATGACTACGAAGCTTTAATATCTTCTAAGTTACCGGAAGGAGTTGATGCTCGCCATAAAGAGGTCAGTTACTGCAAATATCATCTATTCTTTCCTAGGATAGATGTTTAAATTAAGGTTTAGTATAATTCTAAACAAGGACGCCTATGATCTATTTGTAATTTATGTAATTATGTATTATTAAGCTATTATTATCATCGAAAGATATTTGAAAGCGTTATGTTCAGAGTAGTAAAATACAAAACATCTGTGTCGATGGAGCTGAAGTTCAGCCAGTAAATTTTACTATTTTAGAAATAGTAAGCTAAGTAATAAAGCCTATTATATCAGCAATTGCGTACTGTATCAGCTGACTGCGCTAATTTTTCTGCTATCTTGGAATATTTCTTTTATGATATTTCGTTTAACGTAGGCTATTACATACTTGAGGTCGAGATAATATGTTTTGATTTGATTGTTTAGGCTTCGTTAATATCTTAAGTTTTTACTTATTTAGAGCTATCTAACAGATGAGGACTTCGAGAAAGTCTTTAACATAACAAGAGAAGAGTTCAAAGCAAAGCCGCAATGGCGTCAACAACAGCTAAAGAAGGAGAAGAAACTATTTTAAACTACAACAGGCACCATTAAAAGTGTTTTCTTAGAATGGGTTTAAAAATGGAAGGATTTACTTAAAATTTTTGATTGAAATAGCATAACGTAAACTTATTCAGCAATGTCCTAGCTTTTAACTGTTTTCACTATAAGCCTAACATTCGATAATTTTCATTTTTAAAGAAGATGAAGAAACAATTTACTTGATAAATGTTTACGTTAAAGACACCTTCCAACTTTGCATTTAGTAATAGCCTTTTTAGAATGATAGTATCAAGAATATCTGCTAGACTAAATGTCTAAGTTAATGAAATCTTCCAACTTTCCCTATTAGTAATAGCCTTTTTAGAAATAGTAGTATTAAGAATAATGATATCTGTAGGTTTCTTTTCTACTCAACCAAGATTTAAAAGTGGATTGGTTTCTACGAAATCATTCATAAATGAAACAGTTTTTCTGAGCTCTAATTAAGCATTAAGTTTGGCTATATTCGTTCCTGATTTAATATTGGATGTAATGGTTACTTTTAGGCCTGGTGTAGTTAACTATTTTAAAAAATCAATCAGTACTATTTGCCAATTTGCGAATAATTTGGCTTATTTCCGTTAGATAACTTAGCTTACATTAGCTTTCTAAAGCAGCTTGCAAGTGGATGGATTTTACTTGATTTATGTAACAAGAATATGATAAATACAGTGTGAGAATAGGGATAAAATAAAATAAAGACATCAAATATAAAAAATTGATATTATCGAATGACTGAGCAACAAATATAGTATTTAGAAACTATTTTAGGTATTTGAAGTCGCACTTTTAACTATGAAATATTTGTTACGATTATAGATCCTTTAGTTTTTAACTTTCAATGGTTAGGGATAATGCATCTAATCGAATTTGAATTTCTACACTAGCTGAACAATCTTAACGTCCAAGAAATAGCCATGAAATTGCCTAAACTGCAATTTACAGTATCATAGAGTAAAGCAATCCGTCATTCCTGAACTGATATTTATCTAGTTTTCATTCTATTTCTTTTATATGCGGTAGTTAATGGATTGAAACTACACTCCTTGGTATAATGTTTCTTAGACATAGAAGATTGCAAAATTAGCTACCTTAAGAAAACGATGACACTCCGTTGAAACTATTTTAAACTTTGTATCAGCCAATTTATTTTACATATTGAGACTTGCCTGATATTTTATTCTATGCTATTCAATCGGGCTATACAAAATTGAAACTAGCTACCGATAAATATTACTTGAATTGTCATAGATTGCTACGTCAGCTGGGCAATCTTTGCCTCGATTAGGCAATGTTAAAACTAAATTATTTACTAACTGTATCAAGGAAGAAAGTGATACTTAACGTTCTAAAATTCTTTTCATGAATGAATCTATCACATTTGCTTATTTTCTGCCCGAATAGAGCTTTTCAGCCTATGAAAGATATGGGTAGATTAACCAAATCTAGTGCAGAACTGTTAGGCTTACAATTAAACCGAAATTTTATATCTGATGACCATGTAGAAATAACTAAGTACAATATTTCTCCATCTATTAAAGGACAGCAAAAGTGAATCTTCAAGCTTTAATACATAGAATTACTACCAGTGTCGTATAATTTAGTCAAGGGAAATTAAGTTAGCCATTCAATTACTGACATAAATCAATCATAACAACATTTAGCATAATAAAACCGCAATGTATCTAAGAAATTCGTATATTAATGATATTTTACTACCTAAATGGCTACCTATCTCCGCATTTTGTAGAAAATTAACCACAGTCAACTAAAAGATTAATCCTATTTTTTATCAATTGATGGAAGGAAATTCTTTACAAAATTTTTAAGCATATTTAAGTAAATATTTAGAAATGAAAATTCTAAATTTTATCTTTCTAATTTCACCTCTAGCATAACATGCCTCCGTAACAGCGCTCTCTAGCATACAAGGCAGCATTTTACTGGTATATAGTCATTAGTTTACGGGGTAAAAATTGAACTCTTTACGCATATATATTCAACAGATCCACATTATAACATGTAACGTGTGTAAAATCTTTCTCTATTAATTATTTAAACGAAGTTAAAGGGAACAATTATTCGTTTATATTATTTTCTGCGACATGGTATAAACCTATTTCATGGTCAATCCAGTTAGCAGAAATAGCCCATTTGATGGATACTAAGGCCAGAAATATTAACGAAGTAAAAATAATACTGATTTAGAATAAAGCAAGGCAGAAATGATGATCTCTCAGATAGCAGATTCATAAACGGGCCCAGATAGTTGGCCCCACTTTTGGTAGCCGTTGGGGTACGGGGCTTTCTTTTCACCGCCAGCTAAACTACCGTAGAGTTCCCTTTTCATTTGCAATTCGGTTGCGTCCTCGGGAGGAACTAATAATTTGGTAAAACGCTAATCCATGAAGAGACATAAAAGTTAGTTTTAAATGTATTGTGTATGAGGCCTAATACATTATTATCCATGAAAAATTTCCATATCCTCAAATTGTAATATTATTGGACAGTTCATTTCTTGATACTTCAATTATTATACAAATAACTTTCTTCTGATTACTATGCAAGTTAGGCTATTTTTATTTCAAATTAGAAATATGACTAGGTCTATTTACCTCAGTAATGGAGCCTTTCGTGATGAATAAGAGATATATGGCTCGAACAACGATGCATAATAGCGAAAGAGCAACCATAAGCCAGCCAACAAAATCTCCCCACCAAGGATATGGTTTGCCATCGTATTTTAATGGTGCATAATTAAGGATACCAAAGATAAGTATTACCTAGCCAAAAATAAAATAATTACTTCTAATATAGCCCGAATTAGCGATTAAATGCTAAAGGAAGGAGAATTAGTCAATCAAATTTTAGTACAATGAGTAGAAATGGAAATAATATTTTACCAGTGTAAGCCCTGGTGATATCAATAACCAACAAATGCGCCAAACAATCCAGACCTTTTTCCCAGTAACGTAACCAATATTACGACTGAATCGGTCAACACCTATAATAGTAATTCAAGGGAATGATTTAGTTTATTGCTTGGCTATGAAATCTATTTTGATGGTTTTGATAGGAGAATACGTTATGCATGTAACATCTCAGTTACTATTCGATGTCTTTGACAACTGTCCAGCACTAGTTATAACGCATAACTAACATATATTGTACCTATCTAAATCAGGATTAATAAAAACTATCAGACCTACAGCCCATCTCTACTTTGTAATTCGATCAAAATATAGTAATATGTGGATTGGAAAGGAGATTTAGCGATTGATGTAATTGTTTTATTGATTTCAGTAAAATCTGGATATAATTAAGGCTACCAATTACCGTAGAACCAGGAAACAGTTACAATTTCAAGAAAGACGGATACAACCAAAGCTGAACCAGCCGAATATAAATTAAACATTTGGAATACATAGATTCCACCCTTCAAGGATAAAAATGGTCATTATTTTTATGATTTCAAATATTAATTTCAATTAAGATTTTGCAGAGAAAGAGAGAACAGTGCTTCAACTTTTAGCTAGGTTATGTGATTAAGATTGAATTCTACTTACTCTTGTTATACATGTCAATCCGAGCAATAATTCAACCATGCAAATGGCTAATTTTAGCCACATTTCACGTTCTCTAAGAACTTTAGGCCACATATCCATTAAACCAGTGGCCATAACTTCAACAATCCCAAACTAAATTCAAAGTAGAAATTGAGTAAAACCCTATTAAAGTCTGTTCTATAGACATGGAAGTAATTATTGCTTTGATTTACTAGGCACGCAAAGTCATTTTTTAATCTAACTATTAGTAAAGGCTATTAATAACATTTTAAGATTTAAGATAGATTAAATCTGAATTTATAGCTACCGCGGTATCGATGCCAATAGTGATAAGCATGAAGAAAAAGAGTAGGGCCCAAAAATTAGCTCCAGGTAGTGTGGCTAATCCAGCCGGATAAACGATAAATATTAATCCGGGACCTAGATACGTAGTCAGCAAATTCCGTTTAGTAAGTAGGATAATTTCTATACTCTTTGGAAATATAAGTAGTATTGCAAACTGTCTTCCCACAAGTAAACCAGTTCGAAAATATAGTAGGCAAAGGAAGTCTATGTTATATGATTGGTTTAGCTACAAAATATTTAGTAAGATTGACCTTGAGTTACTACGCTAGAAATGGGAGCGCGTTGTTGATAGGCCATAAAACCCAACATGGAGAAAATGACAAAGCCAGAAAAAAAGCTAGTAAGAGAATTGCATACAGCTATAATAATAGCGTCCCTAAAATAAACGAAAAAATAGGATTACAATAAAAGAATTTCCTCGAGTTTTATCTATTGGGTTTAAGTTCGACAAGAATATTGATATTTATAAGATAACTATAAGTGTATCAAGATTGCTATAAAAGAATTGCTTAAGTTGATCGTTTTAGGCGTAAGTTCAACGAAAATACTGATATTTACACGATAATAATATAAAGATTACTGTAGAGAAATTGCTTGAATTGACCATTTTAGGCGTATCTTTAACGAGAATATTGATATTCATAAAGTAATTATATAAAGAATGCAGTCAAGAAATTGCTCGAATAGATTATTTTAGGCGTATAATTAGCAAGAATATTGATAATAATATCGCAATTATATAATTAAGCCATTAGGATGTCCATTATAAAAAATTTAAATGAATAACTTAGACTACTTGAGGACGTTCTTTCCGCGTTTATTATAGCTAGCCATCGTTAACGTAGTGCCAAACCCAGCACCTAAGGTATAAAATATTTGTGTCCCAGCATCTCGCCAAGCCTTGTATGTATAAATTATTATAATGTGATTTAATACAGCTTTATTCACCACTAATGGTTTTAAATTATCACAGTTGTATCTGGTTTATTGTAATTGTAAATTTATAGAGAAAATAGGACTTGTCCGTCGCCTGGCTGCGATGCAACGCTTGGCTATCATTAGCTTACATTTAAATCGCGCAATTTAGATCCATCAACATTGACATAGTATAAAACTCCTTGTAATGCACCAGGTAGAGTCAATCCACGAATAAGAAGTATAAATAAGACTAGATATGGGAAAGTAGCAGTAAAATATACAACCTATCGTAAAGAGTAGATCAAACAAGGTTAATAAAGAGGAGAATCAGCTTAAGTTTATATCATTTAATAACTATCATTAAAGGCTGTAGTTATATTATTATTGACTATTTCTGAATTGAATACACTAGTAATGAGTCAGATACCTTCCCTGTCCATCGGATTCCTTTAAAGATGCAGAAATAAACCAGCAACCAGGCAAATAACAGCAGTAGGGCAAGTTCCCATTTAACTGGACCAGCAATGTTTGGGTCACCGCTCATATCTAATACACGACGACTAAAGGTATAATAGAAATTGCATATGGGTATTAAATTTGTTGCCATTTGTTAATGAAGAATTGGAATAGAATAGCAAACGAGATGATGAAAACAATACTGTTATAGATTGATATTATAGAGTAACCGAAATATTATCATGTTATTAAGGACGAAGATAGAGCTCATGGAATATCCAATACCCGTCCATAAGCAATCTACAACGACTATATGCACAATAAAATGGCTAAAAATGGAATAAAAAGTTTCACATAAACTTCAAGCTTGTTACTATCGATGTTGAGGAATTGTAATATACGGCAATATCGGAAGAAAAGCGAAATACAATATAAACATATCATGGAAATAGAAATGCTACAACTTGATACTATGGAGTAAAAGGAATACATGTATTATGACAGTATAAAGAACAAAGATTCAGCTATAGAAATATCTGAAATACTATAGATTAATTATAGCTAGTTCTATCTTGCTTCCGATAAATATAATTTATAAATCCAGGACAGAATTTGAGTTCATTAATACTTGTTATATCCCTCCGAAAAAAGCTAGACTCGATATCAAGTTGGATTGATGCTAACGAACGGAAACTGATCAATATTTATCTATCAATCATCTCATGTAAACTGCTCTCAATCAATTGAGTAGTAGAAAAATAGGAGAATTGAAATAATAGTTTATGAGCCACATTTTGCACGCTGAGGCACTGTTTCCGCATGCTAATAAATATACAATATTAAAATAATGCTGAGGCTTTACTTATAAAATTCCTCGCTAGGCGAAACTCCAGTATCGTTGGCATCCGATGAGATATTTCGAATGAAACAGTTGACTGTGTTCCAGTCGTTATTGCAGGTTGTCCAAGGTAATGGTGAGGCAAAACTGGCAAAGAAATAAAATAGAGCCCATACCAAAATAATGATGTAATAGATTGATGCCAGGAAGCAAAGTGTCAACATGGAATAACCAACACCTAAAGAAAGCGAGAAAATTCATATTAAAACTTTTTCATACCGCTTCTTCTAAGCATTAACTTTTTTATCGAATAGTAAATTGAAAGAAAACTTTCTTCGTAAGAGTCAATTTACCTTCCAAAGGATGAAATAATAGTCATTGAAACTTTCTAAACTCTCCATAATCATACCTGACAATAGGGGGCAAATGTTGTAGAAGCTAATAGATGCACCGCGCTGGAAGTATTGCCCAATGCAAAATTCCAAGCCCATAATAGGAAGGCCAATGAAGAGTAGCGCAAGGAAGTAAGGAACAAGAAAAGCACCTTTTCCACAATGTGAAATGTAATTTATAATGAGTATTAAAAAATGAGACGTTCGTTTCTATCTATTTGCTATGCTTTGGAATAATATCATACAGTACGTTTAAAGTGGAGATAACATCAAGATAGTGGTATAATATTGGAGTACATACCTCCACCATGTTGGTAGCAAAGATAAGGAAATCTCCAAAGATTACCAAAACCAACTACTAATCCAAGAACAGTTATGACAAAATCAATGGCTTTCCCCCAGCTTTGACGTTCAGTGTTATCACTCGTGGGCTCCTCGCTCAAATTCTGGCTATCATCTCTTGCTTCATCTACCTTACCGTTAAACGAATTCTCTGCCATTTTACAGTTTCTACCTTGCTATGATGATCAGCTAAGTATTGTAGGAATAAAATTAGGAAATTTTAAATGACGTTGTACCCTATCCCAGTGATAGCGTAAGAAAATCAGAGTAAAACTTCTATTCTAAGATTTTTATTTTTGTTAGTACAAGATTGCAAGGTATTTCAAAGTCTTTCAAGCGTCTTATGAAAAATAGCGTAATAAATGACAACGGATTTGCAAGAATGTTTCATGAATGGAAAAAAATTAAGTTACACTGATCAAATTGATAAGGAGATCATCTAGGATAGACTAAAAAGAGATCCCATAGCTGTAGATCCTTAATTCTGCTAAGAATGAATCGTGATTCAGTCCAGTAAATCTACTAACTATATGAATATTAAAGGATAGCCTAGGCATAAGCCAAGAACAAGGTTGTCAACGCAGCTGTCTGGATTTATGTGGGAAAAGCTAAATACAATTTATCATTCAACGTTTCATCCTATAGTCGTGAAATATCCAACTACAATGAATAAAAGCAATCTTTTAAGGTAAGAATTTAGCTAGAATAGCTACAAAATAGGAAAGATCAGGGTCATCAACCTTGGTTAAAAGGTGTTTTATCGCTGGAATATTTTATGATTTTACATTTAACCGCATTATCCAACAATAAAATAAAGCATTGTAAGTTAAAAACTCTAACTTCTTCACTGCAACAGTAAAACACAAATCATATATGAAAATCAATTTAGCTTATTAGGCAACACTCTCTCTTTATTGGAGTATGCATGAATCCAGCTTTGGCCTTATTATTCTCCCGTTATTTTTTGAAATTAATCTACTGCATACGCTCATTGAGATATGATTACAGTAAGAGTAAGATTAAAATCCCTAATCCTGCCATAAATATTATATCCGCTAATATGATTGCAAAGATGAATACAAGATAATAATTCTATCTTCAGGGTACGGTTTAATTCAATTGCTAGGAAAGTAATTCACTGCCCAAGACTACTGTCCATGATACTTTTTTTTCAGGGAAGAAAATTTGGAACGAAACAGTATTTTTCCTCGGAGCCATGTACTCGTATTACATCACCTTATTTGGAATTTTTTTATTGAACTTACCTGTAAGCACTAATAGGAAATAGTGGACGACGTTAAAGGTACCGATTAAATTATAGCCCAAAATGGATCGCTTGACTCAGAATTAAATCAGCTTTGACTTATTTGACGCTTGCTAACAGTCAATTAAGATACAAAATCGATTTATTATAAAACGCCAAAAAAAATTGGTAAATTATATTAATTATCGGCGTTAGTTGCTAAGTCTGATTAAGGATTTTAACTTAATTAGTTTTCATCTTATGCATAAGTTATTGTTAGTTAAATCAATATATTATTTGCATGAAAATTGATTGGATCAGGCTAGTAATAGACTGGTGACTTCTTCTTTTCATCAAATAACATAACAAATCCAGCCATTATGCCTCATTCTAATCATTAATTATGGGTTGATGAATCATTTCAAAACAGTTTATAATTGACAAATTACGAAAATACAACGAAAGGATTTATTGCATGCTTTCTTCATCCAAGCATCGTTAATGATTGTATATCACTTAATTTAATCGGGATGCGTGATTTTATTTAGAGATCATTCTATTTTATAGCGTTATTTGTGCAACCACTAGCCTTAATAAATAAGATGTTGTTGGCGTATTTTAATTTCGCCACTATTGTGTAATTTATAGAATGCCTTATTATCATATCAGTTGGATAGCTAATGGTTAACATTAAATTATAGTTGTTGCCTATTGATCGGATAGAGTAATTACATTTTGTCTCGTTTATTCTGTAAATCAATTTCTAGCTTGAATTGATACCTAAACGTATTGAATCTTGACAGTCAAAGTTATTTCGACACTTTCCATTTTGCTGACCAATGATATTCTTACCGGCTTTGAAAGTTAACGCTTTATCTTTAAAATCGTTGGAACTTTAATTATCGCTACCCAATAATCTTCACATCTTAGAATAACAATTTGTCTCAATATCACTACTAGATTTATCATTTGATAAATCGATCAGGTAAATTAGTAAACTGATCAGTTTGTAAGTTTATATTGGTCTTGCCCGATTTAAATAAGATTCTTTGGATCGATTGCAAGTTTAGCAGCGTTCTTGACTCGGTTACATCAAATAAGATATACAAGTTGCTTAATAGTTCTGAGTTCACTAGATAAAACATAGTTGCCAATCAATTTTACGTATGTAATATCGATTAGTAGTCCAGCTAATTACAGTTATATCAGTTTCGTTTTACCAATTCAAGGTGCTTGTTCGCTAGACATCAGTCTGAGCTACATTGAAATAGCTAATAATTACATGCAATTGATTCTATGGCTGAACATTTGACCAAGCATCCGTAGTGTATTAACTTCAAATATGATTTTGCGCTTAAAATTATCACGGATTTTATCTAATTACTTTTTACCCATATCTTAGTAGAAATCAATCTAAATATTGTATAAGTCTGCCTTGATCCATAGCATCACCATTTCATCAGTTTTGAATGACTTATGCAAAAAATGCTGCATTATATTTCTACTCAAGCTGTTCAATCAAACCAGTTACACATCGAATCGAAATAATCAATTTTGAATACGAATAAATCGCTATAGTACAGATATCGTCCGTTTTATCAATTCACTTTGTATCTATCCTAAGATGACTCCTCGAACAATAATTAAATCCATCAATCACTCCATGAAATATCAATATCCGGTTTCTGCATATAAGCAAATCGACATCCTCGATTATATTCTGAAATAATCGATTATCGCCACTGTATAATATCTACTGAAGATGGTTTGATCTAATCAATTATGTGCTTACATTATAAGTAAATACTTTCATTTTAATAACGATGGAATGTCTAGAATTATTTTCGGATCAATCAATTGGGCTTTGAAATATATGCTGAAAAGAATCAGTGGAATTACCATTGTGCAATCATTACGATTTATGAAACCATGGTAGAAACTAGTGAATTAACTCGAAATCTTTAGGATTCTTGCATAATATTAGGAACATATGTCGGATATCGGTTTTTATGAGACTAGAATCTGTCAACGAGTGCCTGTCTGCTATTAATTCTATACGGCAAATGAATTATATTCCTGCAACCATTATACTGAGAGCTCATTCATTGATGGCGTTAATAAAATTATAATAATGATTAAGCTATTCAATTTTAATAACAATTCTTGGAGGTATAGCAAGCATCCGCTGATCAAGGATTTTTCAGTATTACTATACATAAAATAGATTGTCATCATGATTTCAATGACTAGACCTGCTCAATTTCGAATAAAAACTCAAGATTGGTACAGGATTATGCTAAAAGATTTTTCAGCTATAGTTGCAAATGTTCTCTATCACAATTCCAATAAATAAACTGTTCAATTTTTAATGAAATTTTAGGGCATTGTAGGCTTGCGCAGCTAATAAGAGATATTTTACAGGTAAAATATACATCTTAGCGAAATATTTGATATTAATCTTATAAATTCAATTTTAAAACTAAGTTTGTTGACGTAAACTCTACAATTATTCCAATAGATAGAATCTATTCACGAAGCTGAAACCACCTATCGCGGCGAAGTAAGGTTGAACCAAACAACTTCTGCTTCCTATAGACTAAACCAACTAATTTTCAGTTCAGTTCAGCTCATTCAATAGTCTAAGTCCATCTTCTAAACATCGACAGTTTAGAATGAGCTGAATGTAATTAGTCTTACAAGATCAAATTCAAAGCAGTGTCAGTCTTTGCAGCTAAAGGCACCGAAGCTTTTAATTTTACCCCATTTCTTTAGAACAATTGCTTCAGTTTTATACGTCGAGGTAATCAAAAGTTTCGTATTATTTTCGATGCTTTTAACATAGTAAAGTTAGCTGCCACATACTAGCAATAGGATTAAATGGGATTTTAATATAGTCAAGTACCAGTATAATTATTTTGTGATGCGACTTCTTTGTCTTACGTGCCCCATAGATGAGCTAAAATAATACATCATATTGAGAGGGAAAAAATTTTCCGTTAGGAAAATCACCCAGAGTGATAAAAGCGTCCAAGGAATGGTGCATTACTCTTCGAATATAGATCAAGAAATCAATAAGACCACCTGTAATGGACTGAAAAGGTCAGCAATTTAATTTATACCCTAATGAGTGTTTACTTTTGCTTAGAGTATAGCAAATGCGTTGTTGAAAAGACCTCATGTCCGCACTTTAGTTTTTCAGACCGCTAGTCTTGCTACCAAGTTAATCTAAAGTTTGATGGTAGCGAAGAATAGCTGAGATGTATATCATAGAATAGTTTAAAGGAAGTAGATTTAAGCTCAAGATGGTACACAAATGCAATGATGACCCCTCGATTTCTGTTTATTTCAAGCTTATATGATATAAAAGTTAAATGGCAACAGTGTCGAAACTGCAATGAATTCATTTTTTTAATTCCACCGTAGGGTTGTTCCTTCCCTTCCTTCCAATTTTCTGATATATTACAGAAGTTAAGCGTATTAGCCGACAGCTGTGTCTAAACTGAAACGAAGTGATTTATTGCAATATTACTATAGTAGTTTATTATAAAGTAGCAGAGGACAGCCGACATACTCGTATTTACTGAACATTGATGGACGAATTGAGCCGGTATTTTCCTTTAAATTTCCGATATCATACGAAAAATAAGCGCATAAAGTGATTACGTAGTCTAAACTGGAACGGTTCTATTTTTATTTATGGATCGGATAACTGAAACCATTATTAATTCTCGATGCAGTATAATGGCAGAGGGATCAGTGGAAATAGAAATGAATCGCTATATGCTTACCCACTTAAATAAAAGCCCTTATTGGTTGCTTGAAATAAATGTAAAGATTCTATAGCCTATGTTAGACAGTTTTATTTCGTATCCTTCAATATAAATTAACTGTAGTTATATGACAATTTACATGAGATAGAATGATATCAATTTATTGCAAGAAATGAAATATTCACTAATGGCTTTTGATGTATAATCGTTCAATTAAATCGTTTAGATTAATGACCAGGTAGGATAGCCAATCTTAATTTTACAAGTACGATATATGCTATAATTTATATTAGATATTGCTAAGTATTATTAACCTTGACTGATTATTATTGTAACAACAGCAGAGCTATCCTAAAGAAGAACAAGTTATGAACTGCCCAAAAATTATAAGTATAGTCTTTAGACAAATACAGTTCAGTTCCAAATGGAAATAAAGAAAGTTAACACAGTGTCGATAATTATAATACTATATATTAATTATCTTAGTATCCGCATCAATATCGATATGTAAAAGGATTTCCTTGATAATTTAGAACAGCTTGGAATACTTAGTAAGGGTCTTTAGCAGAAAAATGAAAGACATGTATGCTACCCTTTCATTTTGAAGCATTTCAATAAGAAGAAATCAGAAAAATCTTGAAATGTAAATAAAGGGGATGATACCGTAGCCAAAAAGGCGAAGTTTTTCTAATTTCAGGAAAGTATCACAAATAATCTTAAAATAATGAGGCTATCCATGATTTTATCTTACTGCAATAAGATAATTCCAGTATTAAGGCTAATATCAACCTTAGCGGCTGTAATTCAACAGGTATTACGAAATTTTACAGGATTGATCGAGAAAGACAGCTTAACTAGATTTATCTAAAACGCGGTTATTCAAAAAAATTAAAATTTTGCATTAAAAAGTCTGAGATTACTTTTATAACCATTATGGTTACATTTTCCATTAATGATAATTCTAATTCATCACTTAAGAAAGATACCCTAAACCCAGTAGTTGGTTAGCCAAGGTTAACAAAAGAAAATAGTTGTTACGCTGTTCTTGTTTGCTGATGAAACATATTAAATTCGATCTTGTAAGCTTTGCGCACTACTAGCTAACGAGGTGTGTGTGCTGGATTTGGTAGAAGTTCCTGCAGACTAAAACAGGATAATTAATATAAGATTGTTAAACGATTTGGAATTAATTAAATTTAATATAAACCTGCTTTACTTTGAATACTGGTACTTAATTTATTTCAACTTAATATTTGCATGACTGACGATAACTGTAGCAGCTCCTGATCAATGCTGTATTTTAGCAATTGATCTCTACTGGCTTATGATGAAATTTAAAACTAAAATTTTCACCTTTAGCGATAGCCTAAATCAGCACTTTATCTACGTTATATTCAGTAATTGATCTCTACTAGCGTATGTTGATAGTTAAAACAAAATTTTGCGTGACTAGCTAGGCTGGCGATGACCTTAATCAGATCTCTATTCTACATTTTAGTTCAGTTTTACATAGAGTCAATTTAATTACAAAATCGGAATTAGTAGCTAAAATCTAGACTAGTTTCCAGTTCTGATCGGTACTACATTCAATAATTTAGCTAGGTTAACTATGATAACTTCAATATGGGATATATAATATATAAGTATATGACTATGTTACCTTAGCAATTTAGCTCTATTTAATTATGATTAATTTAATGCAATTTTGTGAGACAACAGAATCTAAAATTAGCTCCGGCTCTTTTTTCTATTCAGCAATGCAGCTCTACTTTAGGTATGATCATTTATTGAAAATATGAATTTTCTTGACTAGCGATATCCCAGATTATATCTTGAATGTACATTAAAAACTATCTTTTAATATTTCAATATTACCCTATTTTGATAGCCGATGTCTTTCAAATTGGTTACAATACAATCAATTTTCTTGCCAACATTTTGTATCATCAATTCCAAAGTTTGAGTTCTTTCTTCCAATCTGTATTAATTATTTATGCAGCGCCAAATAATTATTATACATATAGTAGAAAAGATTATATATCACTCTCTTATTAATTAAAATGCTTATTACTAGTACTGGAGCATCATATATTTAAACTTTACATCTCGAAAGGCACAGTAATTGTAATCTATCGAGAACTAAATGAAACGCAATATTACAGCTAGTGATACTTACTTATTAAATTCAGCAATGCTAACGTAGCTATCTGTGTCACGAAGGCTGTCAATATCGCTTGGAGAGCTTTTCCTTGATATTTTTTTGCTAGCTTTAGACAATGATGTTCTATTACCGTCATCAAGCTTAATCTAAGCATGAAATTAATTTTTAATAAAACATGGGATGATAAAGATTAAATCATACATTAAATTTGTGACCTATTCCAGCTTCAATATTTAGGTAATATTACAAATCAGTCCAAATCAGACAAATTACCCGAAATGCTTGCAAATCTGCGGCTGCCTTACTCCTTTCTTGCTCATCGTGCACTGGATCTCCGTCTAAATCGTATTTAGCAATAACTGCATCCATTTCCATACCTACAGGATCTCTACTGGAAATTTTAAAAGGAAATCTTTCAGTAATTTCAAAACAAAGTTTTAGATCTACATTTGGCTTTGAATCAGATATTTTTATGCTTTAACCGTTTCTCCATACTATGAAAGATTATCTATATTGAGCTTCACTGCAGTAGAACAACATTCACTGCTCTAAAGGTAACAAAACTGAAATAATTTCCTACTCCTTATCTTCCGATCGCCATTCATCGTAGTCTACTTTACTGTTATCATCTGGATGAGCCAGTTTTAGAGCTGCTGTTTGATCGACAACTCTATCTTTCTTGAGTAGTAGCTTATGCATGAAAGATGAGTAATGCTAAACGAATTACAGAAAAACTGAGTTAATCAACTGTTAACTGGAAAATTAAGTATACTTTCAAAGTTTAATTATAGTGAATAAAATCCATTCGCTACGGTTTACGCTCATAACATTGTATAAAATACAGTAGTTATAAAATTATTCTCGTTACCTTTTTAATATAATCTGCGATTTCGTAACGAGCATCTTTCTCCATAATTTCTGTCTTTACTTCTGTATAAGTATCGTTAATGATGGCCAGAAACATATTCTAATAGATGAAAGCAGTATGCCACCATCAGTATAAATTTAATAAAATTTAAATCGGTATATTATATGATAGAACTCTATCTGATATACATAATATATGAGTTATAGGCTAAAAAAGCAAATAGATGGGACATGTTAAATGTTATCATAGAATACACAAAAACAGCAAGAGACGATGTGCAAAATAATTAGTAAGTAATCTGATAAATAATTTTCAGCTAACTTACCAGCAAAACGAAAAAGACAAAAAAGACATATGAGATGAAGAATATGGGGCCCAGTACACGATTAGATCGCTCAATTTCACTAAAATTAAAATCACCCAAAATGATCCTAAAAAGGGTGTATCTAGTGTAGAAAGTTGGATAGAAATTAATACTTAATTAGTATTTAATAAACAGTATATAACACGAAATAAATTCCTCTATCGATGAACTAACACCTCTCATTATTTGTCAGTAAATAACCCTGAAATTTACATGAATTCCTTACATGCAATCATGGAATGTACTAAAATCACGAACTTGATTTCCAAAAGCTAAGTAGGCTAGCTGTGCATATGCGAAGAAGATAATGAAGAACATGATTGCAAATCCCAAGATATCTTTGGTGCACTAAATAGAAAATATGGTGCCAAAATTAGATAACGGATAGTAATTTGAGAGAATACAGATTAATACGTGAATATTCTCAGACATCTAGGTAGATGAAAATGACGTATCGGTAAATGAAGATAGAATGCTCAACAATAGTTGAGAATGGTTGCTTACTCGACCCAAGGTAGAAGTTAATTGTGTCATAGTGCGATTGAAACTGATATATTTGAAAATCTATTTGTTATCGAATGAAAATAATTAGTGTAAATCTTCAATCTTGCTAGAAATATTATAATTGCTGTATTTTTATCTATTCGAAATCGGTAGAACGAATAACCATTTCATTTTTAAAATTTTTGCCTCCTAGTTTTAATGCTGTAAATTTCAACTAAAACTTTACCTTCATCCACGAGAAAAATACAACTACGGCAATAATATAGTTAAATTGAGATTGCCAATGGGCTAGAAACTCAAACTTAGCGGGATATTGATTTGGATAGCGTAGCAGTTGCTATAATGTTGGAAATAGTGAAAATATATTATTTTCTGCCAAGAAAGGGTAGAACTTAGGAGTAAGGAATAATAAAATAGATCTATTTAATTCAGCATAGCTTCTTTCTAAACTATCTTACCTCTAGGTTATTCTGTACTGTTAACGTTCTGTATACGTTAAATGCGATGGTAGTTGCGGACAGCTATACAGGGCGGGCAAAATTTTTAATTAAGGTCAATAAAGGGCCTTAGTCAAATGCAATGTGCCTTTCGTTTTAATCACGATTTGCTTTATAGCGAATTGTCGTTAATAAAACTAATTCATTACATGATACTTTGCGCGGCTATACTATATATATGCTATATACATTTATGGTATTAAGGGCACTGTTAATTATGCCATGGATACAATAATTATGACGATATCCAAATAATTCCAGATATTTTTAAGATATTTCCATTTCATCACTTTTATCTATTAGGGTAGATTGAAATTGGTATGTAATTAATTTTAAATCATAGGTAAACTTATCAAATTTAAGAATACTTTGTATTATCAAAGTATAGGCATGTGTATGTACCTCGATAATTTCTTCGATAACATAGTAAAAAATGAAAACGCAGAAGATGACCTCACAAACCATAACAAATTGATCATAAGGAGTAACATAACGCAGCAGCTTGACCGTTCTAACGTTACTACTAGCTATTAAACCTCCAGTTGCGGGAAATTCGATCATGAGCCTGGTCAGTATTGGTCAAGATATTTTATGTTCATTATATTTATTTATTAATTTTAGAAAATGATAATATCTTAATCAATCTCAATTAAAAGCTAGGACTATCCATAAGAGATTATTTAAGCTTCACTATTTTAACAGTCAAGATTTCTGGTAATTTATTAGTAGGAAATTTGCTATGTTCATTTCTATATATTAAATGCGGTAGCTATCTAATAGTAAACTAATTTGGTCAGCAATCATGCTAAAGAAGATGGTAATAAATCAAGTTTAGGAATGTTACTTCGGTATAAGATTTTTAATATTTATAGTTAGATTGTTGATTGGTGTATTATTAAAGTTACCTGACGATACAGAATAAGTTAACATTCGTATTGTAGACCGTAAAGTCGATGAAAACAGCTCTTGTAGCTCGATCGGTCCATAGATTGTTCTATTCCAATTTAAAAATTAAATGCATCAATACTTCAATGATCGTATTCGATATAATGTCATTAGAGGTACTTCAGTAATTATCTAGCTAAGGAAAATTATATTCGTAATGAAGCTATTGTACCTTAAGCATATCAATAGCTTGTTTTCCCTGGTCTCGGGTCCGATTTAGAAGCTGAACGAAGCCTCCACCGCTGTAGAAATAGCCTAACTTACCCCAAGTTGTCATACCATCAAGCTGCTGTGATGATTGATAATTCCAGCTAAAAATAATTTATTGCAATTATATTGAAATAATCCATATATTGATACACCATAACTAAAATGCTTCGATGAGAAATAAATTTAATATCGCTTGTAACAAACTTACGCAGAGCCGAGTTTTAAACCAAACGGCTCGTGATCTTCATTAGACTCTGAATATTCAGCGAAACAGTTATGGATAGAATTGATAAAATCGTCTGGAACTCTATTCATAATTAAATAAACGAGATATACTTAATTAAGGAATGATGATAGACTTCTTGATCTTCACAAATTAATAAAATGAAATTAATTTAGAATATATCAATCTCCTCTTATTAATTTATTCCACATTTCGAGTTTACTGACTTAAGATACTATTATACATTACTACAAAGACAGTATTGTACATGTCGTCCTTCAAAACGCTCTCTCACTTTTACCTGCATTTTATTGATAACTATGGTACGATCAACTTCTTTCTAATATTTAATCGTTACTTGGTTCGATAGTATGATTTTACCATAGGATACTTATGAATTAAATTTCTCGTTAGAGCTACAGTCGCTTTTATCTTATTATTATAGACGGTGAAGTTTTTAGCATTTCAAATGGATATTCTAAGGGTTGCAGAAAATGGAGCAGTTCATAGTATCCTTACCGACAGGAATCATTTCGGACTCTTAATTGACGTAACTGAGGTAATCCTAAAATTTTATTCTCATAGTAGACGAATCCTTTCTGTTGGTTGGTCAAATTTTGAGCATTGTACCAATCCTCCCAATATAATCCTCTAAGAAAGGGTCCTTCCATGAACTAAATGGTAAATTGATATTGATTACACTTTATGATTCATGCTTAATCATTTAATGACTGCGATTGTACAAATTGCTTTTAATAATTTAATGTAAATATAAAAGTAGCGAAAATTGACTTGATAGTACTCAATTAGCATGTAATTGATTGAATATATTGCTAATACTCGTTAAGTAAATAATACTATATATGAATATCCTACTAATTCTTAGCTAATTTTAAAGGATATTTAAATGCTAGACATTAAATTACCTGCCAAAATTCGTTCATATTGGAAATATCGTTAAACTTTAAGATGGTATCTGACGCAAGTGGTTGATCGGTAAATAGTTCTATAACATGCCATTATCATTATCACTTTAGTTGAGGTGTTATTAATTTAAAAAAATTTTTTTAGCTACATCGTTAGCAAATTAGTAAATTTTTATAATAATGCCGGGTAGGAAATCTATCTTGAAGTAACTACTTATGTGCTTCTATGGCACAGACAAATTATAACTTGTGGTACTTGCAGTTTTGACATCCATACGAAAAGTCATATTGTGACTTACTAAATTATTAATCATCTGCACTTTAAAAATAGACGAAGTACCATAGCATGTAAATTAAATAATTGACAAAGCTTGATTTTTTACCTCTCATTACTTGAGTGAAGATAAACATAGTTGGGCTGATCATGGAAAATGTGACTGTAATGGGAAATTATATGAGCAACTTAGCATTATATATTATCGTACGTTATGATTAGCAATTTGCTATTATATGATACAACTTATTTCTACTTCGCACAGAAATTTCTTGGCGTGATAGCAACAATTATTAAAAAGAATTTAATGCTATGTATCATATACAGTAAAGATGTGATTATATGCGAAGATTGGCATAGTATTCTGCAACGTTATTCCATTAATTAAGCCGCTACAGTCAAATCTACCACCGAACCTATTTGGCCATGGTAATATTATTTACGATATTATCATGCATATTAGTTTTACGCCATGCATAATCTACAGCTTACTTATATTAACTTATTAGACTTGTATAGTCGATATGATAACAAGACCGTGGAATCGTGATAATTTAAAATAAAGATTAAATTGACACGAATTCATGCGACACGTTAAGATGCACTGCATGAATCCGGAAATTCTATTTCCTGAAACAATTTCAATATAGCTGAATCTGTATAACTATTGCCAATTTGTACTGTTCTAGAAAGTATAGTTGAATATAGATTTTTATTTTTATACGGAGTAAGGAGTATCAAATCATTAAATATTGAATATTATTAATTATCAACATATTTTACCTATACATAAGATGATCAGGAATAAAATAAAGACAATCAGTTCTCGGATAGTAGTTTTAATAAAAACATCTTGATCTTTCTGTGCTGATACGGTTTGCCTTGTTCTACATGAAGCTATGATATTCACAGAAGAAATGAAAATATTGATTAGAAATATAGAAGTAGACATAACGCAACAACTGATAAACTAATGATGCGATATATAAATCTATAAGCATCATCGTTAATACTGCTCAAATTAGCAATGTCAAATGATCAAAGCATGTCATAACGGCATTACTAGATCGAATAGCTTAGAAAATGAATAAAGACAGAAAATAGAAAACAATTAGCGATTTGTTATCAGTAGTAAACAAGGACATATTAATTATTGACTAAGCAAGGTAGCTCGTTTATTGTATAACTGAAAGGATAGCTCGTTGAATACTATATAAATTGTATTAAAGCGCAACTACATTATCTAATACCAATTGTACATGCATATAAATAACAAAAGATAATTTTTTTATTTATTATTGTCACGAATAGCGAAAATATTGTTTCATAATTTATGAGCTCTAAGGCTATAAATTATATACGACAAGCAGATGTTTAATTTAAAGGTGATTTATTCGCTGATAGATGCCTAGAAGATGCTCCATATTTGTGATGTTGCCAATGCCTTTTTTAAAATTAATAATCTAGGCGAAAGAATGAAATTTTAATAGAATTTTTGTGTTGTATTGTTATGTATAAGTATATCTACGAAGAAATTTAGTTTCAAATAAAATAATAAAGGTAGACTATTAGCATTGCAGGATTGATATTATGGCCTAAGCTTACTAAAAATATTAACAAAATGAAATATTATGAATAAAATAGCTCATCATTCACTTTGGATCAACTCTAAAATCGCTGCAATTCCATTCCCAAATACTTAACTAGTAATAAACGATTAGGATCTGTAAAGATCTATATTATATTTCCGCTAGCAGTCACAAAGCTAGGCCATTTTTATGTACAGCAAGACATACAATCTATTGGTAGCCACTTAACACTAGAATATCGAAATTCCATACCGATATTTGTGATAAATATATCGTAGGTTAAATAAAATGAGAAAACATCGGCTACGCTATTCTCTCAGTGCGAATGATACAGCTATTAAAAGTTAGGAAACCTTGTTAAGAAATAGGACAAGTACATGCTAATGGGGCTCAAATAGGATTACTTGGCTATTACATTATTACAGGACAAAAAGCTGCAAAAAGATTACATATTCATTGTAAGCCTTAAGTAGGATTATCCAGTTCGGTGATCAGATATCTCATCGATGTTAAAAGGGACTCACAATAAGAACATATTAAATGCAAGATTAAAACTTTTGGACAAGATTATTTGGCTATTACGAAAAATTTGAAAACAAATTAAACCTCGTAGAAACTAATATTTAACATTGCGATACGTTTAGTTTTAAATTTAAAGGCAGTAAGCAAACATTATTAGTCCAAAATTCGCTACAAAAGTTTCCATATTATATTTTAATGTACATATGTGCGGAAGTTTTAGCGGTCCTCACACTATAGTGATCCACTAACCGTTAAACTCTTGCAATTCATACGAAAGAAAGAAGTGTTGATTATTTTAAGAACTAAATTACATATTGCATCGTTACTACGGCGGTAAAGTATGTGAGAAGCTAAACGGATTATAAGCCCCAATATATAACATATGATTCGGAGTGGACATGCAATAGCTGATAGTCAAATTTCCAGTAACTTATAATATACTGTATTTATGCTTACACTAATTTAGAAAACTAAGATTCATTAAAATTGAGATTTCACATTTGATAATTGCTTTAACGAAATGCGTCTCTTATCAAAGTTTAAATCTATAAATAGGTTCCAAATTATGTTTCATCAAAACTTGATATCATAACATTCTTGAGGTAGTAAAATCAAGTATAACTGATGAAGTTGATTAGATATCATTTTCGTGATATCAAGAAGCATATATTCAGAGCTATATATAGATCATAGCGGAAATAAATCATACAATTAGTTGATCGACTTCAATAATATTGTATTCGTGAATCATTGGTTTCCGTCTACTTATATCGTCAAAATCAGTTTTCATATAGGATATAAAACTAATCGATTTCAGTACCAAAGTTATCATAGCAATACTACCATCGAACAAATCTATAAAATGGCTCACAATTTACTTAAAAAATAAATTGCAATAGTATGATTTTGTACGATTTTAAGTTTATAGACGTAATTGGTTCAGTTTGATTGTTATGGAGTTTAGATTAACATTCGTTAGCCTATAAATGACTGCCGAATTCACTTCAAATAGCGCGTTATTATTATTTCTAGACAAGGTTACCAAGATATTTCCGTTACGAAATTTAAAACCAAAATGGATCCAGATTAAATTATGGTAATTACACCTATACGACTATCTATTATGTCTCTTGATAGAATATCTTATTGAAGGCTTAGCAGCTACAATAATTAATTATTTAAGTATTTATTACCATTTAAATAATGTAGTCAAACTAATTAAGGAAAAAAATTAAAGTTTAGACGAAATTCCTTTTTCTGGTTTAAATGCGGTATAAGAAATAGTTGCAGTATCATCTTTAGTCTGCTTGATAATTCAGTAGCTTGTTATTACGTAAACGATTTCGAAGTAGTTCGAACTTAGAAGCTATTTTGCAAAATATTTATCAATCATGTCTTTAAGGAGAAAATTAGTCAAGAATTTAGTATATTGCTGCAGATAGGTTTAATGAGCAATGCTCAATATGAAGCCACCATCACCTTAAATGATGAGATAATCGTTTCAATTATTATTAAAATTGCTGAACGTGAAAGTAGATCATCTAACTGAGAAAAAATAGTCAAATATTTGCTAAAGTTTCTAAATGATAAATTTTATGAGATTTCATTAAGTCGGTTGAGAAAGTTCTTTATAAAAACGTGGCAAAAAGAACGATGGAGGCCAAAAGTAAGGGAAAAGTATAATCCTTAAAGACTGTAGATTTTAGTAAAAAAGAAAGTTATTTATATTGTAAGATCGCGAATATTGATTTTACATGTCGGAATTCATCTATTTAAAATAGAGAAAGAAGTTTTTACTCTTAATTTAGCAAAGAAATTTTTCTAATTCTAAAATAATACCAGGATGAGCCTTGCTTAACTTATTTGTACTTATACAAAACTATGGATTATAATATACTCGCGTAATATAGCTTCAATAACATTTCTCCTTCAGAATTTGATCTCATTTCATGAAAGGTAAGGATTATGCTTTCAGTATGATATATATAAAAATAAAGACCGCAAGAAGTTTGTCCGTCAATTTTGCTCTAACTAATTTGAACTTCAGATTTATTGATAGTCCGCGACCCCCATTTTCTCTTCGTCGTATGCTTCACTCGAAAAGTAAATTTGGGGACTATAGGATGAACATGATATTCCAGTGGTTTTCAAACAATATTTTATTCATGAAATTAAACCTCGTTCAAAAAGTTTTTCTTTCATCTCTTGCTAGCAGAAAGCTGAAATAGCAGTAGAGATTTTGAGCACGATCATCCTCAATACTGATCTTAATATATTGAGCTGATATCGTGATATAATTCGCTTGTTCATTTTTCTATTCAACTCATTACATTTAATTTAATTTAAGATAGAAGATGTGCATTATAATTAAAATTTAGGGTCGGTAAAATATGCGTATATATTGCAGTATGAAAGATTACAATCGATCAATTTCTTGAAGAGAAGTTGAATTTTAAATCAAAGAAAAAATTTCAAGAATAATTTCACCTTCCAGCTACGCTTCTATCATGTAGACACAGAAATTAATTGTTAATTATCCTACCTGACAAAAATCGTTTAATAGATGGCCACAAACCAGAATCAGGTGTAGTGCCTGCTACTCGCTTTCCACCTTCTCGAGCTTCTATCGATGTTATTTGATCATTATCGTCAAAATTGTCAACCTTAGTTTTCAATTCAGTATGTCCTTGTGCTGTATCTAATCGACCAGACGATGATGATGATAATCGATGTCCATTATCATCGTCTTCCCAAGCCTTTCGAGAACTAGCACTCAAAATAGAGTTTGATCGTCGTTGGTGAGCAGGAAGTAACTCAGAGCTACTATGAGTGGACATAATTGATACCGAATAACAGCTTTCAGAGAGATTAAAACTGCCGTGAAAATATTAATTGAAGGAAAAGATTGCAATCAGAACAACAAAATGAAGTAAAAGTATTCGTATGTTATACTATTTCAGAAAAAAAGCATTACCTTAAGATTAAGGTAGTGTGATATACTTCTTTATATCTTTGGACTAGATTTAATGAAAAAATGAATTGAATATTTAAAGATTAGAATAGCACAGATGTGAATAACTTATATTTAATTCTACAAATCTTAATATCCGTAATCGTATAACCTTGAATTTGTAGAAAGTAAAAATCTACAATTTCGAAATTTTCTTATTTAATAGTGAGTAGATCTTAACTGTTTAGGCTGCAATTTTATCCTGCCCTATTACTGGAAATAGAATCTATTATGAAGAATATTGAGTTTAGGCTTTGGATATCTATAGGAATATACTCAATATTTAATCGATTTATTAATTTAATATGAAATCTTATTTGTGATATATTGCTTATTACCGTCATCAACATTATTTCCAGCGATGATTATATCAAGACTTACAATTAATACACATAGCCCATATAATTCATTATGCTGATTATTTTTAGAAAAATATCGTAAATAAGTTTACATTTGTTAGTGTACTTGTTAAGGTTAATTTATTAATTATTTAATTGAGAATTAACCAGCATAATACATTCCAGCTATCGGTAAGTAAACCAATAAAATAAAACACCATTGATCAAATAGAAAATAGTTATTTCAATTCATAAGACTTCCTAAAGGAATAGTAATTCAATTTGTTACATTGTCATCGAATATCGCTCACAGGCTCTTGTAATTTATCGGTCAAATAGAATAGTTTTTATTGTAATAAGAATAAGAGAATTCTAAAAGTATTAATAATTAAGTATGATATGCTCAGATAAAACTTTGTTTCTTTAGAGGCTGATGATCCTTTTAGGCTGTGCTTCGAAACTGTGTTTATTTGCTGCATTTAAGCAAGATTTACTTAGATTCATAATGATACTGGTAGTGATAATTGCGATTACAGTAAACTTGATCAGTTTCATGATGGAGCAGCTAAGATTTTAAAATAATACCTTAGATTATCCGTTCTGTAGCAGCTGAAATATCTATCCATGATACAACAGCCTGTGTGATTTTAAAGTATCGAAATTGAACTTTGCCTAGTGTATACAATTAATGTAAGGTAATCTACGAATACATTTTTGTTAGTCTAGACAATGCTTATCTATTGGCCTAATTATTTTTATTTAGAATACCATAATTCTCGAATTTTCTAACTTATCCTAAATTATTAATGGATAATATTTGGTTATATGGATGCAAGTCTATATGATACAGTGAAACTAATTTGATCTAATACATTTTAATTTAATAAGATTATTATCCGGTATACGACTTGTTTTGATTTTCAATTAGTAGTTTACTACATCAGCAGCATAATATTAACGAGATACGATTAATGGATACATTTTCATGACTATCTTCCAATCCAGTCAATGAAATAAACTTTGACTTGCTAGCAAGGAGTAAATCCAATATTTCGAGTTCTATGCAGGTTGGAATGGCACGTCTATACAGTATTCGTGTTGCAAATTAAATTCGCCTAGTAATTTTTGCATTATAAAGTTACGAAAATAACTAGGCCGAAGCCGCATTTAGATAGGACTGATAGTAGGCAAGATTTCCTCAGTTTTAATTCTGTTTCATAGTATTAGTACAATTTATCCAAACTATCATAGATATTGATCGGCTTTAGGGATATAGGTCTATTTTCATGCAGTAAAATTATTTCGGCACAATGGGTGATAATCTAACCTAACCTAACTATAATACAGATTTGAAAGTTCATTTAGCTACTTTGACGGCGAGCAAATTTTCGGCTACTGCTGTAGTTTAACAACGCCACCGTACATTGATAACCTTATAGCAAATGACATGTAATATTGGCGTATAGTATTGTAATTGAAATAATTATTCAAATTGCGGCATGCAATTGCAATCACATCGCCAAGAGAAGATCTCAGCAGCTTTACATTGAATTATTTAAAGCCTCCAATGCTACTGGGTAAAATAGCCTTATCAAACCATTACCTCATCATGTCCTAATGCTATTGCGGATGATTATACTATGGTTTATCTTTTCTGTTGGACAAATTTTACATCAGTTCGCGTGATAATTTACTTGAAATAATCTTTATCAGTGTCAATTTGACTATTATTTCGGAGTTCTTTCCATCAGCATTGCCATCATAACATTACTAACATTGTCTTGGAACAGTAATCCATTATTAATCATCACGTTAAGCTACTTTTTTGACACCATAACAGTAACTAGATGGAAGTAGTGCTCCAGATTTTAAAAAAGGAAGAGAACTGCGTATTTACAGTTCGGGGTACACAAATACCCTCAGTGAAACTAACAAACGAAATTGATTATGGAGCCTCTTCAAATGCGACATGCAAATTGCATAACAAACCATAAATTTTAATACCTTTCTTTACTACTTGATACGTTTATTCATACAACTATGCTAAGAAACATCGATGACTGGCCAAGTCTACCAGATTACATCAGATACTATTTATAAGGTGCTAGATATAATCGTGCATCGTTAAAGTACGATAGTCCTATTGTGAGACCAGTGATTTAACAAATGACAAGAAAATGCCTTACTAATAATAACCAGTTTGTACGAAATTTTGTAAATATGAAATTTAAATAGTTAATAGTTACAACGAAATCATAAAACATTGTCCCAATTACCATCGAATGCATGCTATCCAGCATGATTTAATATAACACTTTCAATGTCAGCAACATAGTGATGAGTACCGTAGTTTTACTATCATTATACTGTATGGCAACATTGGTACATAGTCAAACGTGTGATATTATCCAGCTCGGTGGTAGTTTCTTGCCTTAGTCGTAACATGTGGCATAGATCAAAAAGATTCAACGATAAATAATGGATGGATGGCTAGTTTAACATTTTCATCCTTGCACTGAGTTACAATATATTGTGACTTTACTACCATACGGGTATACTATAGCATTCGAATACTACGATTTATCAAGGCTATTCCTGTAGATGAAAAGAAATTAAACATTTGATTCAAACTCTGGGCCTTTATCACCATCCTGCTTGCGGTTCAGTGCTTTATCCGTCATCGCATCTTCTTTAACTACGACGCCAAATAATTCCTGTGCTACCAGTTCTTCTTCAGTTAGAGGCACGAACAGTAGCTTCTGTAAACGCTTTATCATTCAAGAACGGATAAAAGTAAGATGAAGGTAAATATTTTATAATAAAGCGCTCTGTCAAGTTCATATTTGCATGAAGCATACCTCCATAAAACTCCCATCAGCTTTGCATAATTTATAAATTGCCGGTATAACGATACATGCTATGCACATTCCTGCCATCAACCAACCAATAAATTCACCCCACCACGGGTACGGTATAGATTTACCGTAAGTTATCGGAGAATAGTAAATAATACTAAATATCAAAACGGCCTGCAAGAAATAATATATAATTTGTTTCTATTGAGGTTGTAATACGATGATAAAGATAAATACAGTAATTCTTACGCCAATCATAATAGGAGTCAAAAGAAACCAACAGATCTTCCAGTTTACCCATACACTTTTTTCAGTAATACGAGCAATATTTCCAATGTATCGGTTAATGCCTATTTCGGTAATTGATAATTGTTACTGCACAGGAGATATCTTTAATAAATGTCTTTAAGAATACCCACCGTAGATGTAGCTGATCATAATGATTTCAATAAGGACAGTTATTATTAATCCGGTACCAGCGGAATAAATGTTGAACAAATTGAAAATGTAAAATCCTCCCTAAAGGTACGAAAATTTACGGAAACTCTATTATGAGTACACAAACATAGGATTCATGGAGTTAATCTATGCAGTAGTACCTTTGTAACGCAAGTAAGACCAATTAAAAACATTACTATAGATAAACCAGCAATCAGCCATGGTTTACGCTTTGACAATTTCTCGGGCCAGTAATCAGTCAAACCGGTTACAACGGCTTCGACCATAGCAAACTGATTGGTATAGAGGCAAAATTAATAACTAGGCGAATATATGCCCATTAATGTATCTAAGCTTAATAGCATTTTGAATGAGTTGATTACGTAACTGAACGTCAACGTTTCTATTACCTGACTGTCCAAGCCAAGAGTTATTAACATAAAAAAGAATATTACAGACCAAAAATTAGCACCAGGTAGTGTAGCTAAGCCGGCTGGGTACACCATAAATACCAGCCCGGGACCTATAAGATTGTTAATAGCGTAAACATGAAGTGTTACATTTATTATTTAATAGACCTAATTATAATTTCGACCAATTTTTACTTAACAAAGTTTAAATACCTTGAGTAACTACTTCGGAAATTGGTACTTGTTGTTGCTTTGCCATATATCCGATCATGGAAAAGATAACAAAGCCACCAAAGAAACTAGTACCACAGTTAATACAACTTATGGTAACAGCATCTCTATCAACAATAATTGATTGCATTTATGAGAATTGGTAGGGTAAGACGCAGGATATTCGTAGTTTAAAAAGGATAGAACTTCTGTTCAACACTAGTTGAAATGCTTACTCAATACTTTATCGCATACAGTGTCATCTTACTAACCTTAGCAGGTTATTATTCCGTTTGTTATAACTTGCGAAGGCAATCAAAGACCCAAATCCAGCACCCAAAGAATAAAAAATTTGTGTACCTGCTTCTCTCCAAGGCTAATTGGCAACATAGAATTGCATAAAATTAGGTTAACGGAATCTGTAATCCATTGATATGTACTGCATACAGAATCTAAATGATACATTGCACAACGACATATAATTACATCCACTGATTGCAGCTTCGTAACGTTAACTTGTAAATAGTATCGTATTCCATCACCGGCACCATCAAGAGTAACACCACGGATGAAAAGTATAATCAGGACAACGTATGGAAATGTTGCTGTAAAATATACTACCTGCGCAAATCAAGGCAGAATGCAACTTTTAATAGCAAAGAAACTATTTTATATAAAAACTTAATATACAGTATATATTTGCTCTATTGCAATCCTGGGAGACAGAAAGTACAGTACTTTATTACTTGTCATGTTGTTTTTATCTATATTAAAATCACAATTAATGGTTACACCAACGTAGTTTTTATAATACTCGATAAGTTAAAAATTTTGTACCTTTCCCGTCCACTGTACCCCTTTAAATATGCATAAGTAGACAATCACCCATGCGAGTATCAACAATAGTGCCAAGTCCCACTTTACCGGTCCTGCATCATCTGGATGGCTCGTGATGTTTAGAACGCGATTACTGATATCAGTTATATTTGAATACGAACAGTTTTGCATGTCAAATGAAAAACGAATAATAACCGCAGTGAGTACATAGATAATGTCCGTAACGTATCGAAGCTGCTATATATAATTGTGCATACATATGAACGCTTATAGATATATAACATACTTGAAATACTCAACACTTGGCGACGTTCCTGATAAATTTGCGTTCGAGCCATTACGAGCCAAGCACGATGGTGTATTCCATGGATTACCGCAGGTCGTCCAAGGAAGCGGTGCAATAAAGCTGGCAAACAAGAAGTATAAGATCCATGCTAGGATGACAACGTAGTAGATGGCCACAAAAAACGAAATTAAAATCATCGAGAAACCAGTTCCTAGTTTAAAATAAATAAAATATTCTAATAGCTTACAATTCAAAAAGAAGTAATTTTACGATATACTCGTATATAGCAGCATTAGCCTGCCTAAGGATCGACGTTCATTCAACTAACGTACAGTTATCTACTTGATATCACTATTCAGTCAAATTACCGCTTAATAGTGGGCAGATATTTCCAAAAGCAACGGTAGGCCCCTTCATAAAATATTGGCCAATTCCAAATTCTAGGGCCAGCAAGGGGATTCCACACACAATGAGCGATAACACATAAGGAATCAAAAAAGCGCCTATAGGAAGATAAAGGACATTTCAGCTACAAATAAGTAAGAAAGTTCAGTAACTTTACCATAGTACAGTAAACATACAGCATTAGAGCCTAACAATTACTCTATTAACGTCATAATGACAATTCATCAATCTTGTAACTTTAATAGCATGTGTTAAATTAAACAATTAGCAACTAAGATTAAATTTTTATTTCATTCTTATTAGTGTTATAATAGTTAGCAGATCAGAAATAATATAATAAAAGCAATGCGGCATATTATAAAAGCATGGCGTGTATTAAAAACAGCAAACTTTGACAACTTTAGTAACTTTATCAGCCCCTATACATAGCATAATCCAGTCATATAAGCGGTAACATAAGGACAACACTAGCGATTGATTGATTGGTTAGTTGATCAGCAGAAGCAACGTAGTATATTACTATAATAGTATAGGTAAATCTGTCTGAATGTAGCTATTGCATTGCAAAGTTGACACTAAAGCAACCATAACTTTCCAGTAATCCAATTTAATTTATATAAACCTTATCAGTATACGATAACATTCGCGATCGGACATGATACGAATTAAAATATATACTGCTTTATCCAGCAAGCACATCGCCACTCCTTTTTTATTTCTCACGGTAAAAATAACATGCTAAAAGTGAAATACGGCAAAACGATAAGTTTGCAAGCTAATATTATTACTTCTTGATACGGTCAACAGCGTTACTGTTATGACAAATTTCGTATTGTTAACGCTTTGTTGACAGCATTGTACTAGTTTCAATAGTTTTAAGAATAATTTCAATATACGCGTCTATATGTCACTATATACAATGTATTAATAATGAAAACAGTCACGTGAATAAAGTGGACAGAAAGCAATAGACATTTTCGATTGATATTGTAATTTGAGTAAGAAAAATAAAGGCTGTAAAAGTAACTAGAAATTTGTACTGAAAGGATAGTATATTAAGTGTATGATATAGGCGTTATTACATCTTTTGGAATTGCCTGATTCCATATGCTATATATGAATACAGGTCTAAATAATAATAACGCCAATTCTGCTGTGCGTATACGATTTGAAGAAGATATCAAGGCGGAACTTTGTATAGTACTGTAACGGGTACACCATTCAGAAATTGCTCTCAAATTACAGTCTTAGCAATCTTCCTTCATGGAACGCTAGCAGCTAAGAAAGGAAATCTTTCTAACTATTTAATATAAAACAGTACCGCATCGCTATTAATTCAGCGATTTTATTGCTCACTCGTTGTCGCCTTGACTATTGTGCAATTTATTGTTTACTGTAACTAAAGACGGGGAATTTTTCAAGGCTCAAACAATTATTAAGGGTAATTAATTAATTATTAGCTCAACAGCAGGATTCTGTGTGCGTATAGCAATGATTAAATAATTAATACCCGATAAAAGAATGGATAAAAGTTGAAATTTCGGGTTGCCAACTCGTTATTTCTTGCAATAAAATATCCTATCCTCTAGTACTGTACTGTCTAAGCAAACATAAGATTGTGTGTCTCAAGCTCCATGTCGAAAGTTGTAGTAAGAAGCTTCTCAATACTAGCAAAAATTGGAAGAACATATTGTCTTTAAATTAATTTCATTAAGATGATGAAACATACGCGTACATGGCACCTTATGTTTGGGCATTCAATTTAACTTTCAATTATAATTGGTAGTATTACATTAACATTGGCAAAATTTGAATACGAAAGAATTAAATGCAAAATGCTTAGTGATACTGTCGTAGCACATCTCACAAACTCTGTATTCTTTACTACATTCAATGGATAACTGTGTTCGTTGGGCGACCTCATTGGTGTTGGATACTAGGCCACATGTAATCCCACTCAGATGTAAAAAAAAACAACGCAATTTTTCGGTCATCATATCGAAACATAGATAGTTACCTGTAACTTACTAGATATTGTAACGTATTCGTGAGGATTTAAATGTCCAACTTATCCCGACATTATTATCCTATTATTCTATTTTGGTTTGATTAGCATAACTTGTATACGCATGACAATTAATGCGTATGTGTAAAGAAGTCATCTTTGCTGTTCATTCTATAAAAAATCTGCAGTTTAAGGCAATTGTCAATAAAGTAAGCCAGACAATAGCTATGCTTGGACAAATGATACCTAGTAGTCCTATGGGTGTACATTGTTCACTATACTAATTACTCTACACCATGTTGGATAAGAAAAAATGATATTATTGCGTGATATTGATAATACTGTCCATTTTGCAACTGGAAGATGCAGATAGCAAGGTAGCAACACCATACAGTACTACTAACAAGTGCAACGCCCTACGCATATTTCTCAACAAAGCCATACTGTTACTGTTAGGGGGTCTACAATCTTGAAGCGTTGATTCTTCAATCCTTTATACATGGCACATTAGCATGTCAACAGTATTGATGAGAAGTTAGTGGTAGTCTAATTGGACCCTACAATACAGTGTACTTGTATTGACAATTTCAATCGTTGTGTACATTAAATTAACATTTTATTATTACAGGGGACTGTCAAAGTCGCCTTTATGACGAACAGCTACCGATTAAGATCAAGGATACAGATAAAGTTTATAAGCAAAAGTTGCATGCAGGTGATTGGCATTGCTTAATGTAGTTGATAGTTTCACTTCATTTTGACGCCATTTCCCCCAAATTAGGCTTAGTAAATCATTTATACTGGTCTACTAAGCCTTTAGGTACACTTGCTTGTCTTCCAACTTTATTCTTTTCACCAGTATTGAATAAAATCGCTTTTCGTGCACTACTGAAAACATTACTTATACTAATTGATGATCTATATTGGATAATCTAAAAAGTGAGAAATATCAAGAATCCACGTGTAAACTGCCTATTTCGTGGGACTTATTCCCACATGCAGTGTCAATTATGAATTATAGCCTGTGTAGCAAGATTTAAAGGGTAGTGGATCAACTCAAAATAATATTTAAATATTATTAGCAAACAATAATAAATAAAGCAAATCTACATGCTACAATACTTTAGGCAGCAGTCATGTCCATCAAAACTAGTGTACTGTCGATAGGCATGCGTCTAACCTGGCTGTAGGCCAGGTTGACGTTGTCATGTCATTGACCATCCAAACATTTTCCTCTCTATCGACTGATGACTAAAGATTAGCGTTCATCAATTGCATTCTCTACTATGTCTTTTGGTGGTATAGTATCAAAAAGACTCTGCCAAACTGTCAACTACATGGTAGTGTACCGCTAATGGTCATTTCTTGTGTGTTTTCACTGAATGATAGTTGCAAGTGATATTGCACTTACCGCCACCATACTGGTAACAAAGATAAGGAAACCTCCATATATTACCAAATCCAACGGCGAATCCAACGCAGGAAAGAATGAAATCGATTTTTTTACCCCAGCCTTCTCGCTCTACTACTGCCTCCGAATCAGCAACATCTAAATCTGCTAACAAACAAGTCAATTTCAACTATTACCCTATTGGCTAAGTAATCACTGTCAACGTTGGATGCATGCCATATT